AATTTATGTTAAGGACAATCTTTGCGATAATTGAATCACTACGTAGGGCAATATGTCAATACAATATACTTACTTGATGTTTCTATGAAAACAACACTGTAGTGATAGACTGATAGTTAGGTGCAAAAAGTTCCTAAATTTTTACCCTATCATTGTCTTGATTAGTTTGTGACCTATTCGATATTAATTTGTCATGATTCTACAGAATAATTTCTACAGTATATGAATACGATACGGTTATACCTATTACCGATAAACGAAAATTTTAATTAATATGGACTCTAAATAATATTTTGCTGAATCATTGGCTGTTTTGCCAGATGATAGGAAAGATTGATTTTATGGTGGCCTTCAACCTTTAATTAAACTAAAATGTATTGTATACTCATAATTTCCATGGCATAAAATCACATACCTCTTATGAAATAAAAAATTTAATTCAATAGCAATCTATCGGAATCTTGTCATATAATCCTCATAAATCACAAATTTTTAAATAATTATAGTAACATTTAAAATGTACTAAGAACGCATAGTTTTTAAATCTCTTGTTTGAAATGGTAAGCTATCTGAGTACAGTAATATTTATATACATACAATGTGGCGATCATTACTAACTATCTTGGGATAATTAAAATTGGGCGTTTTTAAATATTCGAGATTATGCTGCTTAGGCACTTTTTTATTTGAAACTTTAACCGAATAGAATCTTGCAATTTACCACTATTAATTGCCTATGTTGAATAAGTAAAGTAAAATTCTTGTCTTTCAATGTCTCCAAAAATATATATTTTTGGATATATTTGTCTGAATAGTGCTTTAATCTATCAAAATCTTCTAATTTCTTCTAATGTGTCAATCACGAATTACACACGTCTTAATAATTGATATTTTTCAGGGTCTTTAGAGATTAAGTCATTTTGTTGCCCGACTATCGTTACTTTTATTAGTAGTTTTTGACCTAGAATAATTTTCTACTGCGCTACTATCGTGATAAAGTCATTGTCATCAGGCTTTATTCATAAAATAACACATCTGTATAATTGTCGAACATGTTTCTTGTGAATATTGATAAATACTTAGTTTAAAATGATAAGTGCATCCTTGGTTCATTTCATAGTGAGTTTGCTAATCCAATTTTCACTTAGAAATTGGCTTCAATATGCAATGATTCATTTTAAGACTCCTTTTCATACTCATTAAACTTTTTAATAAAGCAAAGTTAGAACTTTGTAAATTGTTACCAATGTGCTTGTGAAGAAATGTGACAATAGCCTTCTTCAACTTTTCCACTGCTGTAGTACAATTAACCTTATTAGTTGCTCAGCTTTATCTTAGTGGAAGATTGACATGATTACGGCTGCGATTGTGATACTGTACATTAGCGCTAAATGATATATGACATGGTCGATATTCAGTTAAGAAAAGACGATGCTAATCTCATTTTGTATTTCCTTGAAGTTACAACATCAATACTGAGAAGCGTTAGCTGATTGCATGATTTCTTAGTGATATAGTGACAGAAAAGTAATATCAATAGATTCCCAACAATTTGTAATACTGTATACCTTTCATCATAATGTTGTCGTCAGCCTCAACTAGAATTAGATATACCTGGCAGGTTTTCTGTGATGCCGTTGCTTACTTTTTCGTACTTATTTTGTAAATTAGTTGGTAAAAAAATCTTGTTTGTTCTTTTTATTCATTCTTCTCTTTGAATTGGATCTTATCCATAATATTGTTTTTATTATTACTTGAATTGCCGGCGGACAATGATTTATCTGGATACCAATTTTTGTAGCCATTACTAACACTAACTTGAATTGAAACATCTGCAGATAAGGTCAAATAATTGATGGAAGATATATTGTAAGGGTGCACTTACTAACAAACAGTACTGAATATTTGCAACGAGTTTACAGATAGGGTTGCATATTCCAGCTAACCCCTGTGTCGATATCTGTTAGTTAATATGCTGACGGTTTTATAAGGTAACTTAATAGTGAAAGCTAAAAGTAAGAAATTGAATGCTGTATGGCAATATACGAGTACTATTAAGATATGAACTGATATTTACAGTAAATGCATACTTAATGTAGATAATAGAATCGAAAGTACATCAAGAATCAGGCAGCAACAAAGGAGAGGTGACAACCTGTGTTGTTTTTGAGATCGAAAGTTAATAATTTGTATCATTTCTTTTTTCTATTTTGTAAGATGTAAAATAAAATTGAAATTAGTGATATCATGTTAGTGGCCTTTATATGTTGTTGGTTGTCTTACTAGTTCGACCTTATACTACTTATTCAGTTTCACTTCTTCTACAGGACGACAATACTATTATTCGTGGGATGAAAGAAAGATAGGTAGTATGTTGCTGACCAGAACTTTAATAAGTTTAGTAAGTATCTAGAATAGAATAATAATGTTCCTGCATGCATACTTAACATACAGTCGATGTATAGTATAATAGAAGCTCCAATCACTTAGCATCGTTAGCATATAGTATCCTATTTAATGTGCGATTATATAACTCAAACGTTAACGAATTAATCCATACTTGAGGTTGCCAACACGACAAATTCAGATAGATTTTAAAATAAGTCGTCTATAATTTTGACTGTAAAAATGAATTTGCAAGACTACGGAGTAGATGTAATCTATCTGATGTCTAGAAAAAAAATGATCGTAATCCGTTTTAACATACTGTTTGAAATGAATGCAGTAGTTTATAATTGTTAGAAAGTAATCAATTATGATAACTATGAAATCGACTATTCATAACGAAATAATTGTCAAGGCAGGTACAACAACATCAAATAAACAGTTTGTAATTATTTAGAAGTTAATTATGATGGCTACGAGAGTAGATAAACGCATTTAGTTTTAAATAAATAATTTCCAATTTCTTGGAAAAGTAATTATGATGATAAAGAACAACTGTATGTAGGAAAAAGTTATTGTATAGGCAAGCGTATACGGTATCGAATTGATAGCATATAATTGTTGGAAACTAATTAAGATGACAACGCTAGTAGATAGATATAATAGTATTTATTGTAATGCAGTGTCAAATTAATAGCTTATCATTTTTGAAATGTTACTATGATAATTATGATTACCAAGCGAAATCTGTATATCGACATTGTTGTATATTCGAGTGTATGTAATCTATAATTAAATGTTTGTGATTAACAAAACGATGACAATTCAAGCAGATATGTCTAGAAGAACTATTATAAAGACAAGTAAATACGCTATCACATAGATCGTTTAATTATTGGAAGCTAATTATGATAACTGATAGAGTAGACGCGAATGATTAGAATTCATTTTCCCACTGCACCAATAAATAGTCTATGATTTTAATTTTTGCAAGCTAATTCTATTACGATAATGACTGTAAAAGCAGATAACGCTTAGCAGAACTTTTCAGCATGTTATCAGATCAATAATTTATCATTTCTAGAAAGCAATTATGAGCGATTTTCTGCAAGATTAGATACGTAGAATAAATGATTGTGTATTGCAAACGGTATCATGTATTTACTATTGCGTAGCATAAAGAGGATTTCCTGGATATTTCCTCGAACAGTATGTTAAGTCATGTTTTGATTATTAAAGGCATGCGTTTCACTAGTACCATACACCCCCCCCCCCGATTTCTATTATTATTACTTTACGATCAATTTTGATTAATTTGATTTTACGGCTTCTCCTTACGCTTGCCTCCGTTATTATTTTCTGAAATGAACTTATTCACTAACCCATCGACGTCATCCACCAAAAGAGTGCCATTATCCCTATTGGACTTTTAGTAAATCTCTAACACTTTCTAAGGGAAACACTTTAATTGCTGATATTAATTTCGAACGCTTTATACGGTGATAATGTTTTGTTTGTGTGGATTTGGTGGGCAATTGCCTTTGTCAAAGGAAGGACTTAAGTGTTAGCACTACAGCCTGCCACTATGCAATTTGTACAGATGATGGAGAAGGTTTTCTTCTATCTCTACTAAATTATAAACTATCACAGTTATCCCACATTATTAAGCTTCTATTTTACGTAGATCATATCGTTATCAAACTACTTCTAAAATTTCCGAAAACAAGTATTTTATTTTTGTGTAAATTAATTCCCCCCCCCCCATACCCCTAAAATTGGGGGGGGGGGGTATCTGTCTGCTCGTCTTGTCTTGTCTGTATACCATTCGGTTCAGGATTTTTGTAACCATTTAGCAGGAAAACCGATTGAAATCGTCCCTATTTATAGCAAAAGCTAGAGTAGTCACTGCTCATTTAACTGTAAAAAAGAACAAGAGGGAAAACTGCTGTTCACTGTACTAATAATGTGGTGACTGATTATTTCGCTGGTTAATTTGAAGTACATCCAATCCAAATTAACTACTCTTGTGCAGTATGGTATATATTACCATCGACTACTAGGAAAATGTTTCTGGTAGTTGATGAATTCACACTGAACTACTGGTGGTAGTTTCCGTCTCTTTCTTACCATGGACTCTTGAAAAGAAAGAAAGAGACCGATTAAAGCGTACACCAAATCATGGATAGATTTAGTTCAGGTTTTAATTTGCACAAAATCAATCTAGCCTAGGCAAGGACTACTCGAAGAATATTTCTAGTGGTTTATGCCCTAGGTATGGACTACTAAAAGAAGACCTTGCATGGCCTCAGTGGCGTTAGATCGATTGCGGACAGTATAGTGTACCGTTACAGACATGCAATGCAGTTGAAATGACCAGTAAGATAATCCACCTCTCCTCTGTTAGTATGACTGCCGTGACTCTATGCAGTCCACTGTTCCTACAGTACTTTACGCTACAATGCAATGTACTGTGTACTACAGTACTGTGCAGTACTATACACAGCGTATTCATGAGCGCATGAGCACTGTAATGTGTAAACTGTAGGTGCAGCCAATCAAAGTCGCTCTCAGCCTTGTCTTGATCTCTTTAGAATCTTGCTCAAACTTGCATAAACATGGCGGTCATTGCTGCAGCTACCAGACGTGCTCTTCTCAATGTAGTCAGTTCTAGTTTTCGTCCAAAGTCATCTTCTGCCATACGAGTACAGGTGGCACTTCTTTCTACGGCTCATAAAAGCGATGAAGGATCTGGTCAAGATATCCGCTTATCGGATACAACGTAAGTTGTGCAATTTACAATCTGCTGATGCTGGTGCTGTGCTATTTCCTACCAAGGGTGCAACAATATCAGCCAATACGTTAGCGAACAATAAAATTAATGAGTGTCGATTACTCAATTCTGACTTGATACTTAATGTTTCAAACACCTACTGTATAGTGAAAAAGATGATTTTGTAGGCATAGCAGCGTCTCCATTCCCTAAAGAATCAGCAGACATTTTAATGGCACCAGTCAAAGCGGAGGATGTCGAAGTTAAACCTGATGGTAAGTCATCATGATTGCACAGTACATACTGTAAAACAAGGACTTTTTTGGTGCAGCCGGATCAATTCGATGACGCAGATGTTAAGATTATAAAATTTCACACCTCCTTCCAACGGTGCAACAACCAGCTGAGGTTCTTTCCTACTCAACTACCAGCTTAATAGACTGGTTCTCCAATGAGCAACAAACATCATTGCTAATCGCTAATCGCTAAAAATGATCTAATAGACTTTAAGCTTACTCCCATTCTTAGCAGTTACATCGTAAATTAATTTAGTACTGTAAGAGAATTCTTACGTAACCTAGAATCACCACCAAAGAGGAATAAATGTTATAAAATCTGGACATTACATGTCGGTATACCGCATGATGCATAAGTGTATTTCTTGATACTTAAGCAAGCTTAGTTTTGAGCCACAAGTGGCTATTAAGGTGTAAAAGAAATGATCTACAGTACAGTACAACAGCACTGCTTCCAAGATTGGGATTACTTCAGTCTGTTGTATCCCCTAACCCTTGTGATAGATCAATCACACCTATGAATCACATCCGCGCGGATATGGCGTGATGAACATTACTACTTGCCATTGATGCAATATATAACGTGATAAAATTACGATTCCGATATTCAGGAATGTTATATTTAGCAATGGAATATAACACCTAGAATCGTACATACATACAGTTCCAGCAGTTGAGTATTAGACTATTAAAGCGTAAATTTACTTTTGTATCTAGAAGCTAGGATATTCTTATAACCTGTACAAGTATGCAGTACTGTACTTGGATTGTAAGGTTATTAAAATACGCAAATGTAAATATTTCCGCATCGACCATATAGTGCATATGTTGATAAAAATATTTAATCTAATTTAATTCATGAAGGCTATTATTAAACGGTAACTTATCACGATTAAATACTGTACGTATTTTAAACAATGTAGGGTTGCTATATCTACCTGAAATCAGATATAGACGAATTCTAAATCAAGCATTCGGACCAGGTGGATGGGCTTTAATGCCACGTGGCCAACCAACAATGATCAATGTATGTAGGCAAAATCGTATCAAATACTCAAAGCTAAGATGCTATCCATATTGTCGCAATCATAATTACAATCTTGGACTACTAAATGTTCCCTGTGGAATATTTAGTAGCCTATGCTACAATTCTTGAAAATATCGGTGAAGATACGAGTCTTCATGATACTTAGTAGTTGAAAATTTAATTTTCTATTAATCTCGCACGATAGAAAATATCCTCCTTGTTTGTTAGCACGGTAAAATGAACTATTGCATAATATACTGCCATAATAGTTATGTAATTTTAGGATATTGAATTCGAAATATTACAATAGAAATGTTCAGTTTTGCATAATGTATGACGATACAGTGATGTTTCCCTTCCGACTGATTCAATTTGAACCGTTTTTGATTGTAATCATCATTTACGTATTAGACAACGACAATTAATACTTTACTAGTTTATATTAAGTAAAAAATGGAATGTTTTTATAGTTGAAATTTTACAACTCTGAATCTAATTATGAATGCATATTAACTCTAGAATGAAGGCGAACTTAGTCAACTCGTTATACGTGAATTTGCTCTATACGTTGGTGGACGATTCGTAGCTCAAAGTGTAGGCGAACATTTGCACTATTCTAAAAATGAATTAAGTACTGGTAAAGCTCTTGAATCTGCTAAGTCGAATGCGTTGATGAGGTGTTGCAAAGATCTTGGTGTTGCGTCGGAACTTTGGGATCCAACGGTACTACAAATAATTATATATAATTAAATCGTACTATTGCATTTATTACACGTCTAGCGATTCTTAATCGTCAACTATTGTAATTATTGTTTATTTATTATGTGTACGAATATTATACAGTTTGTCTATAACTTCAAAAAGAATCACTGTGTTGAAGTTTGGTGTGAAAATGCGAGAAACTCCAAAGAAAAGAGAAAGCTTTGGCGCCTAAAGCGTCAAGGCAATGATGTTCTGCCGTATCCCTGGAAACCAACGCAGTCCCAAAATTGAATTAACATACAAGGTTGACTATCAGTAGATCTGCAATCTGTACAACTAAAAAAAATGAGTCTTGCAGTATGCTTCGGGTTTTAAGATTTGCACTAACATTATAAATACTCTCTGATACAGTTTAGTTCATGTATCGCTACTCAATATTGGTAGATATTTTTTTCTTATCTACCTTTTGCGGTATAACGGCGATTGAAGATACGGTATGAAATGTATCATGCTGTAATAAATTAAATTCTAGTATTTTCCTTTCATTTAGTAGACCTTAAAAGCAGATGCTAGAAGCATTATCATAATACAAATTAAAATACTACCGTAAGATACTATCTAACTTTCTAAAAAGTATACAACGTTATTGTATCCGAAAATTAATAACCACTGCAGTTGAGCTCCATTTTTGTAATAGCACAATAGAATATAATATGCATTAAGCACTTTTATTTCAGATTCTGAGTTATGTTCATAATCTTTACAGATAATCTATGAAGTCATCATTAATAAAAATTACAAATGTATTTACTTACAACACTGCTTTTCTAATAGTAGCTCAATAAATAACTATCAGGTTAAAAGTGTAAAACAATTTCTATACTGGCTTGGATAGAACGATGATTGCTAAAGAAGGGAAGGCAATTTTAGCCACCATAAATTCGCGTACTAATAAGTGATTACTTTTCTTGACAGTACAGTAGCATGCAATATTACTCCTTTGCTTGGCTGCCTTCGTCTGAGCTTTGCTTATCGTTGATAATTTCTTCGGTTTCCGCTAGATTATGTTGAGGGTTGTCTAGATCGCTATTAGTTTCTTCTGCATTATCACATAAACTCCTTTCATTCACCTACATTGGCAGAATACACAATTTTGTAAATGCTGTATACCCTCAGCCATAATATATTTAAATATAATTTCATGCATCATTAATGAAAATGAATATTCTAATTGCCAGTTGGAACGCAATCCTAAAGCTTGATTTATACCTCATTGTCATCAATCTTGTCTTCTAGTCCTAAAAATTCATCAAGTAACATTTGGGTGTTTTCATCACTGTCGACAACTATATCTTCAAGTTTTGATGAGCTAGTTGACGATGTTTGACTTAAAGGTCCTGTCAGTCATACCATGGATAATTTTTAAGTGTTTTTACAATGTAATAAGTTCAGAAAACAAGATAGTTACAACTTACTTTCAAGATGTCCTTTGGTCTTAAATAAGTTAAGTTCCCTTTTAAATTCTTCCTCAAATGTTTTTTGTCTATCTAAAAGTTTTTTACGTTCTTGCCCTTCCTGTAATTCCTCTTTATGCGCTCTTTGGTGTTCTAATGATTCTGTAATTCATATAAGGTAGATAATCTTACACATAGGATGTACTGATAGTATGAGAACGAGACTCCACTCACTTTGCAATCTGATATATTCAAGTCTTGTCGAGTTGCATCGTGATGTTAATGTTACAGAATATGAAAACGTTAGCAATGACTGTAAATCAATTGAAAATTGCACTTTATTACTTTATAACGGCATCGTAACAAGTAGTGCTTACTCTTTAGATTCCTTGTATTTTTCAAATTGATTACGATGCCTTTGTTTGAGATTTTCAAAATCAATTCTCTTGTTGACAAATTCTAATTCTTCTAACATTTGTTCGATTTCGATGACTTTATCAGCCATCTCCTCTACGTAAATCATGAATACTTACATTTTACATCCATACGCCATCAATTCTAGTTGATACTCTTAATTACATCTGCCAGTATTAAAATTTATCAGAGACTGGTATGGTGTCTATTTACCTGTACTTTTACGTGAGGCTTCCACTGACGCTATAGTTGACGATAACCCAGCCAATTCCATATGTAAGACTTTATAGGAATTATAGAAATCATCAATTTGCCCCTTTAATTTCATAATTTCACTGTCTGCAGCCTGTATAGTAGTTAAATGACAAGTAAGCTTAATAAAACTACGGTACTATTGTATTTAATAGTTACGTTTGCAAGTAAATTAAAAATTGAAAGAAATGGAGTTTAACCGTTGCATTTTCACTGCAAGCATTGGTAGCTTTATGAATATCGGCCCAATTTCGTTGATATCTGCATTAAAAATATTACCACAATTGATATCAATTTGCCAACGTGGACGTAATAAAAGATTAACTTACCTATCTAAGGTTTCAGCACCAGCATGCAAACCTAGTTCAGTAGATTCGGAACTGAAATATAATATTGAAATGATTTTCCTTTTACCAATGCCGTAATTAGAATATATTTAAAAGGTTTATAGCGTTACTATTCGCCAATTATACGTAGTTTTCAAATTAATTTACCTGTCTACATTGTCGGAACCGAGAAAGGATCTGTAAATGTGCGATATAACATAAAACTGTTACGGACAAACTCGAAGCTGTACAATGCCCTAAAATAGTTTCGAAATGTTACGAAATGACTGTAAAGAGTTCAATTTATTAATGTCACTTACTTAGTCGTCGAGCTTGAAATAAGCTTGCCAACGGATTTAAGTCTTTAAGTTTAAAAGATACACATTACATCATATCAATGAATAAATGAGTTAAAGTAACCATTACAAAGTTCAATCATCAGGTCGTTTAATAAGATGTTATTACAATTCATAGCAAAATAATCTTTATAGTAAATATTAATAGCAACATGGATCTATTCGAACGTATACCAGCATTATGACTATAGTACATTGCATGTACATAATCTGAACCGAAATCTAAGTAGCAGCAACAGCCTAAGCATAAAAATTGACAACAATATAAGTCTTATAACCTGTGAAGAGAATTGATCAAATTTTTATTGATGGTGTACGACTATAGCATACGAGTGGCCAAGTAAGACTCACTGTCTCGTACACTGTAAAATCTTCTATTTCAGTTATCATCAGCAAAAACAGAAGAGATTGAGATGTACAGTACTAAGGCAAGCTCATTGAACTACGAAAAACGTTCTAGATCGTTGAATCTAGGCTAAGTTTCACAGATTTTAGAATCGATATTCTATCGCTACTGCCAAAAGTAAAAGAATTTTTTTGGGGAAAGTGCAATTGCTGTAGTCCAATCGTTACCCAGTGCTCCGATGATAACTGAAGACAAATTACCTCCAGAGCGAATCAGCGGAGTTGAATGTTGATTCTCATCATTGATCATCAATCATATTCATTAAGAGATTGTTATTGGCTTTCATTTATTTAATTATTGGACATCATAATTGGGCAAAATTTCACAAAATAGTATAGCCGTAAGCTAAATTGATTTATTTACGACATCGCCAACTAATTTGTAATGATGAGCCCATCTAGGATACAGTATTATCAAACTTGTATACGTTATACTGCAGTTTCTTTGCGTGTTTACAGCGAAAATGGATGATCAATCCAAGTTGATTAGCATGAAACAAGTCGAAGAAATCTTTATAGACTATCTTAGTATAACAGCAATTACATACCCGTCACTTAGGCCATGTTGTACATTAGAAAATAAGCGATCTTTAATGGAAGTCAGCGACGCCATGTTGGTCTTGCCGTTTGTCTTTGGCTCAACGAGTTTCCTATGGTTTACTACTTTACTATGATATTTATTGCTCAAGCTCAGCCATCCCACTATGACCCCGTAGTCACTGTACGAGTAGAGTGCAGTCAGTACAGTGTACAGTATAGTGGTCAGAAGAAGTTCAAGTTTACTGTATCGTGCGGCACTGTCTTCGTATACTGTAGTTTACATTATGGTAGCTTGTACAGAATTCACGCAATGGCCTACTACATCGTAGAGACTTGCATTTAAGGAGGACCTTTGAAATCTCTGTTACCATGAACTTGCTCAAGATTGAGTAGTCCTGCTGTAACATTTTATGAGAGAAGGAGCTTTCTAACTTCTTTAAACTAAGGGTATTCATCGTAGAGACTTGCATTTAAGGAGGACCTTTGAAATCTCTGTTACCACGGACTTGTTTAAGATTGAGTAGTCCTGCTGTAATATTTTATGAGAGAAGGAGCTTTCTAACCTCTTTAGGGTATTCATCGTAGAGACTTGCATTACACAGTACACGGTATAAAGTTACTGAACCTCTGACAGGTCTACGACAAATGGTAATACTATCTGTTAAATGAGCACATTATCGTAAACCGTCAGCAAAGCGACGGGAGTTTGCACTAGTATTTTATGAGAGAAGGAGCTTTCTAACCTCTTTAGGGCATTCATCGTAGAGACTTGCATTTAAGGAGGACCTTTGCAATCTCTGTTACCATGGACTTGTTTAAGATTGAGTAGTCCTGCTGTAACATTTTATGAGAGAAGGAGCTTTCTAACCTCTTTAAACTAAGGGTATTCATCGTAGAGACTTGCATTTAAGGAGGACCTTTGCAATCTCTGTTACCATGGACTTACTCAAGATTGAGTAGTCCTGCTGTAACATTTTATGCGAGAAGGAGCTTTCTAACCTCTTTAGAGTATTGCTGATATAAGCTCACTAAAATGGAGTTCTTGTTCGATACTCTATGCGTACCTCAACACTGTACTGTATTGCATAATTAAGTAGAGCACAAATGATATTACAGTAATAGCTAGTAGATGCCTGAAGGCGAGAATGGCTTACCGGCAATGGAGTGGAGTGCAGCAGGCCATGGTACAAGTACGTATAGTGGGTTAGAAATCCACTGATCTCTTAACATTGGATAAGCACACCGCCTCTATAATTATACTAGTAGATTAGTGAAGAGCATGGAACTCAAATCCAAACTGCTATATCGCTATCTACGCGTAAATATATTCGATCCTTCAATATATGCAATCATGCACTATCTGTAACTATTCTGAGGGCACAAAGGTGATACTATGGTAGTAGAAAAGCAAGGTAAAAGGATAATTTTATTTGCTTTGAAGCGAAGTCAGAAATTTTGAGTACATAACATCGGTAGTATAACATGAAATTTCAATTTCTTGATCAATATTAAATGATAACGCAGCTCACTAACACATAAAAATCTACAACAAACAAAACCATCACAATAATTATTACATCTATACGCGTATATGGAACATCATGTAAAAGGATATAAGGCATATTCATCCCTACAATACATGCCATAGCCGAAAACTTTTCATCGCTTTGCAAATTTCGGTTATTAACGTACGTACATAAGCATATTACATCGAATGAAACAATTATCAAATCAACGTTAAAGTATAAAATCACCCATCAGAAAAAGAAAATAATTATAATGATGTTTCGTAAAAATGGACAATATTTAAATGTAGCATGTTAGTGTACAATTGTGGAGTAATGTACAAATACATGTGGCAGCTAAAATAGAATAGCCACTAATCACTGTACAAAGAATAAGATTGACATATATCAAGTTTGGCACAATTATCAATTTAATAGCATCATTCATAGCACTTTAAATGAAGATATCATATGCATTCTGGAATGGAATAAATTTAGAAAATAAAAAAAGTGCATAACAGTTTTATTATTTAGTTTAAAGTGCATTATTAGCCTTTCTAATGGCAATGTTAACAAAATAAAGGCATATAATATGCTACAGTAAATAGGTATACATATATAGAAACAAAATAAGAAAGAAATGTTAGAAATTACATCAAGTGGCAAAATGTACGCATTCACTTTCACCGTTGCTATATAGGAACATTAATAATAATGCAACCATAATGCACTATAAAAATTAGTAAACGCACTGCAGGATATCATACATATGTATTTATATTGAATACAACTGATGCACAACCAAAATGAAATTAAATTTAATCAAATCAGATAGTACCGCTGAAATGAACGATTTTAACTCCATGGGATGTATACACGTAATCAACGTTTTACAGGAATATTTGTTAAATAAATGATAGAGAGATCAAGGAAGGTTAACTTTACCTACCTTATTTTTTTAAATCTATATCAATTATATGGCTACAGACAGCTTATAACAACTAAAATAGGAAGCAAAATCTACTTGGATGGCATAGTAAATAAAAGAATCATTAGTAATGCATACTCTCCTGTTAAAATAAACATACATCACATTGAGTATTACAGTAATTCAAATATTAGACTTATAAAGAACGTCAGTAAAATAGATAATAATCATACTATAATTACCGTATTTAATTTAAAATTCTGGTAATTACAGGTAATATGAGCGTGAAATCTAGTGCAATGATTTTAGATGCCTAAACAGCAGACAATTATATTGAAATAAAAATTATTTTATCGCATTCTATCGCAGAAGAAAATAGATAGATGTATTAATTATTAATTAAACATTCGGAAAGTAAAGAAAATCAGAATATTATGTCCATAAAATTAGTTACACCTCCCACTGAGATAAATCGACACATTACAGATCATCCAGAACAGAAACAACGTTAATAATTTATCATTCGTAATTTAACACGAGATTAATGTAGATGAAATATTCACACAAGATCGACTTTTAACTGATTGATATAGCTAGCAATGAAAAATGTTATATGTTTGAATTCAAGTAGTTTCTATTATTTCGTAATAACGACGTATCGAGAGCTATAGAAGTGTGACATTGTATTGGCTATGCAAGGAATATATTAAACCGTTAACAATCAGTATCATAATCTACTAACATTTGAAACATAATACGATATTCTACAATAGAGCAAGTATTGTACAATTTAAAAAAGAAAAAATCAAATTTTTAAGCTATTGCAGACTTAGATATATGCATGTTAATTACAATAGTTAATCAATATTTTTGTTCAGAAGGTGTATTCAGCTGAGCCAAGAATCATAGCAAGAAATAATTTAATCTACAGTATATTGTATATGAAATTACTTAGAGTATTTCGTATTGGAATCCACTGTAAGATTTTTAAAAGCAATAATCCATGAGTTACAAGGAAGTCAAAGAGTAGCATCACTTCGTTAAAATTTTGACATGTAAATCGTACAATCATGGCTTGAAATATAATGAACTCCATCAATCTTAACGTACTATATAGGTCTGGTAACTTAAAACAGACGTATTCATATATCACTCCTAAACTTACATGATAACAAAATGTATTAGGCAGATCTACTGTTTCTTAATTTACTGTACTGAATCACGAGTATATCACACAATAGACGCCAGCAGAAAGTTATTATAACAGAATCGATTTTCTTTACATGTATAATACATACCAAAAATGACAACTATAGTATATTAAAATGGTATCTTAGCGCAAATTTATCTTTCACCACGACTAATTAGTTTTCAGTAGATAAACATTTTTTAAGTTTTTAATAAGAGGGCCAAAATATAGCTATGCCTTCTTAATAAATGATGGATTAGAATGTTTGACAGAATTTTCGATGTCTATCATCGTTGGACCCATACATTGTATTCCAAAATGGCCAATTTGACCACAATTGTAACAAGAAATACGAGTTTCACTAGGCACTGGAGGTCTAGGAGTGGGAGGAAAATAAGGCCCATTATAGTAACCATTGGAAGTACCATTATGCAAAAAGAAGCTAGGCCCAAAATTTGTGTATGGTGGAGGGTAAGCTTGACGGAGATCGTACCAATGTTTCATTGGGATAAATTCTGATTGGTAAGCATTGCCACGATAGTCTCGACCTCGGTGATTATATCCCGGATAAGAAGCGTTCAGAGGAAAAGCGCATTTGTTATCAAAGTGACCAATAGGCGGTGGAATCATTGTATTAACTGGAGACGTCGGTATTCTGCCGTTTATAGCATACATAGAAGGTACAGCAGTATAGAAATACTGTTCATCCCCACTTGGAGGCCTATCATCAATTTCACTATCGCCGTTTCCAGATCCTACACTTTCCATACTTTGATTCTTCTTCACGGGCTTACTGTGATTGAATTAAAATACATCTTAAAGATTATGTTGTGATAACATCATTTTACTACCGATAATTGTATAACACAAATACTTCGTAACAATAAATTTAGAAAATTGTATGTGACTTTGCTAGTTAATCTCATACTAGTATCAGAGCACAGCATGAGGTCATAGTCGTAGTACATACTTTTGATAATCTTTCTTGTTTTGAACTTTATTGGAATCACCACTTGTTAACTAGGTTAATTCAGGTAGATTGTATGGAAACAATAATGAAAATCGTAATAAATTATTAGTAATAATTATTAGCGATGAGTAAAAGATTACCAATATTCTAAGTAGTCTTCCAAAATGTGTAAAATACTCGTATAAAAATCAAAGTATATTGCATCAGTATACATATATACCCCTTTATGTATTACGGTGTCATTTTCCGACTCGCCATTAATATGTAACCCATCCAACCATTCCGTAACGTCTCTTCGGCGAATGCCATTACTAGATGATGAGTATGAGTCAATTGCTTTTTGCATCAGATCATTAATTTCAGCAGGTATAGTACCATCGTATGGTGCGTTTGTTCCATCTGTACGATAACGAACGGACATAAAGCTATTTAAATTGATGCTTTTTGTAACATTTATATCGAAATGGCTTAAATTATATATATTATCTATACTATATATTAATATACAGTATACTAATTATTAAGACACATTTAAAAGTTAATTTTACCAGTAGAGCTGTTAAAAAAGTTGCACACTAAATCGGAGGTAAGGATTTGGCGAGGCAACTGGGTAATTTGTCTTTGACGAATGATATAAAACCAATGGTAAATAATACAGTATTTTATCACATTAACTGTTATCTTTAGAGCTCGTATGAAGTATTTGAAATAAAATTATTAATTCATTTCATTGTCTATCATAAATGTAGCTTACTTCATATAGGCAGTAACGTCAGAGATGGGTAATACAACTGGCTTGATTGGCTTGGATGAATCTAAAAATAGAGTAAAACTTTTGATTAAAATTGATCATACAAGTATCATATTACTTTCTTGTAAATTATAGTTTTAGCAGATTCAAAGCGTTATTGAAAAATGAAAGGAACTTAATCGAGATTTTTATATATTCAGCACTGTCAAACGTAGTATAAAGAAATTGTGCAATTAAATTAAATTATTCCTACTTAATGTTTGTAACACTACATTACCTGGTTTATTGAGATGTCCTAGATTAATATCACTTAAATTGTTGCTCTTTATGTAATCTTCAAGCTAAAAATAACGAAAAATATAAACCAAACATTTTTATATGGACACTTTATTTTATCACTTAATCATAATTTTAATAATGATTACAATCACTAAAATGTTACAATCGTAAATTATGCTACTCTAAATTGGATCACATATAATTCTAAGTTGTCATATTGCCTAAAAACCTAAATCTATTGTACTAAAATAATTCACAACAAACCATTTATTATTATTTACCGCTAGTTCCTTTCATACCAAAATGCAGAGAGATACATTCAATTGATCATTTAGAGAGAATATTCACACTGTAACACTAACCTCTTGGTCAAATTTGAAAACATCTTCAGCAGACTTATACACAACATTGGTACGGTAGTTAGACCATGCCGCCTATGATGGTAGAAAATAATAGTAGAAATGTATTATTCGTACAGAATTCTTCTTTAATCTTCCTTATGATATAAATTATACCGTACACAATTGACTGATCCTTTATCAAAACTAACTACTATAGCTAAGTCAACTCAACAGAGGTAAGATTAATATTGATAATATTAAGCGTATTGCAACTATTGTATTTAGTTTAAGATTAACTCATTTGTATTTATATATTAGCTATAATTTTAGCCTAGTAAATTAAACAGGCAATATGAAAGAAAGAATAATAATAATAATTCAAGCAGAGTATACAAGCATGATACGTGTAATTATGTAGTGTAAAGTGAATTTTAGTTTAGATTAATTCTATACATTTAAAGTGATAATTTGAATTAACTAGGCAATTTTGAAAAAGAAAGATGAATAAATATAGCAAATGTAATATTCGAATTAATGATTTTCTTGACCAATTTAATTAATTAAATACTAATCCATGTTTAAAAGTACCTTCTAAAAAAATCAGTGCTAATATCAAACAATATAAATTAGTATACAATAAGGTGTGAATAGATTGTAACTTAAACTATGGTCGAGTTTGCTTTAATTTTTCTTTTTCTTCCTTTCTTTCCTACTAATACATCCTATCTTATGTTAAAATCAATCTATCCCCAAGTTAATTAATTTATTTTTTCTCATAGACAATAGCATCAAACTAGTAAACAATAGCTTCAAAGTTATTTGACAAAATGGCGTGCGTCGAGTTGCTAGCTATTGTTATGAAAATTTTGTAACAATTCTAGTATACTTCTAATCAGTTGTGATGGTGACAAAGGATAACAATATTATAATTGGATATATTGTCTTACTTCTACTAATTTCTTGATTCAATATGATTTTAAAGTATAATTATTGACGTCATTGTTGTTGTTATTACCTTAATAAGATATTGATGGTGGATTTCTTGATTACTATCGGATACTTCAGCAACCTCGATCGCAGTTAAGGCTGACATTTCTTTATTTTGTTGATTTGTGATTGCATCATCTTGATTATTAGTTGTTATACTACTATTATCTTGACTGGCTGAATTTTCACTGCTATCTTTACCACGATGGTCGTTGAATTTCTAAAATTATTTTACAATTAATAAACAGAAAGAAATGTTTTAATTCAAGTATAATATTTTTTTCTTGCAGTAACGCCTACTTTTAGCTTCACTCAAGGTATATTAGTATTTTCTTCTATCAAGTAGGACTAGATTAGTTTTATATTATTATGAACATTCATCGTTAACCATTGATATTCGATATCAAGATGATTTTGCTGTCAGTTTATTGGAATTAATAAATAGCAACTATACGCGTAATGTACGCACAACTTGGTAGAAATACGGACTAGGATGTAATATTTCTGAAGTAGATGTTTTTATCTACTATGTACGATAGTGTACACGCGACTAGCAATAACGATAATCACTCATATACCGTAAATTCTATCCTACCAGATGTTCATTCCATGTTATGGATTAAATTAATAACAGCTCATCCTCGACCAAAATAAACGTTATGTAATATCCAAGCGCAAGCGAGTGAAATCTATCTTATAGATCTAAATTGGCACGTATTGTTATTTTTTTAGATAGGCTATAACGGCACGTTTATGATCACTGATTAAAAAAATTATTATTAAAATATAATCCTCATCGATATTATGGATAGCTAAAAGTAATTTAAACAATGTCCGCAATAGCATTAACATAGACAATATCGATACAGAAGACGACAAAAGAGGGTAGGTAATGATTTAAATGTCTCCATAGTCAGGATTACAAAATCTTGATGGAGAAAGTAAATCATAAAAAAATCATCTTTACTTCATAATGAATAGCGATAGATGCAAGAAAAATTAAATAAGGGCAATTGTTACAACGTAAATTTTAAAGAATAACATGATTTTCTTCTCCATCTCTGCAAAAATACTGTACGCCAAAATAGAACAGCTCTTTGTTGAAAAGTATACAGTATATTAGATTAATAGGACTAATTTACTGATCATATTATACTGTAGTTATAAAAAAAAGCCAATATTAACATTTCGACTATCGTGTTGGCGTATTACTGTACGTATAATAATTATTATTATTGGCTTTAGCGCTTATCAAATTTGATGACTCGACATCGTTTAAATCTTTTAATTTCAACTGATAAACGGCGACAGGTGATTGGATTGGTTTTGTGCAATTGTCTAGACATTTATCTGGTGGTATATAGCTGGCTTATCAGCTTTCATTTGTACTATAAAAGGATAAAGACATCCATCACAGCATGTCTTAGCATTGACGGAATAACATGCCAACGATATACTTTACGGTAGATAGGCAAAAGATTGCTGTGCTGTATGTAGAACTTTATTATAGAGTTAAAAAAAAAGGTGTCATGTAGATCCATTATACGTACTATTCGGTTATCTAGAATGGATTGATCAGGGACTAGGGATAGTTGTAACGCCGGTCTCGACATTTCTGTGAAGTGAGATGAGTGCTCCCTCCTCTTTTTAGTAATCCCTGGTTGTAATTTTTGGACCGATTCTGTATCTTTTTCTATCAATAACGCATATGGATATTGATAACAAACATCTTTACGACATTTGATTATCAGTTTGTGGGTTATAGTTTTTACTATAAGTTTCATCAAATACCTTACGAACAGATGCAACGATGGTCAAACTACTGTATCGCTTTCTTTCACAGCTTGAAGAAAGCGATTTTAGCACTCAATTACGTCGATTATATATTTATTATATTATTATCGTGGAAGCGATCCTCTTTTAGTTTTTCAAGTATTTGGATCTAGTTATTGGTGGATAATAATAATTAAAGAGAAATACACTCTGACGAAATTGATTATTGCAAAGTACAGTAATATAAAATTACGAAAGAAAGAAAAGGGAGAAAAGTTAAGGTAAAGTAGAGTTCCGTATTGCATCCCGCAATTAAAATACGCCACTATTTGAATATCAATTTGTGATGGATGAAATTTTAGTTCCGTTTCAAAAACTGATGATAATGCAGCAGTTACATCAAGGATGAGCATCAATATTGGAGTATGTTCATAGTAAAGAAAAATATTTTTTTACAGTTAATAAGAATTTATCATCTAATGAGATTGTAAATATAGAGTTTAGTAGCTGGGCTATGAATATCCTTCGTTTATAGAGATCCAATGTAACACTTGCCTTTTAATAAAGGCGTAGTAAACTTGGTCGATTAAGAAATGCTGATCAACAATAAGGAAGGATCGATACATAATTTAATTAAGAGAAAAGTACTTTTTAAAGCCTTTCGTGCCTGATGCGCGTATAATATACTTGTTTGGAGTGTCATTAGTACACTTTTGGATAAATTATGGTCCAATCCTTTTTCACTATATGCGAACGTATGTCTTAATGTGGGTAGTAGGTACAGAAAGAGGAATAAATGGAGGATAAGTCTACATAGCAAATATGGTATCGAAAAAGCAAATGACGTCGATAACAAGGAATTGAAATAGGACATTTTCTATATCAGGGAATATTGGCAAGCGCAAAAAATTGTAGATCATGTCGCAAAGTATCCATAACAATGTATTATAAAATATTGCTAGTGCCGTCCAACTTTTGCATCATCGTTATCCACTCTCTATCAATAAGTGGAGTAAAGCAAAGTAGGCAAAGTATAGATCGACAAAAAGTGAAGAAAAATGAATATTAAAAGTAAGAGGGTGTTTTATAAGCTATCGAGTGTCGATTGTATCAGTCATGAGAAAGATTTGGACAACGTCTGGGTAGGTGGTATGTACATAAGTGCGTACTATATAGTGCAGTATCGTACTATGGCTGGCAGTCTGATGGTGGATTTGGCATCTACTTTTGCTAAGGGATTTTCAAAGTTACCCCATTTGAAATTGGTCCCTTTATTAATTATCGATTGACTTTTCGATAGCATGTCGTCCATAGTCATGGATATTATTAATTGGATCCATGAGGGGATTGAATTCAAGCTTACCTTATAAAATTTTTTAAATTCATCCAAGCATTGGCGTAATGTCAATTGTTGATGAAATGTAAACGCCGGATGTTTGGATGCCATCATATAGATTAATAATATATCATCAAGAAAATGATATGATTGATCTTGATAATTATGCTGTTGCTCGATAATAGACAGTTGCTGTAGCTGTTGACGATAATTAAACATTAAATTTTGATAGATAATTTGAGCACATTGGGTGTTGCAGCTTTTTAACATGGATAAGCATAAGCATAATTTACGTCGTATGCGTGCATCGTTTAAATCGGTTAAATTATATAATTCAGATTTAGTATTGGCGCAGTTTTCATCGTGTGCTAAATAAGTCCGGTTGTGTCTTGACGAATCATCGGTTAATTGGCTTAAATATTGTAGCTCATAGGGTAAGCAAGCATGTAATAAAGCAGCTAAAAGTTCAACTCTTCGAAATTGGTGTAATTCTTGGAACCATGATACGACATTCTCTTCTTGCAACATTCTCCTAATGACGTCGTCCAATCGATCAATTCAGTAATTAATTATTGTTGTAATCGATGACTGTGTCAATCCGTTGCCACTCTCTCTCTCTTGAATAAGTCAACTTTAAAATGATAGTATCCACCAATACAATAAAAGGCTCAAAATGACTTTACTGTTGCTATCTGATTTCCTATTTTACGATGAAGATTTTCCAATTTTGAATATCCTTGGTGACGATGATTTAATCTGGATAATACTAACGTAGTTCATCAATTGCACTCCTACTTGTATTGTGGTCGAGTTCGTCTATGTCCAACTGGAGCACGTCATTGGACTCATTCTATATCCAAGTGAAATTTTGCACCTACTGTAGTACTACTGTAAGAGCTGAAGGGCCTGTTGTAAGCATCTCACAGCATTCTGAAGTTTTCTAGTCTAAACGCTTTAAGCCTACTGCCTATAGTGTGTTATGACAGTACTCGACTACAGTCTCTATACTGTACGATACTGTACTAAGCACTGTAACCGCACGGATTGGATACTGTAGTGAAAATAGCCGCAGACAGCCTACAAGTTTCTAATCGCCATTTCTATATTAATAATTGTTATACAATCGACTGCCCTTTTATAAACGGTTAATTTTCAAGTGCAGCTCGGTGCACTGCATGTGAAAGTTTCACTGTCAAAATAGACAGGAAAATGATTTCAAGTGTACCAATGAATTCGCTTCCATTTCCTAAAAAGACTCGATGAGATCATTTGTTTATTTTTTCAAATGTTCAATCTTGATTCCGCACTGTACAGTACAGTACAGTACTGACTCAGTCTGCAGTCGACTCTACACTCGACAGTATGCCATCAAACTTCAAACTTACCTAAATTTACAACTCTTATTACAAGTCTTTGCTTGCATTGAATCTCGTAGTGTACCGTCTGTCCGCGCGTTACCGTCCGTGCCTGACTCGATTTTCTACCCGACAAACGTAAAAGTACCCTGCAGCGGATACCAAGAGGCTTCGCTTTATGCTTGCGAGCGTACAGTATGTACAGTACAGTACTACACTTCCAAAAAAAAAAAAAAATGAAACCATAATAGAAGGCATTTTATATGTACTATATATTCATTTCTTCGATGCATAGTAAGTCATCAAAAAGTATACATAGCCATTATGCCACGGCCTTGTCGAGTTTTTTAACATTTCGTCAAGGCTGCCAATATACTGTACACTATATTGTATGGCTTAGAGTGACGACATACCAGTAAGGAAACAGATCGCTTTAACTCGATAGTGATTTGTGTCGACATCTGGTTACACTATTATTTTATAGTACTGTACGGTACTGTATGTACACGCAGTAGAACACGTTCATCTATGAAGGTTGCAGTAGTGCTTAACTGTTTGTTATGGTCAAATCACTGTGACCCGCATTATCGACAGTACTGCATAGTCAGGGACTTGTAAAGCCAATATTAATTTGAATTTAAGGTTCGTCGTTCAATACTGTACAGTATGTCTTCGAGTTTTTGCTAATTATTATTTACTTTCTTTAACTTAAGCAAGGATCGTAACTTCTCTATTAGCTAATATTTGATTCTACTGTACAGTAATTATACTTGTACGTCATTAATCTGGATTACTCAGTGTGAAACTTCGACTAGAAATCAAATTCAATCGATCTGCGCTGCTTAAAGTGAATCAATCTACGAGTACATCTGGTATAAATAATTACACCAATTAATCACAATCGCAATGGAACATTAATAAGCCAATGTAAGAACTAACTTTACTCGTCTTCTACAATAAACTTCCGGATTGAACTTTAACGATCACCTTTTTCGACCTCTCTACCTACTGAATAATACACTGTCTTGTAAGTTTTTCTTAACTCACAACAATACAAACGATGATATGGCTTTAGTGCGTAAAGACATATTGTGCGATGAACTTGCTGTTTACCACTATACTTTAATTACTTTTAAAGGTTTCATTTTACTGGTTCTAGGTAGGAGTATTTACAGCTCATCCTGATGCTAATTTCCAGTGGATAATCAACGAAATACAATTACTTACAATCAACAATCGAATAACGACAGCCTATATAATAGTGTATATATACGCATACTCTAGTAAAATCGATATTCAACGGAATAGAATTGCTTACAAGCGACAGCTCTGAAACTGTCAAGCTTGGGCAATACAAGTTGTACAGTAAACGTGTAGTCAATTGAATCGGTGTCATCTACTAGAAAATAATGGCCTCCATGTTTGTGGTGCAAGGTGGTATTCAGCTTCGATTTCCTTCTGTTAAGCATATTACAACTGAACAGCTCTATTCGTGGCTGCAAACACAAAGTCATTCTAATATGAATGTTATGTTATTGGTTAGAATGTCAAAATAACCAAAAGTATACAACTCAATTCAGTTATCTTATTAGAGTAAATGATGACAGCAACATTTGTATTCCAGGATATCAGAGAAGAAAAGGAGTACGATATCAGTCATATTGTAGATGCAAAGCGGGCGGAATTAGAAATTACTGATTTTCAACAAATTCATAAAGAAATTGAAGGTAATTAAGATTTATACCTATTAGCTCATATTTAGGCGATTATTGTAAAAGTAACAACTTTTAAGTCATCATAGTTTCCGCATTACGTCACTAATAACAATATACTAGCACGTTTAGTAAGTAATTGATACGTTTTAGAACTTATTAGAAAATAATAGCTATTTATTGTAAAATCATTGGATAAACTCAGCGTTCATGATAGCTGCGATAATTTTATCTCTCTGTAGTTTGTAAGCATTTTACATTGCGATGGTTGCTCTCCCTTAAAACAAAGTTGTAAGCGTTTGATGCAAAATGCAATACGAGTAATACAATATAGTGTATACCTACCTAGCTACGGTAATGAAACCTGTTTTGCAGGATCACTATGAGTCTTACATATTCTATTTTCTGATGAAAGTTATAGCCTCAAATAACGAAAATTATGCAGTTGTAGCCTATTGCTCGGTTGGTTATAGATCGTCTGCATTCGTGGACAAGCTACAACGATACATTTCAAATACTCAAGATGAAAAAAAGTATAATATCTACAATTTAGAAGGTAGTATTTTCAAGTGGGCAAACGAAGGGCGAAAGATGGTCAATAAATTTAATGATTTTACAATATACGTTCATCCATATAATTTGATATGGGGTAAGCTGGTTTCTAGTGAGCTTAGAAAATATAGTTTAGAGTCAAAGACTTTGAGTTAGTAAGTAATGGATAAAGGTAATGGAGTAAATGTGACAATATGTCATGGGCAATGTTTATAGCTGTTACTATACGCGTATATCTTAAACATTCGAGTTAAATAATTAATTTACGTTTAGGTATCAATCTCAAATTACCAAATGTAATCAATAAGAAAATTTTGGTAATGAAATTACTACATTATAACTTAATTCTAATAACTTGCAGTATACTTATATGCTTATAATACTGCACATTTGTTATTAAGCATATAATTTCAAATAAAGCGAATCAATATGTATCTATACATTAAAACAGTTTGTCCGTGTGTGTGTGAGTACTTTCCAGTACCTACTGAAGTACAGTACGCGAGTATTACGAGTAAGTAAGGGATCTGATAGCAAAATATTGATCTAGATTAGAGTAATAGTACTGTATGCACAAAAAGTAAAGTAAAATCTATAAATCAGTTAAAACGTATAATCTTATGCTGTGTTCAATACTACCATTTTGGCGGTGCATGCTTGAAAAAATTTATTGCTTCATACTATATCTGCATGCGTGATTTCTCTAAATCCTTTCAGAAATCATGAAATAACACATCATTGATTCTAAAGCCTCCAAGTGTAAGAGATTTACTCCAGAAATTGTTACAGCCATAAACTGCCATAATATTCAGCCCATTATTGAAGCTGAATGTGTACAACATTTATTCGGGAGTTATTTAATGCAATTATTTCCGTTAAATGTATTCGGGAATTCTTACAGAAAGACTAAATTTAAAATTAAAATTATTCAAAATAATCTAATCTGCTTATTACCTATACCCGTATTAAGCGTAAGAAAGACGAAAGTTATATTTATAACATCAGACTACTACGAGCCAAGCATAAATTTATACGATACAGTAACGCTTAAGACAACTCAGTTCGTAGCACATTGTACACCGGGGCCTCCCCGTTCATGTTCATCGTCACTATCTTCATGACCATAATAACCGGAATTAGACTCTGGATCTATATCAATAAGATCCACCTCTTCATGTTCATCACTAAGCTTTGGCAATTTAGAACGAGGAGGCAATAAACTTTCCAACGTCTAAAAACCAACAGTTAGGAAGTAAACGCCGCAATTAATAACGAACGATATAGATTGATATATACGTTATATATATATGCCATGCAGTCTATTCCCTATGTTTTACCTTAAGATTCTTTGCCGAGATTTCATTATCTTTGGGAAATTCGAGAGTAAATTTAATATACAAGTTACCCCTATCGAAGGCTCTTTTAGGATGTGGCATCCCTTCGTTTACTACACCTCTTACACAACCTATTATGCGAAGAAAAGCAATACACGAATCGTTATATATGTATGTACTCTAAGGGAGGGAAACTTGTTCTCCTAAAGAGAACAGTATAGAAGACCATATACCTGGTTCAATGACTTGACCTTTATTATGGCTAATCAGTAACTGGCGCCCATCAAGATGCTTAATTACCAATTGGAAGCCGCAAAGAGCTTCACATAATTTGATCTTATGTTCCATCAGTAGATCATTACCATGACGTTGAAAGATTTCATGTTCTTTTTGTTGTAAAATAATAATTACATCTCCAGGCTCTAAACCAGGCTATAGAATAATTGGCAATTTAAAAATTGAAAACTTACTAAATCACAAATATGAATTCTTTTTTAACTTACAGTTTGATCACCTTCACCATGAAACGTAATTTTTTGTTCGTGCCTCATGCCTCTATCGATATGTACCTACCAAGAAATTTTTAGTCTCGATGATTAAAGACCCACTTAGTCATTGAGTTAAAGAAAGAAATTAAAAAAAATCAATCATTTACCTCAAGTATTTTCGTTTCCTTAATAACTTTTTTGCCCTTACACTTAGGGCACCTATCTTTTTCTTTGATTGTTTCCCCTTATTAGTAAATCAAATTAAAAAAGTAAGGTAAATTTTACACTTTTCTTTGAGCTATCGCTAAATGAGACGTACCTTCCCCATGACATTCTGGGCATGTAGTTTGTAACTGTTGTACAAGTCCTGGGCCTAACTGACGCAGAGTAACTTTGACTCCTCTCCCATTACAGTCGCTACAAGTCTGCACTTTTCCAGATTTTCCACCATTACTGAAACAACAAAACAATACATATTGAATTAAAAATGAAATTATCAACAAGTTACTTGAGAAAGCTTGATGATTTACCCGTCACATTGGCTACAGATGACATTTTTTGTCATTTGAAGTTTGGTATCTTTTCCATTATATAGATCTTCCAAAGTAACTCTAAAATTAAATAGAATCAAAGTAAAGTGAAGTGACAATAATATAGACCGCTTATAGATTAGACAACAGACTTGATTCATTTGATGATACTGCAAAAGCAATTACCTCAACGGATGCACAGTATCTTCTCCTCTTCGTGCACGACGTCTTCCACCTTCAAATATAAATATCAGTATGAATAACAGGCGCAATAAGCGTAAATGAATCGATTCGTATATGCTTTTAAAACTCTATTAACTACGACAATTTTGTATTTATTACCGCCTCCAAAAAGACCTCCACCAAATATATGAGAGAAAATATCTTCTCCAAATGATCCTTAACAAATAAAAATAGAAAAAGTAAATTTCAGATAAAGGTCGATGCTAAGAATTAATGAAATAAGCATTTTACATCAAAAAATGCAATTCCATCACACGGTACCTCCATCTCGGCCGCCTTCTTGCAAACCTTTCTGACCATAGCGGTCATATATATTACGCTTATCTTTATTTGATAATATTTCGTAGGCAAAGCTGATTTCTTTAAACTTTGTTTTTTAAATAAAATATACATTTTTGTTCAAACAAGCTTTACGATACTGTCCTAAGCTGTACAATTTTCAACAATTAAACTATGCATCTTAGCAAATAAATTTCCAGGTAAACGCTATTCCATAAAATACCTTGTCCCCAGCATCAGGGTTCTTGTCCGGATGGTATTCCTTGGCTAATTTTCGATAGGCCTAACATAAATGATACACGATTACTAAGGCATGTACAGTATTACCTAATTAGGATTAAATATTACTACTTCTGTTCCCGTAAATCATTAATGTCATAAAGTGGACAGTAGAAAGGCATAACCAGCTATAGCTTATAGACCATTTGTACTCCAATCGAGATGCGCATTTTGAAATATGGTCAAGGTTAACCTTAAGCAAGTAAATCGGCTACTGCATATACAAATACACGTGAATTAAGATATTTTACGAATTTAAAGGCAGATTAATCACAATTACTGCCAGGACTTAATAGAGTAAATATGCTCGTGACATATATACCTTAAATAAGTTCCTTAATAATAGCTCCATAATGCGCAATTACTGAATTTCATAGCAAGTGCTAAAATTTACATTAAAGCGTTTAAGATACGCACTATATACTAACAACCAAAAATATAATTTGCTGGAGGCACTAACGAGAATTAGAACTCGCGATGAGTAAGAATACGTATTGCAGTTACACCTAGTTACAGCGGTTCAAGGAAGAAGTAAGCAACGTGATAACCTCAATTTTCTGATGGAAAATGCGCACGCGATTGTTGTTACAGGTGTGGCTAGTACGCTACCGTGAGCAAATATAGTATATCCACATTGGTTACTAGGCTATTTACAGATTCACTGTAACCCTGCAGCCAAGTTGTTGTTACTACATGCAGTTAAGTTAGCATAAAATAAATTGATAAGCCGGCATGCATTGATTAATCCGATTCGTATCTGTAGCAATGAAAAGGTTGCACTCGTTCACTGCTTCATCAATAGGTATATGCAATGCTATTCAAGTTAAGGAGTAACTTCAGCGACTACTGTACTCTTTCTCTCGATAGTCACTAGTAGCTTATTATATTCCCAACATTGACAGTTTTACTGTATACTGTACAGTACTCCATTCTGAAAGTACGGCATACTACTGTAAGAGGGTATCCATTCAATTCTATTTTATTGTCGTAGCTTCAAAGTTTCCAAGCATGATGATGCAATAAATACACATATTAAACAATAATATTAAGCAACCCTGGGCGAGGCCAAATATCGTCCAAACCAGCCCACGATTCACCTAATCCTAGTGTAAAGCCTGCTACTTGAAATTTACAGCACAATATATTGTGTATCGTTATAGAAAAACAGACAGATTGATGATCCAATTATGCCATTTTTAGCTGGTTGTCTTTGCAATAAAAATTCCCGATCAGTCCAAGCAGTTTGAAGACATTATAATAGGATTGTCACCTCTCACCATATTGAAAAGTGAATCTTAGCCCATGCAAACGTTCTTAACATATAATATTGTCTTAATTTTCCCAATTCAACTGTGTGGAAAAGATATTGAACTGGCACAAATTGCAAAAATTGGTTTTGCAATTCCTCTACCAGTCAAAATGTGGCTGACTGATGGCAGTGTTGCCTAGGCTCATAATGAGTTGTGTATCGTTACGCGTACCGCCTTGCGCTTCCAGCAAGGTAGCATGCCATCTTCTGGGTTCGTCAGCCTATACAAAGTCCTCTTGTACGCTAGACTACACTGTACACTGTACAGTAGAGCATGGCTGACATTCACCTCACCACGGCCGGCACAATGACGTCAAGCATGCTAAGAGTACAACCACCCATTCACTCATCCATGTGGCATACTGTGCCTACGGCGGTGTGAATAAAGTAAGTACAGTATCCGCAGCATCGATTCATGTTCCAGAAACATCGATTGCATCAATGTTTTAACTCTAGGGCCGGATTCAACGTGGCTGCCGAAATACTTTATTGCAGTATGTATCATGATTCAACACTGGATAATCGGGCCATCACCGTCCAATTTTCAATACGTTTGGCTTAATACAACATCGGCGTCCACTATTTTCTCAACTAGATATAAGAAATTGCTTGAATTGTATTGTAGTCGACTGTCTCTATTCTTACTAAGCTGCATATACTATCGTACCGGTGTAGGTTCAACTTGCTGTCTATCCATGTAGCGTGTAAAAGACTCATTCTTTCAATTGACAAGTCATTGGTAGCGCTACATTAGACTCAAGTAACCTTTCTTATTTTAGTGAATGATTGGGATCTACAACTAATTTTAATGCTAGTGAGCGGAGTCTAATATCCGATTATGAAATTCTTTGATAATCGGGTTACATTCTAATTAAATATTATTATAATGCCGTTCAGTTAGTGTTGTATTTTAGCTATGATGACTGTGCAAGTACATACAGTGTACAATCATTTCTCTACCAATATCGTTCACTGTCATCTCACAGCAAAGAATGAAAAACTCTGTCGTATAATATGTACTGTATACCATACTGGAATTGGAGTCTACAACATACCTTCTTTAATTCGCTGTCAGAAGCGGTTGGAGTAACGCCTAAGATATCGTATAATTTGGTATCCACCGGCATAATGAAATAAGAATTGGAGAAATTCGAGTTTTAAATTTGGAAACAGCAATGAACGCACGATAGTATCCACGGTCTACTTATTTCAATGTGGTCAAAGTTGTAGTTATAGAGAGGGGTTAAAAATAGTCCGAACGTCTAGGCGTCTGAAATCCTCAGTACCGTACCGTACTCGATACAGTGCCATGGGCTACTGACTTGTAAAACAGTACAGTACTGTACACTGTACACTGTACACTGTACAGTACAGTACAGTACAGTATAGTGCATTAAGCACAGCACAGTATTTACTGTCGTAGTCCGTACTCCATAGTCATTACTGTACTGTACAGTATATAATGTATTGTAGTGTACTGTACAGTAGGTCATGGACTATTCAATTAAATCAATTTTCCCGAGGAAATAGAGTACTGTACGGCACTGTACACTATACAGTACAGTACTCTACTATACTGCATGTACAGGAAAAAAACAACTCTTTGAAGTTTTACTTTACTGTATAGTGTGTACACTAGAGACTCTTAGAGTATATATGAGTAATTGCTTAGGAATGATTATTCAGTCGTAGAGGCTCTTTCCTTTTCTTTCATTTTTTACCCCTAACGAGCTGAGTCATGACATGCTGTACTGTACTGTACTGTACACTACTGTACCATGGACTACAGTACAGTAGAAGGTTTTCTTTTAGTAGTCCATGACTGTACTGTACTGTACACTGTACAGTGTACTGTACAGTGTACAGTACTGTACAGTACAGTGTCATTAGAGCGACTGTAAAAACCGGTGAATTAGTACAGTATACTGTACTGTACACTGAGTACAGCAGGTGGGTCTGACATCCTTGCAACTGAACCGTGTTGGCCCGGCAACATCTCCGCTGCGACCTACACCATCATGGCTGGCAATTATCAAAATGAACTTTCCTCAAATTTAATGCGCATGAAAGTAAGTCAATCTCTTTTGGTTGCTGTTGTCAAGCTTTCATTTCGAGATCCGTTGACTTAAGTTGGATTGGTTGAATTCTAAGCTGACAGTAGCAATACGATAATAGTAATACAGTAAGCACCATGATTCAATGGACTGATGCTGTGCAGTGTCCATCTTCTTCTAGTTCTTGTACTAAATAGCAAGCCCTGTCCATGATTATAGCTGCAGCATAATATTATCTTATTTGCTATCGTACTGTGAGGCCAATCGAGCTTCAATTTCTACAATAAGATTGAAAAAGCATATCTGTTTAACGTATAGGGTTGACAATGTTTGCAATGGCATGTCGATCAACTGACAATGCATAAAATGACCACTCTGCTGCTGCACGAGGGTATATACTGTACTCGTATACTGTATACTGTTGTAGGGTCTTGACTACTGTACAGTATTAAGCAACTCATCAACCGAAAGCAATTTCCCACCATGAAATCGACACATAGATTCATGATAAAGGGGATTCGGTTAAGACAGTTATCTACTTTACAATTTACTCTTTCAGTCTGAAAGAAATCTACTGTGTAGTTGTACCATTGATTTTGCCATGCCATCCTGAAGATAGTATAATCTACGTATAGATGATAAAGGATGTGTTCTCCGATGTTGTCTACATTTGGTAGTCAGCTGATCCAGTTTCAATCTCCTTCAGTCATATTGCCCCCAAAAAGAATTATGATTGCTTAAGTTAAAGTTAAACCTCCTTCTAATGCAAAGTAGGTATAGTTTATTTTAATCGTTGTTGAACCTTTTGGAAGCTGGTCGTTAACGCGGTTAATTCAAATCAAATCCTTTCATTCTGATTGCAAGTAGGATTACTAAGAAATCAATAACAGTTTCCTATAATTTCAATCATCCTACAGTATACAGTATACACAATGCAATGCAAATACGATTAATAATTGGTACTTCGAAAGAAATATCCCCGTAAGAAGTAATTGCTACTCCTAAATTACGCTGTACCTCTGATTATACCTTGTAAAACATGAAATCAAGATGTAGCATCTAGGTAGTTACACAAGGATAAAGCAGCATACTAAGCTAGACATTCACAATCCTGTAATATTCCATGATTTTATAAACAAGTCTTATTTAGTATTGAATTTTTATTTATTTAGTTTATGCAACGTAACAATAAGAGATCAGATATTGCTGAAGATACCAATAATACTTTAAATACTTCCCAAAATTATGGTGCTTTTCAAATAAGGTGAGTTACATATATTTGTTTACAGCTTGGATAGACTTAGCTAAAAGAAATCAATTAATGTAAATATATTACAGCGTAAAGCATTGATCACTAATGTTATATTCATTATTTTACAGTAAAAATATAGTGATGATTCCTAGTTACGTTCCATGTAAGCCATTATTTGAACTCGGTAGAATGTCCTTTAGAAATTTTAATCCAGAAATAGAGGTACTATTTTATGCCTGAAACATTTTATCTTGAATCTTTATGACATTTTATAGCTCTGATACTGTACCGGTATCGAAAGTTGCTTTGCTAACTATATTCAATATTCTGCTCGCTAAATATTGCCAATGTTTGTCCTACAGAAACTTTACAATGAGCAATACACAATCTATGAACAAAGTTTAGCTAAAAATTCTGAAAATACAACAACAACAACAACAGAAACAGATTTAAGTGCAGAAAAGGATATTTCAGATGAAGAATTGGCTAGAAGGTATTCTTATAATTGATTAATAAAATTCTAGTAACTTTAGAATTGCAAATTGGCTATGACGCTATTTCTGTATGTATCATCTTGCGTATCCCTACAACACTATTTACTAATTTACCTGTACCGATAGCAATTATACTAGTAGCATTGATGACATTGTTGGCGTTAACAATTTTTAAAATTCTAATTCTAATTCAGCTAAAATTAAGTGTCCTTCATTAAATGGGTACTAAGCCTAGCGTAATCATTGAATTTTCTGTTACTTCATAGATATAATACTTTAGTCGATAGTATTGGTAAGAAACTAAAAAAGAAGAGATCTAGCAGCCATATGAATCAGGCATCCCCGATGCAATCTAGTACTTCTTTCCAGCCGTTTAAGAAAAAGAAAAAATTCTTAAAGCCTAACGTATAATCGATGGTCCTTATAAAATTTTTAAGAATATTTTCTTCCTAAACTATGTAAATACAACCTATAAATGAAGCATAATAAATTCTTATAATTTTATAATCTTTGTAAATATGATGCAAAAAATACGAGATATGGTAATAGGAAATCGACAAATAACCTTGTAGATAGCAACACAAAATCAACGAGCTCAAGTTGATTCAACATCAATAGCTTTTACTTTTATTTCTACGATTTTTTTATATAATATTGCTGGCAGTTTAGAATTTAAAACATTAAATTGCGAGTACCATTGAACTACAGATACTACAGTATTGTGAGCTAGTCTTTAAACCTAGAAATGCCTAGATCATAGAAGTAAAAAATTTTGATTTGGCAATATGTGTCGACTGTTTGAATTTAGCAGTCTTCTCTCGATCGTCCATGACTGACATAAACGACAACATGAACCGTTAAACGTGTTACACTGCTTCTCTCTCGAAATTTTTATAGCAGTTTCTGTGTTTGAATATTAATAGCACCAGAACCGATATGACTAACAAAACGTACAACTTGTTCAATTAATACGTAGTCACTTTAGTAGAAAATGATTTAATTTAATAATAAACTCGGAAAATTTTAATTTAACTTCGGTACTTTACTCCCCAAAGTTATAGGTAGATCAATAGTTGAACAACTTTTCGATAAAAATTCGATAACATGCACGCGTCTATGTGGATCGTAGCTGAGAATTAAGCTACAGTTTTACTAAAACTAACAATATCCATTTAACTTGATTGTATCGCTATACGTATATGCAAGTTAGACGAAGCTTACACTATTTTTCTGGTATTTTATTTCTTATAGAATAAATTTGTTGCTTTCAGTGTAAATCGCAACATAATCACAGTGTCATCATTCAAATAACTAAATGCAAGTTTGTCTTAGAATGTATACATCGTCGATAAATGATTTATAGTACATCAACAATTTGTTATCTCATTAGAAAAATTGATCGAGTTACATCTGTTGCAATGTCATTAATGAGATCGTAAAGCAGCATTTGCAGTACTGGTAGTACAGAAGAATTTTTAAATGGTTACCTTTAATTATTAGAATCAATATTGATTTGAATGTACATATAGTAAATTTCATATTTCATATAGTAATTTAGCAAGCAATACTTTTATCATTTTTAAATCGGTATAAAGGCTTAAATGATTTAAATCTACTTTTCAAGACTATAAAATTTTATAATAAAGTGCCATCATTTCTTAATGTTCTTTTGGTATGCAAAGTAGAAGAGAATATTTGCTACATTTCTCATATAAATAATATTGAATAAGTAAGTGGTTTATATATCCATCTTTGATATGCGATAATTTTTTAATCCAAAGTAATATTTTCCGTTCAAATAACCCTCACAATACATCATTTTTTGGAATATAGATGGCTTAAAATTGGAATAATCTTTAGATGAAAAATTTACTATTAAATAACTGTATGATATCGATAATTCCAACAAAATAGGAGTAACCTTTAGAGAACTTGAATATATATAAGTATAATATACAAAATAACTGAAATTACATTAATTCTTGTAAATATTGAAAGCTGATAATAATTACATATAAAATTGGGCTACAGATCTGCAGCAACATTCATTAACTGCAAAAAATAAGCTATACTTTTAAGTCTGACAATTATAATTTATTACTTCGTAATTAAAGAGTTATTAAATAGCGGTACTATGCTATAAACTATTTGAAAAGATCATTGAATATTATATTAGAGGATTCTTACTTTATGGATAGTCTCTATTAACTGAAGTTCTGGAAGAATTTTCTGATGTGCTTTCTTTTTCTTCCATTCGTCGAGATTCAATATAAACAGGATCTGTATGAGATAGTAAGCGTGCCCCAATGGTACGTTCAGTATTTTTCTGATCTTCAATATCTTTAAGAGCTTTCTTAAGTTCTAATCTAGATCTTTTAATGACATAAGCCATTAATCCAATACTAACAAGAATTTGAAGGCCAACAATGAGATAGCTATCGATACGATTGCTATCAGTGACATCTTCCATGCTGCGTAATTTAGATCCAATGTATGCATTAATAAGTATTAATGGCAGATTTCCAGTCATTGTCGCTAATGCAATTCTTGTTATACCAGCATCTGTTATCTAATGATGATAAAAATGAGAAGATTTGTAAATTCTTGATTTAATAGGCATATAATCGTAAAAAGTTAAATCTATATAACGTCTATCAGTATTATAGTAAATTAAGTACATAGATTAACATTAGATAAATTTATCACTAAAGTTGCTAATAGCATGTCAGCAAGTACTGTAAAAATAATCAAGAAAATGCTGTAGATGATCAATAAATTTTCTAACATTTGTCCTATTTTACAATGACTATCATTTTCATGTAGTATTTAGGATAAACTATAGCATATTATACTATATTTAACGTACTATTAAAATGGAGCTGAAATTACATATCTTACATTGGCATCCAAAAAAGTTATGGACAAAAAAAGTGATTCAAATGCCTTCAATATGTTGTGCTATACTTACAGCAAATAAACCATTTTGAAATCCATAAGGCATAGGCGTTAAACGAGACAACGCTATTACACGATATCCTTTTGGCCCTTCAACTAGACTAATTAAAGCTCTAATATAACTTCCATCAGTCGCCATTTGACGCCTAAAGTAGTTTTTACAAAATCGTCTGCATATGACGACAGAGACTATAACGCCAAAAACCGAAGAGATGAAAATAATTACAAAACCTAAGAGCCAGCCGTAGATAAAGCCAGCGGCTAAATTTAATACAATTAAGCCCCATGTCATAGGAAAAGATACCGTAGTGACTAATAACAGAAAAATTAGCGAACCTTGCCATGCTGGTAATATTTCCATCCATGTTAATAGACTGCTTAAAAATTCACGAAACAGTAATATGATAATCAAACATCCTCCTATAAATATCAAAATTGTTGTCGTTAAACGTCCATAACGTGTAGCACACCAATTATTAGAAGATTTCGATGACTTGTTATCGTCAGTACGCATGGTACCATTCTGAGTTGTTTCTAGATTATGCTTGTAATCATCGACCATGGTTATAGGTTATATTATATAAAAGGCAGTCGGGTTATTCGATTGATCAGTAACTAGAATAGTAGGAATTTAGACGGTAAAATCTCTCTAATTCGATTGAAGGTTTTCAGAACATTTAATAATATAACAGCAAATTAATTTGTCGACAATATCCTTCTCTATTAATAATTGATTGTTTAGAATACCCAATAATGAGTAATATATAATTGTCGTTAATTCGTATTAAATTATCACGATAGCCAATACTCTCATCATCATTGGAGGTGATATTGTGTCGAGAAGTAATCAAATGATGTTGTGGTTTTTTTCTTCGATAGTAAAGCTCACATTCATCTCCAATTCCATGCAATGTAACTCTGGCTCCACACTCTCCTTTCTACAGTATGTAACGTGATCTGCTAGATAATTAAATTAATTTTACTCGAACATACTGTTCGCTGTCATGATCATATGGCACCAAAAGGTAAAGATATTCCTTTTCTATAATATTCCTATTACTACATCCGATAGAAAGCAAACAAGAATAGTTAGCCCATAAGATACAATGACAAATTTATACTATACTGTTATCTAAGTTATTAAAAATTTCTATAGTTTAAGACTGAATCTAGGTTCGTGTATAGCATGTGTTTCTTCTCAATAGAGTTAGTTCTCGTTTTCGATTACAATTATCCCGTTTTTACTTTCTAACTTACCAGGTCTTTGCCTAGGTAATTCCATGACCTTCTTGTATTAACAATATATTTCTCTCTTTCTCTTACTTCTTACCCTTAATATTGTAATTTTCCTTGGATATTCAATTAAGTTTGTGCCTCATCTAGTTTCCAAATATACCACTGGAACATGATGCTTGCAAACTGTAGGTAGTTTGAAAAATGAAAGAAACTTTTGAATAAATCAGAATAAAAGTTTGAATTACTATCCTATCCTGTCTTCTACCAGGACCCTATTATTTTAATTTGCATTCTACAAAGCAAGAAACATATTTCTAAAGACATTAACCCTTTCATTAATTTATTAGTCATTCTTAGTCAGTATATAGTATTGCAGTAGTTTCTAAAAATCATTCTCTTTCTATTGATAAAAGATATCATTCTGCAGCTTGAGATTTCGCAGTAATCTATGGAAAAGATTACAATCATTCTACAGATTAAGATTTCGTGATAATTTTCAGAGATGGTCAAGGTGGATTGCCTATATAATGGAAAGAATCGTATTAAAGCGGATATTCCCCCCTTCGCCCACAAAAATGATGTTCTATAGTTTAAAATTCAGTGATGATATTTAGAGATGATAATCACTGATCGTACTGGTAAAAGGGCTATATATACTAGTAAGAGAACTATATTACGTGAAAGCAATTTTCCAGCCAAAAGGATATCATTCTATCATTTTAGATTTCGGTATAATATTCTAAATATTATCGGGAATTGTATTTAAAGCAATTTCATTGGTAAAATTAATGTTCTTCTCATCGATATAATCATGTGCTGGTAGTTTTAATTTTCATGATGACTTTAGTAATTATCGTAAACTATATTATTCTAAAGCAATAGGAAAATAAATAGTCAATGTATTAATTAATACAGTAGAATTTTTTGAAATAAAGGTTCATTTCCTAGCACTAAGCTAGCGTTATGAAGAAAAATCTAATAATGCCGGGATAAACAGAAATCTCTTTAAAATATAATTCATAAAGTAGTACTAATATCAACTACTCTCTTCAATATAGAAAGCACCAGTCTCTTATTGTCGCAACTAGCTACTAAACGCAATGATAACTGTTCTTTCCATAACAAGAAATAAAATTAGCTTGCGTGTTTAGTTAGAGTAGCTAAAAAAAGAAATGAAGCAATAATGCAACAACTTGGGTTACCTTATCATTCGTTAAACAACTATTATAAAGTGTACGAATTGAATACTTTACAATCCAATTTCAAGTGATGATATACAGCTCAAAACGACTATTTTAGTAATAACTTGATTAATGTAACTGCGATATTTTGAAAAATTGATCGCTATGTTTCCAAGCTATTCGCTTTAAAAATTCAAAGGGATGGAAATTAAAAAAATTTTACGGATAGAAATTCATATATCGTGTATGGATTTACAGCAAACAATATCCGTCATTAAACCTATTCTAGTTGATATAGCGTTATTTTGTATTGGTCGATACTTCAGATTTTAAGGACTTACGACTTATTTGTATCCATATTTACCTATCTGAATAATTTAAAAGAAAAAAGAATTATTGTACCGAGTGTATTTAAACAGTAGGCTTTAATTAGTCTGTTGTGTCTTTTTTTTATTTTCCGGTGACATCGGAGCAATTAAATAACTGGGATATGCGCTGCCTTCCGGTATCCATAATAATTGAATAGTTTTTAAATAGAATTATACTCTATGATCAGACGATGCATTGACTTTCATAGCAATGTCAATAGCACTCAATTGAACCGAAATTTATTAAACGGGATAGAAACAGACAAGCTTTTTCTCTTAAGCTATTCTTAAATTCTGTCAACATAATAATTCACTTATTCGTATGAAGCTGTTCAAGTACGAGGTGTAAATAGCTATTGGCGTATTATTATTTGTAAAGGGCTGAGATAGTTTTACACATGATGCACATTATTATGGCTTTATAGACTGGTGATAATGTGCCAAAAGCGGTTAATATTGACGCAGAAATGTTGAGATCGGATTATTGCAATAAAGTGAAGATAGGTACAGCATAGAGGAAAATTTGAATACTTTTTCATCATACTCTACAAGAAAATGATCAATGAAGCATCGAAATTTTACCGTAAGAAATTGGATCTCAAGAAATGTTCCTACATTTCAACAAAGTCATGCTATGCTACTGTCTATTTACAAGAGCTTCTATATTAACAGTTTGTGAGCATCTATATGAAAACATCAAATAAGGACAAACCCAAACGATTATAGATCGCATGATATAAAATTACATTGAAATTTTGCATTTTTGGGATTTTAAAATAGTGTAAATGTGTAGTAAGATCATTTTATCAAAGGAAGTTAGCAAAAACTTTCGTCGCTAGGTGTCAGAAGAAAGAACTGCTTCTGTGGCTACGATCTTTATTATACGGCATACTGTATGATATAAAGTTAACTGTACATTAAAATTTTATATTCTCTGGATTTCAAAATAGTAAAAAACCTCGTTACTAGATGACAGAAGAAGAACTGCCTTTATGACTACGATCTTAAATGGTATGTTATTATATTACTACAGTAGAATAAGTAGAAATAGGGTTACTTACAGACCTGGGATTAATTCTTTATCTCACTATTTTAGCCAGCTTTTCATTACAATCACGGTACCATGTTAAAAGATCGATAAAATAGTTTATTTTCGATATACGCTTATAATATACCGCACTGTTAATACATAACTTACCTTGGAAAGCAATAACAAGGTTTATACCGGCATCTATAGTACATCAGGATTTTATTTTAATTACCGTCAAGGTTTTTTCGACATATTCTAAATGTTGCTACACTCCATGATATAGATTGGCTATTAAAGACTTTACTTAACGGAGGCAATAATGGCCCATATCGGTATAATGAGGAAAAGTAAAGCATTGTACTTTCGATTCAGTAACAGTATTCTTCTATACCGCCCGAGGCTGAAATAAATATATCGAATCCATTGTTCATAGTTAATAGCTACGTTAAAAGATTAAGTGAAAAGAAAGTAGGTTTCCTCTTGAAAGCTATTTGATACACTTTTGGTATTTACTGTATATGACGTGTAAAATATCAACCAGCCTAAGGGACATGAAGATAGAATGGCTCTTTTGGTTCTTCCTGGTTGTTTAATTTAGAGTTTTGACCCCGTTGTAAAGATGAAGGGAAAAAATTATAATCTTTATAAGACTGAAAGCATTTGCTAGAGTTTAAACTTAATATACGTAATAATAAAACAGGAAGAGAGTTCTTCGAAAGGCCGCTGCTACTTTCATGTTTTGTCAATTAAATGCAGTACATTTGTATTATTCAAAAAATTTCCACATAAATGATGACAGACGTATTAGGAAATGATTGTAACTTCGGCACGTAAATTTACGATTGCTCTTTGATACAAGCTCAAATGGCAGAAATGTAGAAATGTCTCGAATTACTTTCATCGAGTGGCTAGGTTAAAGCAAACTTAAAACCTAATATGGAAATAGACTAACGTGAAAGAAATATTGTACCTTCTACTCTATTCTAGAACCTTGGGCTGGGATTTACTCAATTTCTTCTTCAGTTTAATCTAGTCTTTTAAGGTATATTTAAGTTTCAATCTCCGGGTTGTATTTCAATATGGACATTATTAAACAGCCTGATATAAAAAAATAATTCATTAAGTGTAAAATCTTGCATGAAAGGATTGTCAACAGTCGGTAATAGAAAGGCATTTTACTAACTTATACTACTTTGTTTCGCTTTAAACTCCAGATTTTTTTAAACTGAAATTGATATTACGAAAACAATTAACGCAGCGTGCATAGGGTTAAAAATGAAACTGATTCTTTACACAACTTATTCGGTCAGATGTTGCTTACTAGAAGAAACTGAAGGCTAAATAAGTCTACATGTAGCATACGGGGAAAGCAACCGTTTCATGATTATTTTAGATTTTATATGCTCTTCATTTTTCGTGTTTCTTCTTTCATTGTTAAAATGTCAAAATTATTGCGTAGAATCAATGTTACAGTAGTCGTGCTACAAGTACCATATTTGTATGTTTTAAACGATAGCGCCATAGAAGGAGAAAATCTGTACCTATTGAATGAAGTAAGGCGGATTGTATTGCAAATCTGATCTAGGATAGGAGTAAACGTTTACTGATAGCCCCAAATGTATAATACAAAATTTTTGACGGCTACAGCAGTACTGGCACTGATAGATCACATTGCGTGATTCAAAGGTTTTAATGAAGATGGCAAAAGCTCCGAGCAAAGCAACCAAGAAAGGAAATAAAGGCTTCAAAGTAATCCCTCTTTAAAGGAAAAATGATCGGCTTTCAATCCATATCGTGGCATATATCCTACAACTGCTAAGCACGATAGCATCGCTGATGATGTTTACGATCCGTTACGTAGTTCACGTTGCATCAGCATCAAGGAAAGACCTTCTCGAGTCATAAAATAACAGTCAAGGGAGCCATAATTGTCAACGATGATCAATTTTCCCATTTGGCTTGGTCGTTTAGTAAAACTTTTTACCTTAGCAATATTGAATTACAACTCCATTCCCCCAATATGGAGGGTAAATATAAAATGAAAGTCAGCAATTATATTTATTTTTTATCCATATACGAATGAACGATAGCATAATCACAGTCACTTTTGACGAAAGAGTTCTCCTGACAAAAGAGTCGCTAGGAAAGATGATTGATGGGAGTAAAATCATCTTCAAGAGTGATCCCAACCAATTGAATAAGCATCCTTAAAAACCTCTCTCAAATTACAACTAAAACAAAACGAAAGTTGATATCATAGGCTACAAGTCAGGATAACGATATCGAACTAATACGAACAGAATTATTTTTATTAATATTATTGAGGATCAGATAACGAGACTTATCATCACTAAGTTGTTTATGTTACGATTACAACCCAAGAAAGTTGCCAACTCGGGCTGAAAGATCGTTCTTACAGTATAACTTCGAGGTATGAACGGTAGAGAGGAAAATTATACACTTTGCCGTTTTCCATCTTCTACGATTAAGTCAACGCGTTTTACCATCATAAAGGAGTTCAAAGACGGCAGTAATAATGGAAGAAATTATTCTAAACGATTACGTACTGTGTTCATTCATTAATTCATTATTCCTACCTTGGACAGCGTAATTACTCCTATAGCTTGAATGGATCAGCTTGTAAATGCTCGTTCAACGGATGGTATTGATCGTGAGATCCCTGATTGATATGTTGGCCTAATTGAAGAACAGTATTGCTTAATATACCTGATGATGAGTTAATATTTCGATCTGGCATCAACAAAAGTCCATGCCTACTGTTTACTCTAACATACCCAAGCGGATAGGCTAAATTAACAGCTACCATGGCAGCACTGTTTACAATTATTATACACTGTAGAATAACTGTAAACAGGGCTATAAACTGTATATAATAGACACAGTAGTTTCTGTTTAGAGGCAAATATTTTTCAGTACCAAGATATTGCTTAATTAGGCAGTTTGTGTCATAAGACGTAAATTTGAAGTCGATTTGATCTTTCGTATGAAATACTGTAGTTGCGTTTCAGTACCAAGACATTAATTAACTACAAGTCGATTTTGATCTTGTTTTAGAATGGAAATAGTTGCGTTTCACTACCAAGATATTAATGGATGATCTTGCTTTAGTATGGAACAATTGTGTTTTAGGACTAGCGAAGATTAAAGTAGATTTTGATCTCGCTTTAGGTATGGAACAGTGGCATTTTATGAATGAACTGGAAGTAATTTTGATCTTACTTTAGTCTAGTTAAATTTCAGCACCAAGACATAACTTAACTACAAGTCGATTTGATCTTGCTTTAGTTTGGAATGGTTGTAGTACCAAGATATTCATTAATCAACTGGTATTCTCGCTGTAGTTTGGAATAGTTACGTTTTAGTACAAAATTAAGTAACTGTAAGTAGATTTTGATCTCGCTTTAGTTTAAAATAGTTGCGTTTCATGAATGAACTGGAAGTAGATTTGATCTTGCTTTAGTCTGGTTCTATTTCAGTATCATGACATTAATTAACTACAAGTCGATTTGATCTTGCTTTAGTCTGGCTCTATTTCAGTACCATGACATTAATTAACTACAAGTCGATTTGATCTTGCTTTAATATGGAATAGCTGCATTTTAGTACAAGATTAGCTGACTATAAGTAGATTTTGATCTTGCTTTAGTATAAAATAGTTGCGTTTGACGAATGAACTAGAAGTCGATTTGATCTTGCTTTAGTATGGAACAGCTGCATTTTAGTACAAGATTAGCTGACTATAAGTAGATTTTGATCTTGCTTTAGTATGGAACAGCTGCATTTTAGTACAAGATTAGCTGACTATAAGTAGATTTTGATCTCGCTTTAGTATAAAATAGTTTCATTTAACGAATGAACTAGAGATCGATTTGATCTTGCTTTAGTCTGGTTCTATTTTAGTACCAAGACATTGATTAACTACAAGTCCATTTGATCTTGCTTTAGTATGGAACAGCTGGGTTTTAGTACAAGATTAGCTAACTATAAGTAGATTTTGATTTCGCTTTAGTATAAAATAGTTTCATTTGATGAATGAACTATTTTTTAGTACTAGATTAGCTAACTATAAGTAGATTTTGATGTCGCTTTAGTATAAAATAGTTTTATTTGATGAATGAACTATTTTTTAGTACTAGATTAGCTAACTATACAGTAAGAATTTTGATCTCGCTTTAGTATAAAATAGTTTCATTTGATGAATGAACTATTTTTTAGTACTAGATTAGCTAACTATAAGTAGATTTTGATCTCGCTTTAGTATAAAATAGTTTCATTTGATGAATGAACTATTTTTTAGTACAAGATTAGCTAACTATAAGTAGATTCTGATTTCGCTTTAGTATAAAATAGTTTCATTTGATGAATGAACTATTTTTTAGTACTAGATTAGCTAACTATAAGTAGATTTTGATTTCGCTTTAGTATAAAATAGTTTTATTTGATGAATGAACTATTTTTTAGTACAAGATTAGCTAACTATACAGTAAGTAGATTTTGATTTCGCTTTAGTATAAAATAGTTTTATTTGATGAATGAACTATTTTTTAGTACTAGATTAGCTAACTATAAGTAGATTTTGATTTCGCTTTAGTATAAAATAGTTTCATTTGATGAATGAACTATTTTTTAGTACAAGATTAGCTAACTATAAGTAGATTCTGATTTCGCTTTAGTATAAAATAGTTTCATTTGATGAATGAACTATTTTTTAGTACAAGATTAGCTAACTATAAGTAGATTCTGATTTCGCTTTAGTATAAAATAGTTTCATTTGATGAATGAACTATTTTTTAGTACTAGATTAGCTAACTATAAGTAGATTTTGATTTCGCTTTAGTATAAAATAGTTTCATTTGACGAATGAACTAGAAGTAGCTTTAATGTAGTTCCATTCCGGTACCAAAACATTAGACATATCGCGCCTATATAAAGAGTACTTTGTTAGCTCATTAAGCGTGGTTACTATGCTAACTCAAGTCTTGATTCAGTGTCTTGGCTATGGGAATACAACATAGTTTAGGTACCGAGACTGTCGACAAAGAAATGGATATATATTCAGCAAATGTTAGTCTCCCCAACTATCGTTCATCGATAACGGTGCCATTAAACCAATCCATTCTGCCTTACTAAGTAGGACTATGGTAGTGCTATCGTAGTCTTTTCTTTTACCTCTATGGTACTAAGTAGAGAGCTCACAGTCAGTAAAATTAAAAATAAAATGTTTATTAAAAGGAAACGATAGGCGGTCTCCCCTTTCATTCTCTACGACACTATAGCGCTTTAGTCTGTTCAGTACTGTAGTATATCTACAGTATCAACTTCCCCGATACACAACAGCACAGTAGGATAGTAAAAATACTTGACCAACATCTTCTTACCATTTCTTACCCATCAATAAGGACAATCTCCGTCTCCTTGGACACTAATCATGTCGTACGATGCCAAAATGGATTATTTATCACGTAATATTCGTAATCCTTGGGCACGCCAAGCCTACATGCATATCATGGATGATGATCAAGATAAAAATTCAGATCCTGATCATGTAAGGCAAATTAACTTTTATATTAGTTGAATAAAACGATCCAAATCATGGATGAACAAACTGGATGTTATAATCTAACACTTGCTGCAAACAGCCATATAAATAAATAACTTGTCGTCAGTTAGTTCTGCCAGCAGCAGCAGCATATCGAATTGAGCATTGATTTTATTTGGTATACATGACGTCAAGTACTCATTACCTACACTACTGCCATTCAGCTCGATCATGGTTTTAATCAGTTTAATTGAATAATTTTATGCACCGTTTTATTCGACCTTATCTGATCAAAATATCGCTTTACATCTTCATGACCATTTATGATTGCTTAGTACTTTATAATAGACGAATATATACTGTAACTGAGAAAGAAGATACACAATTCAGTAGTGGTTTAGTCTGCACGATGTGAAATGCTGATTAAGGAATACCCTCAATAATACTGTTATTGATGGCTTTCATCAATATCATCTAACTACGCTACAAAATGCCATTCAGCCACATACTGATCAAAGTATCAATTTAGGTCTTCATGACGATCTACATACGTACAATATACATGTCACGAAGAAAGAAGAAATGTTACAATATTATTTAACAGCATATGGAATGCACCATTGGATTAGTATGCATGATGTGAAATACTGATTATCTACACTACTGTCATTTCTGCTCGACTATGCTTTTAATCAACCACTCGGAGTTATTATTATACTTCAGCCTTATTCTGATCTTCTTCTTGACCATCTACACATGTATGATTGATGCAACTAAGAAAAAAATATTATAACATATTCGTTATTGAAGAAAATCAATGATACGGGTATCGAACATTCGTTGATTAGATTCCACTCATGTTCAGTTTAATGGCTATCGTATAGCATATCTAGGCTACTATACGCACATAATAGTTTACAGAGCGTTTCCAGATAGCTTTAATGGATCTTAAATAGATCTCATTGATATCTCTTGTTCTTCTATCGAGTTATCACGATAATTAACTATGTTATTCATTGTAGTGGTACGATATTGATCTGGAAAAAATCGATTATAACCTGCGACATCTTTGTGTCAAAAGTACTATGGATCAAGAAACAAGACAATTTATTGATAGTTGCTGTGATGCATCAATCCTTAAAAATATTTTTGATTCAATTAGTTCTACATTTTTACATGCACTCTTTAGCCAGACAACAACGAATGGGTAAGTAAAACCTGTAAATTAATATCTTATAGTATCAGAGTTGAGCGTAGCATTCCATCGATATCTACTGTATCTTTTAATTTCTATTACTGTACCATGTTCCTTATACAGTATAAAGGCGAATCTGTATAACAGCGTATATTCTATTTTAATGAACTATGTGCACACTATGTTCAAGAATTGTAGCTGATGCTATATAATCTTTATAAATAAGCCTACTAGGTCGTGGATCAATGCATATTTTCGGCAGACAGCAGTTCTTAACGCTTGTTGGTAAATCGGGAGACTGGAGGATTCCGACGATGCTTGATCTAGGAGCCGGTGATGGAAATATTACATCGGTTATGGCGGAATTTGTCGAAAAAGTCTCTGTAACTGAGGTATCGAAATCTATGAGATGGCGACTTAATCGGCGTGGATACCAGTAAGTGCAATATTCATGTTTCAATTTTAACTTTCAGAATGTCGGTGGCAATAGGGGATTTACATTTCACACGATTTAAGATAACAAGGAAAATATGATTTTACATCGTGTACTGCCATAAATATTATTGATTAGAGCTATGATTGCCATGGATTCCTTTGTAGATGTGTTGATGCTTTCACATGGCCAGAACTATACCCTGGAAAATTCGATCTAATTAGCTGTCTGAATGTCTTAGACAGAACTGATCGACCGTTAACCTTGTTATCCAATATTAAGAAGTGTTTAAAGCCTGGCAATGGCATTTGTATTATTGCCGTAGTTGTGCCTGTTTCTTGCTATGTTGAATCAGGTATTGCTCTTATATCGAGTACTAGTCCATTATAATTATTTTAGATAGAGGTAAAAGCTAATTCATATTAAAGAACTTGTAGCTTTAGTTAATTACTACTTTACGTAGATACTCGTAATTCAGCAGGGGTGGCACTTCAATCGATCTAGTATGTCTTCTATTTAACGGCTTAATTTTACCGTCTGAAAGGAAGATTAGTGTTTATTTTTACAATACTCATTGCCTCTTTTGATCCAATCACAATTAATAATTTGATAGGTTGGTTTGGCTCCAATACACCGTCCGAAGAACTGAATGTTAGCGACGATAATTTCGAAGAATGTGTCAATAGTCTAATACAAAATGTATTCAATCCGGCTGGATTCACTGTTGTTAATTTTACACGATTACCCTATTTATGTCAAGGAGATCTCTATGAAAATTATTACGTTTTAAATGATAGTATATTTGTTCTTAAAAGTTCAATTCCGGTGACGCATATCTAGTGTTAGTTTTTAGTAACACTTTTGTAAATGGAAGTTCACTCTGATATAGTATTTAATATTTGATTGAGAATATACTATGCAAAGATATAATTTCATTCTAGAAAATTTTATATAACGTACAGTATTTATATTTTTATGATATTACATACACCATACTTGTAATAAAAAAGGCCTGAAGTAAATTCATTTCTTTTTATTTAAAGGTGTCAGTTTTAAAGTTAAACATACATTATATCATTCTTCATAAATATGCTTACTTAATAGCTAAGGTAATACCAAATACAGAAATAAAATAATGGATAAAAGTAAGTATTAAAGGAAAATAAGAAACATAAAGTGTAAATGACTAATATCAATTAAACTGTCATGTCCAACTACCTTCAACTGATTCTGAACTTAAGCGCTATCTCCAATCATATTGTAACATAAAAATTTAAATCACTACATTCAGCTTTAATATTTTATAAGAAGGCTGGTTTTAATACATTTACTGTAATAATGAATCTCGCAAGCATCCTTACGGTCTGAATGTAATTATAATTTATAGTAGCCATTGAAAGCTGTTATAACCCTTCAACACTATACTAGCAATAGAATCATCGGCGTGACTAATATACGCGCATTGTACATCAAGTGCATACAATAGCACTACAAATCTGATGATAAACCAAAATGAGCTGATTTCTTAGCAGTATTTGATCAAAACGCGGTAGGGTAATGTGAGGAATGATCTATAATTTTCTAAGTGAGCTTACTCATGAGAAATTAAGGGATTTAAATTGTTCCTTCACTGGTGTTTCGATAAAAGTCTCGTTGTATTAAACTAACGCGTGCATGAGTTCGTGATGGCTGCTCGATTGGAATTCGGCGGCCATATTCCGAAGATGATAGGATTGGAACTCTTCTTTCTCTTTCCTAGAAATGAAAGAGACAACGAATGAACTAACGGTTGCTATTTATAAACATCAAGACGATCTTAAAGGGATAAGATATTAGATCTAAGATTTATAAGTTGTCTACGGCAATTACCTCCCCATTAATATCTAAATCCAGTTTATGCTCACGATCATCTCGGTGTAGCTTTGCTATATAGCCTTCCTTCACATGTTGAACTCTGTCAAAGGGTGTAAGAACTTCACGTTCTTTCTTTGTATTGAAATAGTTGATGCTCTTATGCTCTTCTTTAGCCTAATAGTTAAAAATAATAAAAGCAATGATTACGAATCGTAAGCAATGGTTACAGTAAGGGGATAAAAACGATTAGTCCAATATCTGTCAACTTTAAATTTTCCAGCGAAGAATGATATAGTTGAAAACGGATTGGACGAAATTTTAAGTTACAAATTCCGTTATGGTTAGAATCATTCATCATTAAGACTTTTCCCGTAGAGATTACGTGATATTATAATTATTTTTTATAGATTAAACAGAAAGCGACAGAGTCTACGTATTTCGGTATTAAATATCATCATATCATAACGTAAAAGCCTTAATTTCAATATATAAAATAAAAGAGACTTTACGATTCTAGTCTTTCAAAAGAAGTCTCCAAAAAAGCTTAATTTGGAGCTTTAAAAATACTCAAAAAGACTAGTATTAGGATCTTAGGCACAAGGATAATAACATCATCACTTATTTACCGTACAATGTACTTAGTAATTAAACTGCCCATCGATTAGATTTAAGTTATTGTTAGAAGAGGAGTTACCAATTAGGATCTCATCTATTGGTAATTAATGATGATTACAATTTGCTATCGTATTTTATCTCAGAACTACTTTTATACGAAAAAAAGATGTTAATTGACGAAATTGTTTTAGTTTTTACAGTCAGTAACTTATGAGCTAAAAGAAGAAAAAGATACGATATTTTTCTTCACGAAATTATCTTTAACGTAAATATTAAGTAGGGCTAATTGAAGTTTAACGACATTGCCATGCGATGCATTGAATATACGTGATAAAAATCAGTAATATTAATGATTAACAATCTGCCTACTAATATAAAATAAGACTAACAAAATTGTTAGCATTACATGATTCAGTAATCTAGATGATCATTACTATTCTATGAAATTAAGCATAAAATGCATACTAGGGAATGGGTCTCTTCTTCAGCCATAATTTATTAATAGAGAGGCTTTCAACGGCTTAAATAATTACAAGTTGGATTATGAATTCTGTTTTAAATTATCCAAAGTGTTGTCAGCAAGGACTTTTCTTTGTGGAGGATGTTTGGGTAGCAGGGAAATATTTATGCTAATAGTGAGAATTAATTGGCTAGTTTTCTATAAATTGCATCGACTATCAGCACGCCGAGTAACTTTGTTACATAACTCGTAGTAGCTGGTGGTAATCCACAGTACTGTATATCATGACATTGTTACCATAGCAACTAAAGCTTATGTGACTTCGATAGCATAATGGTACTGTTAATGTAGATGCTCTTATGATAAGGAAGAATTCCAAAGCCATTATGATAGGAGATTTTATAGCACAACGGCAGTAGCAGACTAGGATAATATGTATATGAGATTAAAATATGAAATTTATAAGTATAAGGCAACCGAATGAATTTGTTTAGGACAGCTATAAAATGTACGCCTATGTACAGGGGTATCGAATGCATAAATCATACGGATGGCAGAAATGTACGAGTGGCGTAAGGTGTAATGATCCATTTTACTATTAATGCAATCATGAGAGATACTATGACGACATTATTAATGCAAGTAACAATAATAATAAATGGAGGAATGCAATCAGTTAAAAGTAAAACCAAGAAATCTTTGACGGCTTTATTAATATTACATTAAATAGACTTAAAAGTTATAGGATTTGGCTTAAATAGATACAATAGATAGAAAAAGTAACCTAAGAAATGATTACAAATATCTGCTACGACTATGATATAATTGCAAGCATAAATTATAGCATTAGCGATACGGTATTAAAGTATGTGAGATTGTATTAAAGAAACTATACTCTTTTTACTACGACGTTATTGATATTCAGTACTGAACTTTAATAATTCAGATCAATTGAAGGTAGTTTTCACTGGAACATTGCAAGCCTGCGGTAAGTCATTGCTAGCAAGACTCTATAATAACATGCTTTTACTCTATAGTAGGTCTATATCGTATATAGATTAGAGGTAGCGATTTTTGCTGGTAAATGATCAATTTTTGTTGCTTTTTATTGCTATCCATTTGTAATTTATAAATATATTAATTATAAAATTTAATCTTATACTTGGGGAAGATGTAGTCCTTAATATAGCGACAAATAGGATGAATACTATTTGTAAAATATTATATTTGCAGATAATCAATCCATTGGTCGATAAACATTAATTTCGATATTAAAAAAAAATAAAATTAGCCAATAGAATTGGCAGTTAAATATCGGTTAAAAATACTATGTTCGTTATCAAAATTGGCCTTTGACTGATGCTTATCATTCTCTATTCTTGTTAGAAATATTTTCCGGTAACAGTATTATGTTACGCTAAAATCGTATACCTATAATATCGATTTGGATAGTTCGTTTGTATTAACATTTTAACTACTACTTTTCATATAGCATAAGCACCATTAGTACCAGTCGATGATAAATTCAAAATAACCAGGACTATATACCGTAATACTTTTACGATAGCAGCTCTAGTATCAACGAAAATAATTTTCAGAACATCTCTTACTTGAATATACTATACGTGCATCATACGTAACGTACCATAATCCTATCCAAAATTTGTATCCATGTAAAAGCTTCAATAAAGCACATGTAAATATTACATTTTGTTAACTGCAATTTGTAAATTTAAATCTATGATATAATTCGTGTGATTATTTGTATTTAGGTCGATTTAGGCTGTACTTTGTTACTAATGACATCATATCAAATGATAAAAAGACATGCTCTCAGATTACTGGTATCATTTGCAAACAAATGTTAAAATCTTAAACTAGAGATAGTAATCTGTAATATGATAAAATCTTTAAATCTAAGTTAACTACTTTAAGCATGTATCAAATATATAGTACTATACAGGACGCTACTATGGTAGGAATACTATATCACAAAAATATGGAAAATGATTCACTCCTGATTCAGATAGGCTCATACTATCATTCTTTAGAATAAAAAATCTGAGAAGGCGCTGATAGTCCCATTGTTATATATTCGTAGCAGGATTTATAGATCTCTCCTTGATACGCTCGCACTTCATACAATTCGTCTTTCTTATGCAAACTCTGTTTAGATTCGGTATGATTGATTAATAATTTTTCTGGAAATTTAAAGGTAAACAGTAGAATAATGTATAAAGTATTAACTTACTTGTGATACACAGACGAACATTTTTCACAGACTTCGGCGTTTAAGTCGAAAGGAAAAAGCAACTCAGAACTTTTACAAATTTCGCAATAAAACCCTTTCGCTGCGCAAAGCTAGCGGAGAAATAGATGAGATACGCTCAATTATTCTATAAAAGATATACCTTAAAAGATAATGCTATCAATAGGCACCAATTTCCATTAATTTTAAAGCAGTGTCTAAGTCATTATTAACATTAGGTCAGTTCCGTAAAGCGGCAGGGATGCCGGTAAACTTTTGCAAATAGTGTATATAAGACTTACTTCGCAGTTTTCTTTTACGTGCTTAATTAAATCTTGAGAAATACTTCTAAGTTCCTCTATCAAAGTTCCATCATTAATTTTTATCAAATCTTGCATAGAGTACATATCGACATTATCCATTAAATGAAGCTTGATCTTTAGCTGTATAACATACAATAACAACCATTAATACCATATATTATGCACAAGCGAAAACCAGGCAAGGTTCATGATTTATTGTATGTTATTAATTTAAAAAGAATGAAAGATATACCTTTGCAAACGAATTGTGTTGTTGTGCCGATTTGCATGAATGTACATAGAGCCGTAAATTAGATAGCGTCATACGCAAATTCTAAATATAGTAATTGCGATACCAAATATTAATAAATATTTTATAGCAAAGTAAGACTATTAAGGATTCAGCGATATTAAACATACCTTTACAGTTACCAAATCGTCAATATGACTAAAAAGGTTAGCATTAATACTTTCTAAAGGTATAACTGGGTGATTAGATAGCAGCTCCAACATGTTACTACAGCGTTGACAAACCTTTTGATGGATTACAAATTGTGATAGTACTTTAATTGCAATATATTAATCTCTAAGTACAATAGCTAAACTCACTGTTCTTGTACTGAAATCCCAATTGCGAATAACTCTAGCCGGAATTACAGTTTGTTCATTCTTATGACAGTTTGAACAATGATATCGCCCTTGGTAATCACAAATTCGAGCTTCAGGCAGTACTTGTTTAGACTTTTTGTTTGCTATATTCAAGATGAAATTCACGAATTATCATTTTGGTTAGAAAGTAAAGATTCTCCACTTATATACACTAGTATATATTTAAATAAAGTGTCACGATAAGCAATTCAAACCTAGTCCAATAAATCTTCTACAGTCTGCACATCGGTGTTGTTGCGATGAAAGTCCAATTTCAGGGCGAATAGTCATTATAAATACAGTTTGGGGAGTCTGTTGGAACGTGCAATTGTTAATATTGTTCTTTAATAATATTTAAAACAACATTTTCCTATGATTATCATTATTTTATATTGGATTTAGTACTCAAGGTAATACATATAGCAAGGCATTTAGTAGCCTAAGCATATGCTAAAACATCACATTAAATGACTACTTTAGGCTAGCTTAAAAGAAAGTTAAGTCCCTTTGTTTGTCGTAGATAAATTATGTTATACTGAACAGCGTATCTATAAATGCAGCTGGAAACTTACATACTATGGATGTAACATGTGCTGCTACAATAAAGTATCGATTCCTGCATATATTATACCTTGTACGTCTGGCACATTTTACTAATAGATTCTTTGCACTTCAGGTGAGTAAATAAATCACATACTGTGGTAATTTTGGAGAATAATTGATAACAGAATTAAGCATGAAAATGATGAAATAGATTTTAAGACAGAATTTTTGTCCAATACAAAATTTTATGAGTTATAAATAAAATTAGTAGCCTTCATACCACTACACTTGTAAAACGTTTGGATAGTGCACCAAATACGGCGATGGCAAACATTACAATACAGTCTTAATAGCGAGTCGTGGGTCATAATCTTGACAAGTTGATGTCCAGAAGAAGAAGTCGTGAAATTAGGAGTCCAATCAGTGGATGACTCCTAGTCAGAATAAATAAAGACGTTATGGTTGTGGTCTAAATTAAGCATTTATCGTCGTGGCATATACAATAAATACCAGCGTACGAAGCACATGCATTGTTAACCTTAATTTCTTGAAGTCGGATTCTTAGGCTAACTAAAGTCTCTTTAAGGTCATTATTAGATCCATAAGATAGTGCAAGCAGCTTTTTACAGGTTCGAATTGCCATTACTAGGTCCGCAATATCACAATCGGTAAAGTAAGCCTGAATTAGAAATACATGACAAAGTTTAGGCATGCTGGAAATTTACTGCCTAGAGAGGTATCATCAAGCATCGAAAAAGAGTACATTAAGACACACCGGTGGAGGTTGATAATCTTCTTCTTTCAGAATATATTCAATCAGTGATTCGAATTCTGATTCGTTAAAAACTGTTGAATTCTTACATGACTTTCGATGGTAACTTAAATTCCAAAGAAGATAATTTTCGATCCTATCGTTATTTTGAGTGATATCGGAACTAGAGTAGGCTTGGGCTTCAGAATCAGATTTGGATTCAACTCCGCTATTTAATTTCATGCTATCGCTATTTTCTCGATAGTTTAGCTTTTCTTGAGTAGTATCGTTATTTTCTTTCATTAAAACAGAGCTATTAGCAGTCAGGTTACTACCTTGAGAATTTATATTACATTCGAAGTCTTTGCTATCTTCGTCGCTTTGTATAAAGAACATATCCGATCCTTTTACATCAGTAACCCATTTATCGCTTTCACGAGAACTGCTATCGACTATAGAGGTAGTTTTTGCCAAATACTCACTTTTTTCTTGTAATATGTTATCAGCACTAATATTTGAATCCTTGCCTATATCTTCCATGCTGTAGCTGCTTAGATGCTTAGCTAGATGTGTGTCTGAAGAGAATTTTTTCGACTGTTTATCAATTCTTTCTTGGTTTAGAGCATTTCCATTAGTTACTTTTGTCGATGAAAAGCTACTCGTATCAATATTAAAAGGTTTACTAGCTTCGACGAAAGTGTCAGAGTTTATTGATTCAAAAGACGCAGGGTTTATGCTAGTTTGTTTTGGTTCTTCGTAAGAAAGATATTCACTTCGAAAAACAAATGATCCTGTTCCTTCTTGAAGGGAATATTCCGAGTTATCAAGCGGACTATTGTCTACATGAGTCTTTTCTTCCTTCGGTAAAAACCCATTTTTTCCAATTCTTAACGACTGCAATGATGATTCATAAGTGTTATTACTACCCACAAATTGATTATTTGTTTCGATACTGGAGAGAGTTTCTGCATTGGAAGTCCTTATTAATTTATTCATAGAGCCTGTTGTGATTTGGAGTTCAGGTATTTCATTGATTACGGTTTGTTTTGACTGATCTGCAGATGAATTACTTTCCTGTTCGTTTTTCGAACTATCTCTGGCATAATAGTTTGCATTCTTTTTTGCATTTATGGACGACTTAGCAAACTGTAATGCTGAAGAAGAACGGCTACTTCTAAAAAAAGTGTCAAGATCCTGCTTTGAAGAAGTGCTGGTACTATGACGTCGTTCAGTATTACTACCAAAGTTAGATATAGATGTCTTTAGCGGTTTATCACTGCCATAACTCGATTCCCTTATCGAGGTACCACCATATCCGTAACGTATCTTAGATCCTATCGTGTCCATACTCGGATCACCTCTATTTGCTTTAGAATTAGCAGTTAAAATCATAGATGATGCTGAATCTACGGTATGAGGATCTGAGTCAGTATTATATCGAATGCCACGGGTACTACCTAGATTAACAATGAAAATTTGTAAATCAATACTTTACTAACTTCAAGATAGCTATATTCAGAGATAATTGTATTATTTATTCACCTTCTATTGAAAGATGGCTTATAGATGTAGTAACGCTATTGATCAATGAATTTTGATTACTAGTTTGTTCAGGTGTCATAGATACAGGATTACTGATTACCAATGCAAAGGGCAATTTACATATAATATCTATCGAAGCATTTAGTTCATCTACATTTGAGATATTTAGAAGAAACGCTGTAGGTTCATAACTGGTGGTAATAATATCGTTACTCGAAGTTAAAATTTCAATGTAGTTTAGTAAAGTTGCTTCATTTAGGGCTAGACGTAACCAGGAATAGGTACGCTCTGAGCTAGAAGTGGTATTTCTACTGATGGTTTCAATAATTTCACGATGTGATATTTTTGTAGCAATTCGCCAAAACGTATTATCTCTCCATGTTAAACGACTATGAATATAGGAATACAAATAAAAGGAACATTGATGATATACTTTTACTAATTAATAGATATCATAACTAATATGTGTCAAAAACTAAATTGCCAACCTTGCTTTCAAACCGTCACTAAGGATAAGTTCCAAAAGGCGGCAAAATTCGGCAGTTTCAGTGGAATCTTCAATAAATGCTTTCGTCTCATATCCGTCAATTAAGCTATAATTTTTCTTAATCTTATAAACATCAAAATTTATAATACTGGTGAATAAAAATAATATACCCAATACTAACAAGTTCATACTGAATAAATTAGCAACAACGACTTGCATAAGTTACCTCTTTAACGCAACTTTGTAATCCAGATAATAGTTGTCTATGAGTTAACTTTATCTCAGAGGATTCGTCACTTTCTAAATAACATTCATAATATAAGGTATCGGATTGATTATATGAATGCATCAACAAAATGTTATTAAATCTATAATTGATAGTTTTTCATAATACAAATTCCTAAAATTTGCTTTAATCTAACATTTCTTCTTGCAACCATACTAATTTTATGCGAAAGGGTGCAACACCGATAATTATAATCAAAAGCATTATATACTAGTTGTCCTAAGCTAAGTGAGAGAATAGCTACCTTATACCAAGTATCTACATCTATGCTTTACTATTTCCAGAGTAGTGAGACGTGAAAATAAAAAATTTTCTCACCGCTGGCTTGTGATCCTAATAGTGACTGTGAAGCAGACTTGGATGTTGCTTTATTTAGCGATTTTCCTTTTTCGGAGTCAACATACTGAACATTACTAAATGGTCAAGGTCGGAGAAGAGAATTATTAACCATTTAACTAATTGTTTATCCATTAATGCGAAAAAGGTTAAACTTATTTGAATATGAGCTCACAATTCTACTTTCATGCTTCCCAATTTACTAAATACTTTCTGTATCGCCATTACTTTACCATCATCCATAACGAAAGCATAGGGTTCATAGTAATAACTGCGTTATGCATTATAAATTTTATAGTCATAAATAAAGTTTTTATAGCATAAAAAAATTAAAACCTATAAAGAAATACTTCGCTACTTTTTCGAAAACAGATTTACAACTAACTCTAATATGTCTTTATTTTGAGTGAAAACAGTTAGATAACTGTCTAAGGCAGATTCGTTTAAGGCAAGACGGATCCATGCTTTGCATCGTTGTTCATTGGTAGAAACATTGCTTATGCTTTTTAAGAAGAGAAAGACTTAGATTATCTTAATCTTGGAGTCACAACATATACAGATACATAGAAGGGTAAAATAAGACTACCGTATATACTAGTATACATTTTTACTATATATAGCATATAGACCTATTTTAAAATATAGTTCATTTCATGTATTTTGGCATTTACTGTGATATTTCATCATATTTTGAAAGTTTTAGCATTTTCAAACCTATTGATATCCTTTAATACATTACGGTGGGATATTTTTTCGATAACAGGCCAAAATGTAGATTGCGACCATAAACTAAGATTAAGTATAACAGTACAAGAGTAGTCAAGTAATTATATCGTAGCAACCTAGCAACCAACACGTAATTTTCGAATAATGTGGTATGATAAAAAAATATACACTTATGTAACTTGACTGTCTCATAAATATGCAATGCATATAACCAATTAAATTCCGATAATTATCTAAAGTAGCAACCTAGCTAATAATATTACCTTGCTTTGAGCCCATGACATAAGATGTTATAAAAACAATTGCATAGTTCTTCGGCTTCAGGTCGGTTTTTCATTTCATTGTTGCTCGACATGGAGCGGTAGTTATCGTAATGGGATTGTTCATACTTATGCAAGGGATATAGGTTTTATTATTAATTTTTGTTGAAAGATTTATTAGTAATAGATCAAAATATTTTCATCAAATTGTTTTAACCATGGTTAATATAATACTGTACATGATAGACAGTGTACAAATTTGGACTAAACAAGGGATTACGATACCATCATATATACGGATAGATATAACGTATATTTGCGTGTATCATCTGTGAAGAATGTGCCTTTTTCGTTTTATATCTACTTTACAATTAATTACTACTAGTCCTGCAACTCGTTGCTTTGTTATTTCTTAGGTGATAACATAATTTGTAATAGTATGTTGAATCATATTTCATGAATAGGAGTAAGCTGCACAAGTAATTTTTTAATAATAATGTCCGATTTTTCCTTTACCTTAGCAATTGCATCGTTTAGTGTCTGAAAGAGCTGTTTATAATCTTCATATCGTTCTTGGTCGGTAGGTATTGCAGCTGTAAGATGAAACGTAGTTTATACAATAATACTGCCAATCATTCATTCACACCGTTCAACATGAATAATATAGAGTGCTGTACAGTATATATACGTATGTATGTTGGAGATGTAAAAATTGACTAAGCTGGCTTGCTACTATTGCTAATGAAAGCGGCTATCATTACATGCCATACTCTATTTTACATTGCATACCGTATATACTCGTAATGAGGTATTTTTAATCTTGATTTCATTACAGTATACTGTACTGTATAGCGGCTCATTACAGAAAATTGTCTGTCATTAATTAATTATATATTATAATAGGGCTAAATTATAATATGGTATAGCAATAATTTGCAAATAAATTATCAATTAATAGCTATTACTATAGCTACCGCTAGTTTATATGGCCTCGATTGATTTTACAATATTGGTTCCATAGACATACTCGTACAATAATATAAAAGAGCGTTACTCTACTCGTATACAGTATATATATACATGGTACAGTAGTAATGTTATAAATTATGTTATTCGTTATAATTGCCGTAGCGACGTTGATTAAATACACATATACATGCTTGATACTCTATCTTGGTACTTTACCTTGACTGCTTTTAAGCAATGAGCTTAAACGATTCATAATTTGTCTATGGACAACATAGACTATCGTTTTCAGTAGATGGAAAGAGTTGATGTAATTGATCCTCGATGAGGCAGTCGTCTATCTAACCTGGACGGTAGATCACGTTGAAAATTGTTCAGATATCTTACAGATAGTTTGATGATGTGTGTGTACAAATAGGCAAAATACTACGTTAGTACAGAAAGCAGCAGAGGAAGTATAGAATTGACTAAATCTTGATGCAAATTGCAATCAATTCACGTTATTGGTATATACTGTAAATAAGCTATAATTATATAATACTCAAGTAAGCTTGGTTAGTATGAACTGATACTGTACCATGTACTGACTACTTAATCTACTGTAGGCGTCCACTTCACGAAAATTTCGACAATGGACAAGCTCTATAACCTATTTTGAAAAAGAGCCATTTCACTGATATCGATGAAGGAGAAATTTCAATTTTCTCCCATCTCAAAGTCTATAAACTCCATCAATTCTTTACTAACTCATTACAGTCCTGTCATCATCATGATGCTCACAGGACTCTTACTAGTGCTAAACGAAATTGACTGTCTACAGTGATGCTATTGCAACGTTGAAGCTCAATTTTCAAGCCCTATTTTTATTTATACTTTTGCTTTATTGGCTTCATACCTTATTCTATTCCCATTTTCAATTTTTATTCTTTCATAGGGTAATATGGTCAATCTCTCTGGCATTAACTGAATATCGAGGATATAAATCATAGAGCCGAAAATTTTTGCTCCAAAGGTCGTAAGGAGAAGTCGTCCAGTGAGCTGCCAACCAACCAGACTATTCATTCGCCAATGGTACAATATCCTTTAGCAGAGACATTCCATACAAAATGGTGTACACATCTGTGCCCTTTCAAACAGTATCCTTGTATCAACTTGCTAGCCTTCGCTTCACACTGTACGAAGTTTCAGGTTTCAGGCGTTACGTAACGCAGTCAAGTGTCACTCGGAAAGTCGACTGAACCTGAGTCATGGACTACCAGAGGGTCATCTGGTCGTCCGTCCATGGCTAGAAGTAGTGAACACAGTGATGGATGGGTCCATTCAGCTGGCAGCAGCAAGGTGACATTAATTTCTACGGCAGCTTTACAGTACTAAGTTACATGATCCCGTTATACCTATATACAATATGAGTGATTGTAGTGCTGTACGGTGCAGTATAGTATCCTAGCCATCCCAATTGTGCTTTACATTTGTCCATGGTTCATAGGGGATAAGTAAACATTGACCCGCACCCGTATTCTGGATTCTGCATGGCCTGAGATTTCGATAGTACATGAAGAATAGTCAGGATTAAATAGGAATCTACTAATTACATGAACATTTCATGAAATCATAAAAAGAATCTTTGGACTAAAACAGGTCGCAATCATATCCAAACAAAGACAAACAGACAGACAGACGCCCATCTACAGTATACAAGTACAATGCAAGCAGTCAAATACTGTACTCAGTGTACTGTAGCCAAGATGACTAGAAATATTGGACAGCACAGTATAACGTACCGTATACTAGAAGATCTCTAGTGTAAACTACTATATACGCTCTCGCTTTTAGTACTGAACTGACTGATACTCGTAAGATTTTGTCTAGTCCACGCTAGCTAGCTATAATTGCAGAACAGCCATTTATATGTTTGCAGATCAAGACGTTAGGAGATCATTTAGACTAATGTTGCTCCACTTTCGCTCACTTATTTGCTCTTAATACACTCACAAGGAACTGAAATTAATATTGGACAACGTGTTCTATAGTATGATAACGCAAGACATTGATTGTAGAAGAATTGGCAACTCTTGGCTGTACTAACCCAACTTCACCAAGAATACAATCTGGACTAATGTTCTATTCTTGCTAGTATCATTTGCTTATAGGACAGTAAAAATTGACATTATTAATACTTGATAAGGTATTGTATATGCTAATAACGAAAAGAAATCCATTAAAGGAAAATTTTCAAGTTTTGCTGGATTAACTGACTTAATCAAAAGGCTCAATCCTCGTCATTGATGCTACTCATAATATAATATAGTCATTGATATTGTTATTCGTTTTGAAACTACCTCGATTGATTGACTACAAACGACTAGTGTTACCTGGATCATGGCTGATAATAATCAGGATCAAGAAAAGATACAAGTAGATACTACCATCCCTTCACAAGACAGTATAGATAACCATTCATATGATCAATCTGAATACTGGAATTATTACGCTCAGTATTATTCCCAATATTACCAACAACGTGGTGATTGGATGGCAATCTACGATCAAAACAATCAGAAATATTATTATCACAATACTTCCACTAAGGCAACTCAATGGGACAAACCAGCAGAATGGGATTCAACTACAGAAACAAATCCAATCACGGATGGAAATAATACTAATATCACAACTGATCATGCGGTTATTAATCCAAAGCAACGATCCGTTGATGACTTAGTCAAAATTTGGTTGAAAAGACCAGCTAGGAAACAAGTAGAAGAGCAACAAAAAGTCCATTGGAGACCAGAAGGAGCTCAAGAATATAATATTTGGTATGATCGATGGGTTGGAGAATTATGGAAAGGGGAAAAGCATGGTGGTGAGTTGTACATTTTGCAGCATATCTTTTCCATTGTAGTTTAATAAGAACCTGTTGAATATTGCTATACATGTGCGCCATTTGCTATCTATGTGCTTAAATGCTTGTCATGGGCAAGCCGAAATCTTCCCTAAAATTTAATTAAGTGGACATAAACATCTTACTCGTAATTAATTATATAATAATTAATGAGTATAAATGTTAAGTCACAGTATTTGCGATTGGGATACCTCCGATATCTTGTACATGAATACGATCTTATTAATATTGAATTCCACATCCAGAACATTTATTCTGTATTATGCAAAAATGGTTGCTTTTGCTAATTTGTCTTTTGAATAACAAAAATACTTCATACTCTCTTCAGACTACAGAGTGCTGGGTAGTAATTAAATACGGTTTGCACCTATCCTATCTCCCATAATGCCTTATGTACTTCTAAACTTATTTACTTAGGTCCTGCTACAACTAGATGTGTCTTAAAACGAGATGCCGGCTATACCAAAGCCAATTTGATGGATAATCGAGAAAGTCGACATTACTGGTGTATATATTTCGCTCGAGGTTGTTGTCATCTTGGCTCGGAGTGTACATACTATCATACAATACCTCTAGAAAATGACAATAGAAAGTATGCTAGATATGTAAAGATTTATAAAATTATAATTTCAGTAATTAAATATCAATATTTATCGTAAGTTAATAAAGTCTATATTTATTATAATTAATTTAAGATTATGAATGAAGAAATTAGTGAAGCCACAAATTACTAAACATTGAAGATATCAAACTGCTTTGAGTTATCTTATTCGGTAGTTGAAATGTTATATACAATTTTACTTGCAGGATCGATCTAGCTCATGATGTCTTTGGACGTGAACGCTTTAGATCACATCGTGACGATATGGGTGGTATCGGTAGCTTCGATAAAGAAACACGTACCTTGTATGTTGGTGGTTTGCATCATCGTGATAATCAAGAAAGTATTCTTGAGGAAGAATTTGGTGAATGGGGAGAGATTGAAGATGTGCGCTATATACCCAAGCTGCACGTTGCATTTGTTCGTTACAGGTATCGACTAACTGCTGAATTTGCTAAGGTATGACATCTTAGAACTGAGTAATAATCTCTAGTTATTTATTACTTACTGCAACAGTTTCACTAAATGATAACATTGAAGCTTTAATTTAAATTATTCCTATCTTACAATGATACAAATACTATTTGCCGTTAGAAATTTTGAGCTATTTTTTTACAAGTAAAAATATCTTTATACTCTTAGGCTGCCATGGCAGACCAAAAATTTAATGATCAAGAGGTATTAAACGTCCGCTGGGCGCATGACGATCCAAACCCTAAAGCAAGAGTTAGGGTAAATTTTTAACGTTTTTACTAATATCGTAATAAGTATATTAAACGGTACATAGATACATAATAGAAGTATTCATTGCTTATTTAATGGACTAGATTGTCGTGATTTTAGATAATCACAGTAGCGTATATTAGATGCCTTGCTCAGGAGTCTAAAAATTAACAATTTTTTCTTATTGCTTATAAATTTCTGTAGGTAGCACAAGAACGACAAGATAAATTTCTTACAGCTTCGAGAGAGCGTGATTTAACTTCGGATGGAGAGCCGTCTGTTAAAAGGTTAAGGTCTGATGACATTATCGGTTATTATCCTAATACGGATGCTCAGTACATAAAACAGCAAGCAGAACCCGGACCAAAAACCAAAGAAGAAATTGAACAGGTACAGCGTCTTTTAATTTGTCAGATAGGCAAGGGTGGTGTTAAAATTCAAATATAATTATAGTTATAGAACTATGCAGTTAACCGAAGAATGCGTTATCAATTTTTTATAATGATACTACTCTATATAGCTATACGTATATAGTACATAGTACAGTATGTATATATTTCACTATTATAAGTAGCAATAAGATGAGTAGGTAGGTAATAAAGACTTTAAACGCGTGTGTGTATCCTTAAATAATACAGTTTATTGATTAATACGTCGTCCTGAAAAGATTTAAATAATTTTTAACCTTTAGGAAAATTTACTTAGCCGAGTTCAAGAAAACTACAGCAGATTAGACAGGATATTTCAGAAAATACAAAATCATCAGGTGTCCAGTTCGGATAGTGGAAATTCCTTAGCTCAAACTGCTGATCCGTATAGGAGGAAATAATGTTTGTTTAATTATCTGTCATTGGATGTGTAACTATTATTATTTGATTATGATTGGCTAGTTAGTAAATTTGCTATGCTAATCGTATTGATGAAGGTATTTATCCAGTGGCTGTTATTACCACTTGATTTTCCTTACCATTTTCAACAACAGTTTTGTCTTACTTTATTTACTGTGCTGCATTATATTGTACAGTACTGCAATATTGAACAAGACTTTTGCCTTTTAGTATAAAATAAATGATTAAATCTATTAATAGATTAGGCAACATTTAACAATTCAAAATCATATTTTCACCATGGATTTTTACTTGTATGTTTGTGATGTAGTTTGTTTTGTGTACATCTGTGGAATCTAGTTTAATAGCAAACATCAATGTGTCATTTATACGATATTTACCAATCTTACTAATAATCATAATTGTATAATTGTTAAATTTAGTATCTTCAGATAGAGATTAATTAGAACATATCATTGATTAAGGTTTACAGTAAGTATCTATCTGTAACTTTACTGTAATATATTAGTATGCACTAGAATATGTGTTGTATAATGTAGATACTGTACTACATTGCTGCAACCTATGGCTTAATTGCACGAACTACTCGTTTCTTTCACTTGATATTATACAGGTAAAGCCTGGATTGATAAGTGATTACGTATACGTAATTAACGCCATTGCTAACGAAACCGTACAATGAACAATCGTATCAGTGGATAACCCTTCGTGTGAGGTTCTCCAATACGTTCCCTTCTCGAAACTTCTCTTTTGTAAAAATGCTCGTGTATCATTAAAACAGCTAATAAAAATTACATCATCACTCACTAGCGTCTTTTGAAAACTTCACTCGCTAAGAAAGCTAATAAAGCATGGAATAAAACTGCTTACCTAATTATGACATCAGAATTCCAGTGATCTTATTGCAATAACTGCATGACAATTATAAATACGATGAAATTACCAGAACTATACCGAAATGGTGCATACCATAAAAAGTAAGTATACACTAGTGATGCACGAAACTAGCCGAAAGTCTTATCCTTCGGTGCAAATGCGCATAGCAAAGCAAGTTACATTTCTATAACATGACTTTATTTGTTTACGATTCCATCTTGACCAATAAGGTTAAAAGTAGATTTATCATTGTAACGTTTGTAGTCTAGTAATGATCTCAACGGCAAATCAAGTAGTAAATATTTGTGAATACAGTATTTGAGGTATGGATGGATTGGATAAATCCGTACAACAAAGGACGATTGAAATTACAAAGAATTAACGGTCTCTTAATAATAAAATATTTTCGATTTTGCCGCAATAATATTGCATAAGCAAATTTAAAATTAACATAGTAATTACACGTATTCTTATGATAAACATCCATGTGTATCACTATAACAGCTACCTGCAATATTTAACTATTTATTGATAATTATCAAGGTAACGGTAGTCGGATCAACTAGTCCACTTTCTATTCCTAAGTGGTACGTTGTAGTTACAAATATCATAATATGATGTTAATATCTTATTTGCAGATGATGACAACAGTAGTTGACATAAACAAGATATTTAAATTGCAAGGCTAATGGAGTCATAAATCATAAAATAAATGTACGTTTATATAAAATACTTATATGGATTATACGTTTGACTTTGCTTAAGCAGCCTTGACGCATTTAAAAGATGAATGGATCTTGATTGAAGGCCAGCTCATGGTTGTAACAGCTGAGGCAAATAAATACCGAAAATTCGACAAAATCCAACATTCATATACTGTTCCATAAAGTATACAGCCGGCTACAGTAGCTAAGGCTGAGGTATCCATGAAAATGACCGAGAATCATAATTGCCGTCAATAGTGCTATCACTGCTATGCATTAAATCGCTTCGATTATCATGGCTGCGTACAACAGAAGGGGTGGCATTCGGTCTGGTAATAAGTCGATCATTAATGGTATAGTGTTCATCAGCGCTTACTCTGCCGTGTGACAAACCATTGTCCATACCGTAAGACTGGGGATTTTCTTGGGGAGTATTAGTGCTCATTAGATGATAATTGTTAGCAATATCAGGTGAAATAATACGATTTCTGCCATATGGGTAAGGAGAAGGAGGATTGTCAACGGGATGTTCATTGCTGCGTTGAGTATTCCATTCAGCATTTATAAGGTCAACATTTGAGGTAGCAGGAGAGTCGAGGTTTCGTAAAGGGATCTTAAAATCTTTTCCGTAGTTAATATTTGAATGGCTATGAATCGGGTCTCTGTGGATATTATCAGCATTGTAGACCCGGTTTGGGTAGTTATCTATTTCAGGGGTACAATCACCGGTCGGTCCCCACTGGACTGTTGAACCTTTCCTGCTAGTGTACCAATCGCGACTGGAATTTACGTTTTCATAAATTTGATAGTCTTGGAGTGGATGCTTCATAGGTTCATTACAAGGAGAAGTTGCAGTTACAATGGATCCTAGGAAGTTCATTTTAGATTCAGATCGTAGTTGGCAAATATTCTACTTAAGAATTACCTGACTTGATTAAAGAATAATAACTGTATGTGATAATTATGACATTATATCCTAATAACATAGAATAACGCAGAGTTGGTATATTTTCCTGTACAATATTGAAGACATTAGCTTTTCGTCAGTATAATAGTTTGCAACTAATGCTAAAATAATATTCTTCAGGTACGATATTCTCACATTTTGACTTTTAAACCACACTATTATACTGTAAATATATACAAACGACATATACAGTACATATAATAACACAGTACCGTAATCAATTAACGAACAATGTTGCTGCTCGTATTACGAGTATATCAATATTGATTCCGTTCTACAGTATGTACAAAGTGTTATCCATCTATAGTATTTGATGCTATACATGTATTTAACATAAAAAACGGTTAATATAACACTTAAAACCTCGATAACTTCGTACACTACATTGTAACATTGACTCGTACACTTATAAAACTATTCCTATTAAGTGCCGCATCAACTTATGTTTACTTAAAAACAAATGTATCAATTTAATTTATGCACCAATGTTATATTAACGCCAGAATTCAATTAATCTTGCTAAATAAGTGCTAATTATAATTACTAATTGTGATGGTATTAAAAGGCAAAATCGGTAGAAAGTTAATGATTAAAATTATCAAGTACTCTTCTAATAATAAAGGTCTTTAACATACTATAGATTGAGAAGACAGGTCGAAAGAAAAGGTTTAGTAGACAATTTTTAAAGTGTAAAAAGCATTATACTGTACAGAGATATAGCAATAAGCTAACATTATTACCTCTTGAAGACGCCCGTTTAGTCAATAGTTTATCTTCCAACTTATTCAAATACCTGCGTATATTATCTATATCGTTTAAAGATATATTCCCACCCTCAATAGCTGACATAAAAAGTCGTTTGAGATCTCTATCAGGGTTTTGAGTAGGGGGTAAACTTCTTAAATTAGTAGGAGTAGAAGACTGAGTAAAACAATCTTGAAAGAAGGAAGTATATTGCAAATGCGTTTTCTTTGCCATCTCCAAAGCATTTTCTAGGGGCATGTTTCGATGCTCTATCAAAGATAAATAAATTCGATTATAAACCATACACCGTCTACGCGACAAAAGCATTAATCGTAAAGCACATGATTAAGGCGATTAGAGTTTGGGCTAACATTTGGCAATAAGTTATAAGCGCCTAATGCAATTGTTTTATTGCACAATTGTAATTATGACTTGAAAAGATATCCTATTCTAAAGAATTAAAATTTTTTAGGAAATACCTTGGGGAGTACCGAAGAGAATATTAAGAGTTACAGAGCGTCTAGCTTCATTTTGATCAAATATTGTAATCACAAATGGTAGGCCCCTCCTAGAAGAGCTATCTACAGCCTGAGCAGCATTAATACCAGTAGGAACAAGCACCCATTGCGAGTTAATGCCTTTCTGAATTAGCGATGTTACGACTTCATCAGCGTAATTCCTGTATAAATAAAGGCAAATATAGTTTAGATAGTAAAGTAGATGTAGAAGAGACTCTGAAGGTAAGTGACAGTATGAAAATAAAATTTAATTTAGTAGAACTTGTAACTACTCGGAAGTTCATCTAGTTCATGTATTGGTTATGGCGGATAAAATTTCGCTTTATAAGAAATGTTTATGGCCATGTGGCCGTTTGAAGATTACATGCAATATTATGTCATACCTTTGTTGCCCATCAAATATTAATACTTCACAGTCAATTACTGCGTTATTAGCTGGAATAGAAGCTTTAGGTTCGCGTGGTTCGGGTATAGTAGAAACTATGTTTATATTTTCTGGGTTATCATTAACTTTGTAATGCTTAGGGGTTGGTTCTATCTTCTCTTTATTATCGTACGTATAGGTATCATGGCCATCAGTATGCGAATCCATATGTCTTTCGTAATTTAAATAAAATTTTTATTTCTACTATTTTTGAGATAATATATTATTTATTGAGAAGATAATGCTACGGGCAATTTATGATAGTTGCGCTACAATAAGAGATTATTCATAATGGCTGCAAAGCATATACAAAATATATGAACTAATAAGCTTAGATTACTATCGTGATACCTTTTCAAACGTTGTTCACACGGCCTACCACTATGATGGTCGCTTTTATGGCTGTTACCTAAGTTTCTATTTTGCCAATATTGCCTTTGATCAACTTCGTGTCCGTCTTTAACTGATGTCATTGGAGCAATTGTAGGGACTAAATCAGGGTCATTTTGTAGAGCAACTTGAGATTTATGATAACCTTCCTGAAGGGGTTCAGAATTTATATCTAAGTGATGTTTGGTTGGTAACGATTCTGGTACTTGTCTTCTTTTGTATTTAGAACCAGAATAGGAAATATCGAGTTGAGATTTATTCTTTATAACTTCTCTGCTCTCGTCGTAACTATTACGATGCCTAGTATTGCCATTCCGGGGTTGAGGCTTCCTACTTGAAGATTCCCTTTTCATCGTTGTAGCTTCGCAGATCGAACAATTAAGTCGAAATGTGTTGGTATGATCATAAAGACAAATAAGGCTTGCTTAATATTGCATGTTGTACACTCGTATATACTCTTACGTATGTTAAATAATTATATGATATTATTAAGTGGGAGAGGCGAATGGTAGTTGCGTAGTATTCTATACTGATATCGCATATATTATGTTGTACTTGTACTGCAGAAAGTACTGACCGCTAAGAGTATACGCGTATCTGAATATTTTTTGGTACCAATTTCCGATTTGCGTTTTTGAGCGGAAAGAAGACACTTATTTTATAGCATACATGGTAGTCGGTCAGTTTCAAGGATAATATACGGTACAGTAACTCAATTACTGTATTCAATTCACTGATTACAGTTATTGCTACAGTAAATAGTAAAATTAGCACAAGCCCAATGACATTGAATTCGCCCTTTTTTAGTACTGATCTATTGTTCCATGCGCAAGATGAGAATCAAGCGGCAGCGGTAAACCACTGTCTGCGATCGATATCCAAATGAGCTGCTATGCTGGTTTTGTGCGGTATGGTGTCCGATTTCATTATGCATCGTACAGTAGTGAGTAGAATTGTTTTAACTGCCTTTTATATTAAGAGAGCCGAAGTAAAGTACAAGTATCATCAGCGACTTGGAATTTTCTCTTAGAAGTCCCTGGTATTGTTGTAGTCGATTCGATTAGAAGAATCAACAGAAAGGCCAGGTACCTCTAATTAAGGTTTTTCTTCAAAGTCCCGGAAAAGATAAATTGGACCAGGCTGCTAGAAGTAGCAGCTATTTGGACGGTGGTAGACAACATTAGTTTTCACCGTTATAGTATACACACCAACTCGCAGAGGATGCAATTACAGTAGCACTGCTTGGTATGTTCACTCAGTCTATTTATCAATAGCTGCAGCATACTGTATGAACTTGAGTTACGGGTATAGATATCAACGCATAAACTTTGAACACCCCCCACATCAGCTAATGTACTGATCGAACTGAATTGTAATCGATGATTATTATAAATGCAATTATTATTTATCTAGATATCGGTTTAGCGTGTATTTATCATGTATCGATGTGTACAATAGGCAAATATTCAACAATTCAAATGAATATGCTTACCCGTGATTTTTCTATGAACAGTCGTGCGATCCTCAACCTTTTCCGTATTCTCACATGAGAACAAAATTGAAATACGATATGAAATATGAAAGAAGATCACATTTACCCATGAGAAACTAACGTTGTTACGTCCGATTACAACCAACCCTTCTGCATTTTATTTACTCTTACCTTTTTCTTCGGTGAGGCACGTGGTCTTTTACAGCTATCGATATCACTTAATAAACTGGGCAAACTACGGGAATTGACTAGCGTAGTTCTTGTCTCGTTGCTGGTGCTATTTCGTGAGCTATGATAACTATTGTATCGATCTTTCCCGCTGTGTTCTCGATGCCTGCTAGAAGAGGTAGTGTAGCTTTTATTACCATGTCGACTATGAGTTTCCCTTGTCGATCTCGGCATGATCAAACTGCACTATAGCGAGTCCTAACTGGTGAATTGGAGAGAAAATTTTAGATTGTTGGCGCACGTTCTATTCTACTGCTTATACAACACAGATCATGCTATAAATCAGTATCCTGCTAATTGAAGGCAAGACTATTAGATTAGTCATTTCAATCACTCACTTCTTCACTTTTTACTGTAGTAGTTCAAATGTGCAGTGCAAAAATAATGTAGACGTGTCTACTTCTGATAGGATAAGTAAGTAGTCGCTTGAAGATCGACGTATACGCATCTATTTCACATCTAGGCAAGCGCACCCCTCTGGGTATCATCCGTCGCAAATCTGCTAGGACAGTTCAATACCAGTAATGATGAATTGTTATTTTCTTTTTACCTTCATGGTAAATACTAAATGTAAATACTATACAATGTACATACATGGAGTTTTTCTTATTTTTAGATGATGGACCAGATTGCAGGCGGTTATTTACAGCTACAGCAGTACCGATCCAAGAGGAACTTTTGAAAGGTCCATCGGAGTTATTACTAGTTTTCTACTGAAAACGGAGCCATCCGTCATCACCTCTCTTGATCTCAGCAATGTTTTGATCTTGCTGTATCAAACCATATTGCAGTCGGAACAGTGCACTGAAGTACAGCAATTATTGGACAAGACTTTTAGACGTATTATACAGTGTACATAAGTATCATTTATTTATTTATTTATTATGACTTACGATTATTATTCTAGTTATTATTGAATATTTGTCACTTTTATTAATAAGGAATGAATGACTACTAACTTTAAAGTATCAGGCAAACACAGAAATAACAAATTAAATTTATATCCAATTCTTGAATTTCGGCAACTTTGCAATATGATATTTTGATAAGATTGGTATAAGGAATCATAGAGGTAATTCTACGCCGAAAATTACTTTATATACAGTACTCGTACTTTACGATATTGATGTACATTTTACAGTCATGGACTGGTATCTACGGTGGAAAGTCCATGCTACAGTTTATGAAGTGGTGCATATTATACAGTTCACTACTATTATAATCTGCATTCGAGTAACAATAATAATAATTATATACTGTACGCGTATAATATAACTGAATAAATTAAATTCAAAATGTGATCTTCGTTAGTCCTAATTCAATTAATTTTATAGTAAATAAATAAGGTTATTCACCACCAAAGCAAACCCCGAGCCTATATAGATTGTTACGTGCCGGATTTGACTCTGAAGCAATAGACAAGAAGCAGAGTTTCTGTCTTGCTTCATGATATGAGTATCGTCTAGCATAAGTGTAGAGTTAAATAATGCTCGCATGCTACAGTGCCTTGTGCTCCCATCACTGCCTAATATGATCAATGGATCGATTTATATCCTACGACTAGAGTATTTAGTTGGCAGTGATGATTATGAGCAATGACTATCGGCCATTGACAGTGAATAAAGTAAATTGAATGTGCGATCAATGGATCGAGTTCAGCCTTTGAAAACTTGATTCTGAAGCAATGTGCAAGAACGGAGTTTCATCTGCCTGATTCAAGTGGATGACTGAATACGAGTGTAATATTATTGCCCACTTATCTACTAATCAGGTACACTAACTAGAACCGCACTAGCTGAAGTCATAACAACAACTGCGCACGCGTAAAAAGCGATCTCAGTGTTGTACGCTACAGTAGAGACGTTCGATACTACTGTATACTGTACTCAGTGTACAGTACAGTGTACAGTACGCAGTGAATACAGTACAGTACAGTACAGTACTGTACAGTACTGTACTGTAAAATCATTGTACTGTACAGTACGTACTGTACTGTACCGTACTGCACACGGCTGACAATATTGTAATACCATGTACGGTACTGTACTGTATTGTACCGTATGTAATTGGAGGCTTGTACAGTAAATCAATCAATCCGCCATTTCTGTTTACAGGCATGGATCTCGATCCAGCTCAACAAGCTGAAGGTAAGCTCAGTAGAGTTGTACGTATGTTGCTTGTAAATTGGATACTGTGTTATAAAAGTACTTGGCAGTAGTAAACGCCATGTTGCTTGTATGTGTATCTTATCATCTACTCGTAGTAGAATGTTGAAACAGTTTGGTATATTGAAGCGTGATTTTGAAACAGTTGAAGAATTAATCATCGGATAACGACTCCTGGATATTACTAGACTCGTATTATTTTTCGTATTTTCGCTTGCTAGAACTATTCGTAACGAGTAAGTTATCCACACGCAGTAATTACATTTTTACTATACTAGACTATAGTCGTACACTACACTGTTTACTGCATCATGCACTCGCGTTGACACCATCAGTATCTTAAACCAAGCATTCCTACTACTCTAAGGTTTCAAGTACCGTACGCCAAGGCAGAATTGCAAGTTGAAACCGATTATAGTCATCATGTAAATCAACAGTGTAACAGTTCAACAATGTCCGTCTCCAGTCCGGCTTCGAGCCGGACTGTGGAGACAGCCAGTGATAATGTGTAAACTGTTCCATGATATACAGTAAGAACTAAGAGTCAAAAATACGTTATTTAGAAATTCTATATTTTGTGTATTACTATACATTGACGATGGACTTCTAAGTACAATATTGAATACCAATTCAACTCATTTTCCTAATAGCCATATTTAGTGAAGCGTAGCCAAACTGTCAATTTCAGTATAATACTCGTATTATAGTCCCACCTGTTTCTAAATTCGAGCATTGTGGACATTCTATTTTGATATATACTAGTATACATTCGTAATTATATAACGGATAAATAACTTGATGATAGATTTGAAAGCTTTCGAAGGAAGGCTGGTTGAAAGTATAGGTAGCCTAGGACCAACGGCTGTGCGATGGAAATGTAAGTGATTACGTACGTACCTTTCATTTTTCATTTGATAAACTGTGCTAGTTATGCTGTATCAGTCTGCAGTAATAAGCGTACAAAAGAGTAGTGTAAGTGATTTTCAATATTCCTCCAGATTGCTCCATAGTAGATTATATGAAACTTTCGACTAACTGAGAATAGCAATGGGTGAGCTATCACCATTATCAATCATTATTGCTACACGTAATTGTGAGCTAGCGTACTGTATTGCTGCTTGTATTATAAGACATCCATTGCTAGCGATAACGTTATCTTGGATTACTACTTCTTACTGCACTGCCTGATTTAGTAGCTGGCTGTAAGTATCGCATTTTCCAATACTGAACCTATACATAATAGTTTCGAGCCTTTTTGCTATGGGAATTGATGTATAGCATTCTATCAAAAATTTGTGACTTCATACATCGTATATACTAACTTTACTGAATGGAACTAACCGTAAGTTTTTATTAAGTGATGCTATTTTTTGCAGGTATATTAATACTGTGTGTATCATGCTGCTTTATTTCGGGCTATGCATTTATTATGGATATTCATACGGCTAAGGTACGGAAATGCAAATCTAGCTTGGTCTAGAATATGAAGTAACGGCACGTTACCATCACTATTTACGAACTTTTACAGTATATTACAACATGCAACAGGAGTAACTATAATATTTGTGGCTCAAACGACCGTTAGTTTCTACCATCGCCCTATACTGTAGTTCTGATATATATATGTAACCTAGAAAATCAAGATAAACGTACTGTAAATTTCTATGAAATAGTGAATCCTCTGTAGTGTAACTCTTAGACCTTCGATTATCTGTACTAATTTTACATATTAAAATATATTTCGTATTATACATGACACATGGTTTAACATGTGGATATGGCATTATACAATATTAATGCTTTGACCTTTCTCTTAATATTGTAGTTTATGACATGTACGGATTTATTTCTTAATCATAAGTTTTTCACGATGTGCTGCATTATTCTTGTCTCATTACTTGCTACTGGAGTTCAACAAAGAATTATGGCTCAAACAATGTATCCTTTTTCGTTAAGATTATTATAAGTAATGAAAAATACGTTCATTCCATGCTTATGAGTTAAATGAGGATCAGCTTTTGTCTATCTTCTAAGATCCTATCATAGATATACTGTAGTTCTAATTGCCTTATTATTCGTAATTCCTTTACACGATCATATAACTTGGTGGCATCTATATTTCAGATTAATATGACCAGTAGTTCTTATGATATAATGTTATAAATTTTAAAGATATAGCAGTTACATTTAAATATCTCATAATTACTGTGTATTAGTAGGATTTATAATTTGGACAATACATGATCGCATATAACACCATATATTATAAACTTTTACTTGTTTAGTGGATTTACAATACCGGATACAATAAATTTGTATTATGTTATAAAGTATGAATTCGGTCGTAATAAGTTAAGCTAGCATGTCAATTATTAAGATTTTACGAATATAACGAAATGGTGCTAAATTAATAATTATAATTTACTGTAAGAAATTATCCTTAATTTATTGTCAGTATTACTAACCGATGCAGAGTAATTTTAAAAGATTTCAACATGTCGTGTGATAACGTAAGTATTGTCCTGTGTTTTCGGTATCGGAATTATAATCGCTGTGTGAAAATGTTAATTTTTCCCAATCTAGCTTAGTATTGTATTCGTATAGCTTATATCAGATGTACCACAGTATAGTATATCGCAATTACTACAAATATCTAAATTGAAACGAATTATTTCTTTTTGTTTACGAATCTATATAGATGGGAAAGCTGATTTTGAGACCGAATTCTTCTTGATGTCAACTTTTTCGATTCAATTCTGTCTATATATACTATATACTTAAGACATATGACAACATTTGTCAATCAGCCTTTTAAATTCTATCCAGACAATGACCTTCGGAGAAATCATACGATTTGCGTTGCAGTGCAAGTTACGGCTATAGCTATAACAATTACTGAGGACGCTGATGCTAGAAATAATCGGCTCTAAAATCGGTGTGCTTGTGTGCGCAGTTGATTTATTTGAATTTTGAATAAAACAGTCTTACCGTAAAATAATGAAACACTTAGATCACTATCAGTATTGTAGTATATTTAATACTTATGAATATAATTATCGACACAATGTTGTATATCAGATCTTTACTTTAGTTATAAACACTCACGCGCATTTGCTCATATTTCATTAATTCAGTTTATTGATTAACGGCTTTTTTATCATGCATTGCTAATTATGACCTTATTGAATGATTATTCTCGACGTGCCATGCTGGTACGTATTGTCACTTATATACGTATGTATAATTCATGTAATCTATTATATATGTTAAGATGACTTATGATCATGATATAACAGAAAGCTGTGGTTTATCGTCACGAATTGTCATCCATTCGTGCGTATTCATTCATTAGAACATAATTGCTAATACGAAAAGAAACTACATGGTTAAGATACTTGTTTCAAGTATAACTACGAATGCGAATAAGCTCATGAAATACGTACTTAATATTTTTCATTCTGTCTTAAATAACAAATGCACGGACTGGAAAAGTGATATTCTTCTTTTGCGAATGTCAACTGAGGATTTATATTTATGAAATAAATTTTTTAAGATTGTCTTTGCAAGCCTAATTTTGTAGCTTTAGTATGATTCGAGAAATTTCTCAACGCTTAAATGATATTAATAGGCTACATAAAATGGTACTCGTAAAATTGTCTTCATGGAATGCTAAACAGCTTTATTACAATTACAACTGAAAAGAAGTTTAAATCATGTTATTCGGACGAAATACATTTCTATTGTACATTAACTTTAAACATAGATGTCGTATGAGATCGTACCAACAAGTTATCTCTATAGGGTAAAGCAGAGAATACATTACAGACTACATTAAAATATAGTACAGTTATAACGAATTGCAGTATTTACAATACGTAACATATTACGCTATTTGCGGCGTTTTAGATCGAAAAAAGATTAGAATTCTACCAGTCCTGCCCAAGAAATAGAGCACTGGCACTGATAACTGAAAAGGCATAAGTTACATACGCGCATACGTCTATACTTGTACGACTGTTGCAGATCCAAATGCGATAGGCAAATCAGCCTATTTTTATTAGTTACTAACTGCAAGTGGTATCTTGAATGAATAGTTTGTATATGATTCATTGTCGTCAAATAACGAAATTAGTATAGTAAATTGATATTTTGGGGATATACAATGGCCATGTTTACTGACTGTCTCGATATTCCAGGTACGCTTCCATTTCTTTAGGAAAAACCTTAGCTAAACCTTCGCAAAGGGTAGTTTTAAAATTCTAGACGTATCAATGGAATAGTTATGATAAGAACAGGGATTTATAATAAAGGCACAAATACAATACCATGACAATGTTCAAATCTATTTTAAGAATATCAAAACTAATTACTGTACCTTGTAAGCATCAACTTTACCCTTCATCTCTTGATTCATCATGACAACCTTATCTAAACAGGCTTTGGTATACAGCTCGGGATTTCTTCCTTCATCTATGTAGCTGTTAGGTTAAGAGATGAGAATTTAACCATTGATTAGTTTATTAAAACATACTCATTTGTTAAACAAGTAAAATTGAACCGTGATTGTACTCTTGCTTACAATTAATGCAAAAACTTGTTAACTCACACAAGTCGCAACTAGCGTATATCTTAGATTATACTGTATCGTACAAGTGACCGATATTAATCACTAATCTGAAATGTACTTTGGGGTAGAATAACTTGCGGTTAATGCTGAACAATTCTTTCATCAAGAAGATGGCCTATCAATGTCTTACCTGAACACCTCTAAAGGAACTTCAATATCATCAAACTTTTCTTTCATATCGTTAATTTCGCGTAAATTGGTAATTAATCCACGACTAAAGATGCAATGACAAAGCAATTACATACGATCTGTAACAATTTCCACGATCATTCAATACTGTTCATAATAAGATAAAATAGAAAATTTGCTGCTTCAGAGACGCTGAAGTAGAAAGCTATTTTAAAACTTGTTATAGCGTTCCTTTTGCTATCCTATTCAGCCGTATGTTGATCGTTGTATAATAAAAGTAAATTATTGTCATAGTTTTACGTAGGTCTAGACGTATGTTAAAGTTAACCAATAGAATGTTAAATTGTCCAATGTCGTACAGCAAAGATCGTTTAACTTTGAATACTGAATTACTGTTTCAATTTGGGTTATAGCCACAGTCGAGTGCGTAAACCATATCGGGTATGATCGACTTCATTAAATAATGCATCGCGATCAATCCTCTAGTCTACTGTAGCCTTAAGATCAGCTGCGTACGATCACCATTACATCATGTTTGATTACTATTACGTTAAAGAAGACCTTAAAATGAAACTTCAATGTCAACTCTACATACAGTATTATACAATATACAGCAGCAGCTATTCTTAAAAACGAAATGTTGACACACTATTGACATCTTTTTGCTCCACATTACACTGAGTACAGTACAGTACCGTAGTATTGAGCTCAAGATTTGTTTCAAAGAATTAGCTAATTTTAAATCACGGAAAAGTAACATTACAGTTTATCATTTAGAACTTTTTGACTTGTAGCTTGAAAATCACTAGCGATAATTCCGACTTGACGCGAAGTTTCGCATAATTGTTCAATTTGTTGTTGCAAGGTTTTTAGTGAATCAATATCAGAATCGTTTTCAGCCATGTTTTCGGTTATTAATTTGCGCATGCGTTGAAGGACGTTTTTTAGACTTGACTATACTGTATACAGTACTGTACTGTACTCATGGTTACTGTACTGTATAAAAAAATACAGTGTCTGTGCCTAAGTGAGCATGAGACTACTTTGGACAGACAGACACTTGGCCTACTCTGGTCAATAAATTGTGTCCAATACTGTGTACAGTACAGTACAGTACAGTACTGTACTTCATTATGACAGTACTTGAATACTGTATGCAGACAGTCGATTCTAAGAAAATGGACTGATTTTTTCTAAATGAAGTAATACTAGTGCAAACTCCCGTCGCTTTGCAGACGGTTTACGATAATGTGCTCATTTAACAGATAGTATTACCATTTGTAATTGCATTCTATTACCTGTTGCTAAGCTCGGTTTAGAAGCAGTCAATTTAGATCATGAATGTTATTCAAATTAATACGAGCGATTTAGAATGCAGATACGGAAGCTTTATATGGAGTAAGTATTTTTTGCCCATTTTTGATGTTATTTGGTATAGAAAGTCCGTCCATCCGATTAGATTTTCAGGTCCAGGTACAGTAGTCGATGTCTGTACGTACTGTACTGTACTTCTTGGCTGTACACTACAGTGTACAGTGTACAGTGACACTGTACAGTATAGTACTGTACTACTGTACTGTACAGTTCAATAACGTCTACTGTACACTTTATTTGTGGCTCCTCCATACTACTGTAGTGTTTACTGCTCCATACCATGATCGTCTGCCATAGTCTATGGGCTTCTCTTTTAACTTTTCAATTGATCCGCGCACCACAGTGATGTGGGCAAATTGATCGGAAAAAGCTACACGCAATGGATGTATGAAATTGGACAATTTTAACTAGGACCTCTCTTAATCATAATTAATTATTATACAGTAGAGTGTAGGTTGATCTTTTTATCGAAGTCGCCGCCTGTACATACAGTACTGTATATACAATTATTAATGAAGTGGTCACCCTGCGGTGTTGTATAGTGTAAAGTATGAGTTTTGCTCATGGTACAGTCCAGTGTACAGTGTACAGTGTACAGTGTACACATGTACTGTACTCTGTGTGTACACTCTAGTTACATTATCCTGGCGATGAACCGCTATCGATTGACAATGTAGTCAAATCTCAATCCACGTAGATAGTGAATGCGACAATCAACGGGAAAACTCGTAAAGTGTTGTGAAAATGTACTGTGTTAACACAACGGTAGAACCCACGTTACGACACCATCCCATGCATCCATGCGCAACTTCAGTTATCCTCCTATCGACAAGCTTACAAGGTCCATTTTTGATTACGCCATTGAAATTTCTTTGGGGGTCTTTGATTTTTTTTTTCCTTTTCATTTTACTGAGATCGACATTAGTTTATTCCCTTAGTTGGCATTATTTTTTTTTATTTCTAAGCTTATGAACCGTATCGAAATAGTTCAATTAGTCAGTGACGCATGTTAAATGGGACCACTTTACCAATGTTTTCATTAGTGTAATTGGTATGAGAAAAAGTCAAGGTTACTTTTCAAAGACTAGACTAGTTGACTTGTAGGCAAGAGGAGTAGAAAGAATTGAACAATTGCTATTTTAAATTACTCTTATTCAGTCTAGTAGAATTCCAGCATCAAAGTAAATTTCACATTCTAGTACTTGTACTGACTTGACCTCCTACTACTACTACACCCTGTCGATGGTTTCTAATACTGTACACACTACATCGGATACCAGTAATCGTGTCGACAAGTACAGTACTGTACGTATTTCTGGTCAGCCCATTTTTTGGCGTTTTCTTGCAGCCAATTTGGATCTTCCCCATTGGAGAAGGATAGACTTGTAATTGAAGGCTAATTTTACTCCATTTGTATACAGTACAGTGTAATTAGACAGTCATAGCTGTTATAAGAGATTTATCAATGTAGTATATTTCAGCCATTACTTCTTCATCCTTCGATATTACTTGATATCCACGCCAATTTTGCAGTTTCAACTGCAGTAATCCATTTCTCAAGGTCATCCTTTTGCCAGGAGATGCGCTATTTCAGCTCTTGATAACAACGATATTGCAGTAGCTATCACATATTTCACTTTTTTTGACCTCTATGCAAAGAAGATTTCGAGAATTCTGACTATAATAGCCATACGATCTTCTATCATCCTGGTATATGCATAGATTATACTGGTCAACACTGAATATCTCTCTTGGCTCTTTTTTGACTAAAATTTCCAACTTTTACTGAAAAGGACCGTATTCTGGCGTCAATCAAGTGGTATTTTGAATTGAGATTCGAGTTAAGGTTAGTTAGAGTGGTATGATTACCATTTTTATTGCCTTAAACTAGCATAATTTAGTCCAATTATTCTAGGATACTGCCTATTGATCAGTACCATTTCTGCGATTGTTATATTTTCCATACCTGTTTATACAGTACGGTTATGCTGGCCAAAATAGTAAACAGTACTAATCAGTGGCCAGCTATATTTTCTACCAATGTATTATTATGACACAATTTGGCTTCTAGTAATTGCATAGTAATGCACAAGTTCGTTTTTTCCTACTATCTCTCTCTATTTTTAATTGATTTTTTGTCCTGTTGTTGGCTTTGTTTTCCTTTTAACTAGTTAGTTATCCAATATTGAATTTTAAAGTCAAAGGAAAATAAGAGAAAATTTAAAAAAAAGATAGAATTATGGCTAGTCACGATAAATTAATTAAAGAGATGACGATGGTTGATAAAATGTCCACGGCTGAACGTTATGAATATGCCAAGAGACGTCGTCGAGAGCAACTCGAACGTTATTTTGCCGCGGTAGGAAATGGTCAGACTACAACTGATCATAATGGACAACGTAGTAATAACAATAATTATAACAGTCGAGGTTTAAAAATCACCTTTAAACCCGACATCATCTTACTTGATTCTGCTGCGAGGAATGACATCGATGAAGGTTAGTTAATCTTACACGCTTATACACACCGTATGTAAAAAATTCCCTTCTTGACAATTTTAATCTACTACTATGTACTACAGTCCACAAGTATAGAATTCTCTAACCTTAAAAATCGACCAACAACAGATGACAATATCATCACCGAAATGAAGATGATCTGAAATCCTACAGTTATCATCTTAATATCTATTCTCCACATATATTATCGATCGAAATTAATTAGCTTTACCTGCCGTCTAACATTTATTATTTTTTCTTCACTCTGATCATTTTATTTTATTTTACCGCTTCAATAGTAATGTACTATATAGATACACATTACTATTTTTTCTAGCACAACTATACTACTATTTCAATATGATGCTCTTAATGCATCTCTTCGTTTATCTTCGAAAAACTACGGCACATGTAATTTGAAACTGTTTGACATACTGTAGTATGATTTCGACCATTCTTGAAGCTAAATTGTATATAATATATCATTTCTTTATTAACTGGAGCTTTTATTAGTATATATTTGTACAGAGTTATTATTATGACCAATTTGTAGACTACAGTAAGTCAATCTTTAATCACAGATGAACCATCATCTAACTGCCATACAATAGTAGGAAATATAGTAAAATTGAATTCTCGTAATTACTAAATTCAATCGATGTATTACTTTTCCCTTATTAGACAGAAAGATAGGATAAATACGATAGGTAACACTATTCAATAAACGCTATTATAGCATAAAAAGTGGTTAATTACAAGTATTCATAGCAGAATTGCAATACAATAATAATAAAAATATCAAGCATACTTCAGAGACACGGATTACTAAAATGAATTTAGTAAAAGTCTCTAATAGATGGACACGGTACAAGTACGCAATGCCGATAAGCCTGAATTTTTCGTTTGATTATATATAATTATTTAGTTAGTATAATTTAATTTTTTAGATGGGAATTATAGCATTAAGTATGGAATCGCTAACGTAGTATACTCGTAAGTATTCGTATACCTGTAGTACGTAACAAAGTTCGAGAAGAAAGAGGTTAAGTGCTGTCATGGGTTAACCCCAATAAAAAGTAATTTATAGGTACTCGTACCGTAAATCTCTCTTATGTACATTATTCTACTTTATATAAATTGCTCTATAACAACTACTTTCGTGTCCTATAGTTCAGCCTTTCTAAAATAGTAATTTTTAATTAAAGAATACATATTAAGAATATTACATACAGTAGGAAGAGTCATAATTAATCTGTCACTGTGGACTATGCGTATTCAGCAGTAAAGTATGTTTTATACCGCTATCATATCAACTGAGGACGTTGTCGACTAGTTGATAAATGTAATTAATTAATAATAATTATTCTAGTATAAATATGCTGTTATTCGATTCGCTCTCTTGCATTTATCATATCTAACCCATCATGAATATTTGTAAAGTATTCTTTTATCGATATAATTAATTAATATTATGCAATGCTCATTCGATTCACTTGAATTTATCATATTCTTCCTATCAATCAATTTGTACTGTATCATTGAAAACTTTTTACGAAATACATATATCTATGTTTTATCGTAACTATAAGTGTTCTATAGTATTACAGGTGCGATTTTAATTCAAATTTGTGATAGTAAAAGTGATAATAATCTTATATATTATTGAAATCGAAATGCAAAAACCTGAAGTTATTACTGTATAGGCTCAATATTATTCTATCGTTATCAGGCGATATAATAATGATGATCTATCCACTTAATAACATAGATTAGTCTAGATTAATGAAACGCTATGCTTGTATTCCATTTCATATTAATTTTTTATGGCTCTCTGTGTTGCATCCGTAAGACCTTTTTCCTATAATTATGATTATAGTTAGGCAATTATTAGAAGCCAAGGTTAATCCGAATGTTGCTAATTGCGATGGCTTAACAGCTCTACATCAGGTATGTTACTACAGTATCATTTTTAGTTCACGCTATTACGGTGTTAATTTGTTATACATTGATATAATATAACCCCATATGCACTAGGTCCCCAATGATATTGGTATAATTATTTTGCTAGCCTAAACTAACGATCCTAAATGTGACTAATGAAAGGAGCAGTTTATTTATTATGCTAAAGTAGTATGATCAGTTTAACCATCCTTTTTAGTTCTATCGGTATACATTAATCAATACAACAAGTATCGTACTCCTTTCCATTGACTGATAAAAATTGTGGGCTTTTGATTATCTTTTCTTAAATTACTTAGTTATTAACGATTTCATAAATACATGTGTTGCTGTGGTTATAGGAAACCATTGATTTTGCTGTTTCTGTTTTTGAGTAATTTAATCACTATGTTCATCTTACTTTAAAGTAAACCAGTTAAAGTTAAAACCTCTACAAAACTATTCTGATTAGAATTCCTTTTTAAATTACAACCTATAAACAGCTGCGATTTTAAAACTAGAACACAAAACGTTTTACTCTGTCACTAAATGTAGAGTAATACTACAGTGTTGCTCAATTCAGAGTTAAATAGTGAATTCTAATTGTTTTTACCGAATTGTTAGATTGATTCTTATACGGTTAAATTTATATTGTTATTGCCCTTTGTCTCAATACCTATTATAAGCTTTGAAATAGCATTATCTCAGTCATGCCATGCAGTTTCTTATCGATCGTTTCGACATGGAATCAGTTTATCTTTTGTAGCTATTGACGTTTGTTTAAATTATCTATGACCATAGTGTATCTGCTAATGAACTTATCCCTATTTTTTTATGAAAAGCATCAAGATAAATACTCAGACATCTAGAAATGTTAATGTTCTAATCAGATTTGTATATATATATCATCACAACATGAATTTTATTTTACTGTTGTATATATTTAATGACTAAATACTTAAGGTGACACGATACTAATGGAATATGACCGTATGCGTATATATTCATATATAAAGTTATTTATAAATTAGTTGCAATAGTCAGACTTTTAATAAGACACTAAAACAAACCTGAAGTAGATCTTGTTTTGAGCTGTTATTATACGTATCTCGTGGTTGGTCATGCTTTGAGTTATGATTATACGTATGTCGTGGTTGGCATTTTATGAGTCAATATACGAGTAAATATAGGCGATACTACTGTACCGGAATACAAATATAAACTAATTTGATCTAAAGTCTATTTTTAAATTGATTGCTCAATTTCGCAATAACCACTATATTTAACATTGATTAGCTAATCTTATACTAAATAATGTGATTTTAACGGATGTGCACATTTGCAGTAAAACAAGAATACTGCTTGAGCTATACATCAAACTATTGAATAAATACGTATATTATATCTTTACATGTTTAATAGCAAATATTAATACAGAATATTTGAAAAATTTCTATCTTTACCTTAATGTCGGAGTAATTAAAATGAGCGAGATATATTAGATGAGTTGATATGATTATTCGAAATTAAATGTTTACTTGTCAATGTAAGTAATCAATATAGCGATTTATCCGTTGCCTTCGTAGTGTATTTTTATAATGCCATTGCGAAGTTGTAATCTAAAATTCTAATCTGATGATAAGATCTATGTATCATAACTACTATATTCTGGTATAAAGAAACTCTACCAAGCTGAGTTAATGTACCTTTATCTACAGTACTATTATGCCACCTACTGGACTGCATAGTAGTACAGTATACTGTACATACACGCATAGGTATACGAGTTATACAAAAACTATAAAATGACGTTACGTTAATGGCTCGTTGTTAAAGACAATTTTGAATTAGATAATATATGTTGCGTCTTTATCATTCATTGAGCTCATACTTTCCCTGCAATCCGTGCTATCTCACAATGCGGTTACAAGTTACAAGTAGACTTACATCTTTACACGATACAATATAAAATATCTCATACACGGTACTGGATAGAAAGATTTTACAAGTACTACTTAACATACTCGTACGTGGTATAGAACCAGCTGTAATCACTTAGTATGTTTAATGGTCTCGATATTTATAGTAAATTAATATTTGGTGTGCTTCCGATCATAATCACAATGATATCGTAATATACACCCCCTATACGTTACTAATAATTCATGTATATTTTAATATATTTGAGTAAAGGACAGTCATTGTTACTTCCTTTTTTAATAATTTACATTCATAAAAGACTGATAGTTACTGTACTTAAGATTAAATAAAGATGATGGTTTTTCCCTGTGCATACTGCTTTTCTTCCTACTGTAGAAATCGTTTGTGATAGTAAATTATAAATTAATGATGATGCCAATGATACTGCGAACGTCGGCACATTCTACAAACAAGTGTACAGTAGTATTAATATCTATACCTGTAATGTTACATTTCATTGAAAGGATCTCTATCTATATACATAATTGATGAGATGTTTATTTTATACGCTCGTACTTACATGGACGTAAAATCTACCTAGATATCTATTATTATGAGAGAAAATTTTATTAATTAGCAAGAATTGGATTTCGATTATTTCGTATTTAATTTTTTAAAGTTCTAAACTATTCAATAGAACTTTAAATATCTGATAATGAAGGTTAAGTGGGATGTTATGAAAAGTATTTATCATATTAAGAATACAGAATTTCTTACTGTTCAAGTGCTTTTTGGCCTTACTTAAGGATTCCAATCATGTGAACGTTCAGTGCGTTGTAATATTCACTTATTTCACGAGTGGTATAAAATTTATGACGAACTACAACGTTCATGGGCATACCTTAAATATATTTTGTAAAATACTAGCAGATAAGATCTAAAATGTAATGTAATGTAATAATGATTTTAATTTAAAATCTTGGATTCTACTATATTGACTTGCTGTATACCATCACAGCATTATTTACACACGCTCTCTAGAGTTTATCTTTAGGGTATGATAATTAAATGTAATTTTTATCTCGGTAACATTCAAGTCATTTCTTAAATTGATTGAAAGATTATCAACCTGTAATAGGGTTTATTTTAATTTAACCAGTCAATGGCCCTGGCATATGAAGTTCCAGGTTATCGTTCGGAAATTCAATACACAGTTGATAGTGATATTTTGTACAATAGATTAGAACTATAAGCTGTACTATAGAGGTGACCATTGGTCACTGACCAATTGACGTCCTTATAAGAAATTACTCGCAAGAAACTGTATTTTCTTTAGAGACGTTGTCATTATTTTCTTCTAGCTCCTAAACTAATAATAAGCTACGGCTGTCGTTAATAGCCAGTATAATGGAATGTATGATTCATATTATGCATGGTACTAGTGAAATTTAGTCTAACCGGCTAAATTTCACATTAAACTAAGATAGAGAAATCGCTATATGCTAAGACACTAAGAAGATTTTTATTTGCAGATTTTTATGATTGAAAGAGACCATTGTACAACATTTCATATTCTATTTTACAGTATGTGATAATCAGTTCTACAAAAGCACTACTTTTACTAATCATGAATAAATAATGAGGATCATAACAAAGTAAAGTATTTGTATACTTAAAGCCTAAGATTTGCCTCTATATAGTCCTATTTTTAATTCTTATAATTGTCTTATAGTCGGTGATACTGCAGGTAATAATACTGTTAAATAAGATATAGTTCCCAATTAAAATAAAATATTTCCCTAATCACTTTTTCTATATGCAATGCATTTGGATAAAAGTTCGTTGATGTTATTACACACTTATGCTCACTTATAATGAGGGAATTATCCGTAGTGAACATATTGATAAATTTCACTCAGCTTTAGTTAAATAGTGAATTTAGCGATATTGGCGCTTCTTTATTCAGTTATAATAGTAAATGATAATATCAAAGAGGACTATTATTGTTTTATGTATAAATATGAAAATTTACAATAATTATGAATTTATGTAGCCAAATTACATGTATACATTCACGAAATCTTCACAACGATTAAAGTTTCTTCCAAAATTTTATTTAGGCTGTCATAGATAACTGCTTGGAGATGTGTCAACTATTAATTAACTTTGGTGCTGACGTAAATGCCTTAGACAAAGAATCCTGGTCGCCACTACATGCTGCTTGTATGTGTGGCCATGTAGATATTGCTAAATTGTTGATCGATAACGACGCAGATGTAGTCGCTTTGAATATTGATGGTTTGATGCCATGTGATATGGCGGAAGATGAGCCAATGGTATTCTATATCGATGAAGTTATGGAAAGCAAAGGTAAAACTTTGACAGGGAATTCTTGCTGAAAATGTCTGATTAGGTTAATTCGTTTAATAATGTTGTCTGTTCGCTGCAGTGTTCGTTTCTCTTTGATCGATAACCTTATGCGTCTCGTATCATACAGAAATTCGTCTTCATATTGTCAGATATAGTATTAATGATTTTCGAATAGAATTTGTTACTAACAATTATCATCTTCATTTAACTAAGGACTTAACGAAGAAAGTGTTATGGCCATTCGCAATCGAGCTGCTGATCAGATGTTGGATGATATCAAAGATGCAGTGAGATCTGGGCGAGATTTAGAAGTTACAGATGAACACGGTGCTACCGCTGTACGTAATTTGATACTTTACCTCTTATATTTACCTACTGAAACTGTCAAAGTAAATCATATTACCGAAACTTTTTACGATATTAAGGCTCTTGAATTTATTGCTTCAGTTACACATAGCTTGCGCTAATGGCTATTATGATGTAGCTGAATATCTCTTGAAGAATGGGGCTAAAGTTGACAAGAAAGATAAGGATGGTTGGGAGCCGATTCATGCAGCAGCTTGTTGGGGCCAGGTAGTGTACATGCTGTACAAGTATTCTTATTTTGACTCTTTGATGATCTGATCAGGAAATTTTTATGCAGGACGGTGTACTAGAATTATTAGTTAAATACGGTGCGAATGTGGACGCTGAAACGAATAATTATGAGAGACCTTTCGGTAAACATTCTTGATGAAAGTAATTTAGTTAACGATGCTTGTTTACGTCTATTACGTTTGAATAATAGTACCGTGGTATACTTTTAATAGATTTGTCGGAAGATCCAGATACTAAAAGATTATTAACATTACTGAAACGAAAAGCCGAACAGCAGTTATTTGCTCGACGATCCAGTTCTACGTCTCGACCCAGAAGCAACTCTCGAAGGTTTGCTATTAGCGCTAAGTGATAAATTTTATGTTCTTATATAATAAGCTCTTCAATTTTACAGTGAAATCATTATCTAAAAATAATACGTTTGTTAACTGTTCTGAGCTCGATTACGCTCTTCATTATACAAATTTAGTCAAGCTATTAAAAGGTTATCTATATCGGAGAAATCTAAAGTTTCCTATTCAGAAGCTGTCGCTGAAGCCAAGCTACGTTCTGAAGCGGTATAGTTATTCTTCTTATTGCTAATTGTATGGACATTTCATTCACAAATTGTATAATAATAGGCGTGTTTTTCACATTAAATTCGATACAGTTAATAAGAACGGATGTCTCTGAAGATACTGAACGAAATCGTCTTAACCAAGAACAACCAGCTAGCAAGCAAAGCGATTCTGCTATTGATTTAGGTACAATCAACCCTGCGATTGATAAGCCAAAAGATGATAAAACTAGTACTGAAGGAGCAAGCAAGAAAAATACTCAAGAGGCAAGTGAGACAGCAGAATCTAGTAATCATCGGAACATTGCTCCTCAGGAAACCCCAGATCATCGTCCGACTCCGGCGGCACCTGATCCACCTTCTCAAAAATCAAATATTGATGATAAAAAAAGTAAAGATAAAGGTTGCTGCATAGTACTTTGAACGTAATGACGTTGTTTACGGGTAGCAAATGATATTGATAAAGAAATCTCTTATAAAGTAATCTCTATTTTAAAAGTGTCTAATGCAATCATTTCTTGCATTATTATTTTTATCGCATTCGTATATCGTTAGAACGCATAAAGATTACTATTATTGAGTCCTACGGTATTCCATTCTGGAATATAAAACTGCATTTTTTTGAAACAATCCTAAATTCAGTTACAGTCTCGTCTATATTGGACAAAAATATACTCTTTAAAGATATGTACGTGATATCATTTTATCTCTCAATATTTTCATCGGTTTGTTTAAGATTACTAATACGATTTTACTGGTAGATAATAGATAACAAGATCATTCATTAAAGTAGCATTTTAGTTCTTGGATACATACAACAATAAAAATGGCATAATGGGCTACAGTAAAGAATACTTTTATAATTTTTACGACAGAAAATCTCTATCATATCATATCCCATATCCTATGCTAGGATAAGATATTATCATTATTTACTGTGAAGTATACATAGTCTCCTATATACTCAACACAACTACTGTATTAACTTAAATGATAATGATTTTTAAGGCTGTTAATATTGAGTGTAAATTACTGCAACACTATAATACGAAACATCGATACAGTTTGTAATTGATTGCAGGAGTTTAATTTAATTTGGCTTGCATCGTTATTTGTTATTATGTGTTGACAAATTTCTAATATATAATACCAATAGTATCAGTGCTATTGGATTGATCAATACGAGACTGGTTTGAAATGAAAAGAATTTTGTATATTATATTCAAGTGGCTAATCTGAATTTTTAATAAAAGATTGCTTTCATAACTATTGTTCAATGTTAGCCATCTCTCCAGGTTACTAGTACTTCGTCAGTTCGATATCTAAGTTTAAGGGAAAACACAGTATAATTACGATAGCTTAGACTAGTTGTAATGAATAAAAATTGAAGTACTTCTGTAATCTAACCGTTGAGTACACCACGTCTCGTTAAAAGGTGTTACTTGACCGGATGAAAACATTTCCCAACCAGCCTGTGCAATCATGGCTCCATTATCGATACAGTACCTTAATAATAATTATTATAAATAAAATGTATGTATAAGTGTAGGCTGTCTCCAGCTATAACGAAAGATACGTGGTTCTATTCTTTGTTATGAATACCTTTACAATACGAGTATAATTAATTAATTAATCAACCTTTCATCCGTGGCGCATAAAGTAGCCCCTCTCTCTTCAACCATTTCACGCATCATTTGCTGAAGTCGTTCGTTGCCTAACAAGATAGAGTAAAAATAACGATAACGTATTCTAAAGGTCAATTTAAGATAGTATCTTGCGAGAAAGATTATTCCACTGTATGCTTACATCCTACACCGCCAACAATTAATACTTCATTAGAACCGCAATGAGCCATAGCGCGCTCTAAAATTTTTACATGACGATAAATTTAGTGAGCATGTATTCATTACCTTATACTTTGCGGTAATACGAATCAATGAAGTTATATATGAATAGATTTTCAAAGCAAATACTGTCATAGTAATCATAAGCATACCAGTAATTTCCACGAGCATTGCAAATAAAGTTTCTTGAAGTGAAAAACATAAATCTTCGGGTGTACATTCACCACCGTCTAACTTCTTTTGAGCTATATCCTGCAGTAATAATAAAATTCTGGTAGCATACATTGTAGCCACTTTCTGCACTATCAAATATTCAAAATTATGTTAATATACCTCGATATATGATAATATCCCGGAAAAGGAAACATCCATACCTTTGACTGTATAAGGCAGTTCGATAAATTTTTTACCTCTAGTCCACACATGAGAGCACATAAGTAGTTATGATAATTGACATGCTAATTACTGTATGTATACAGAAAATCAATTTCAACCTTTTTGCCATTTGTTCAATATTATAACCCGGACTAGGGTCGTTGGAGAGCTATTAGAAAGGAAGGAGATGCTTACATGGTTTCGTCTAATAAATTCGTGGATTATCAGGAAGTGAAAATAAAGCATAGACTATGATTACTTTTAGGACACGAGCAAATCGATCAAGGCAATTTCCAACAGCAATATCGATGGTTTCACCGAAAATTCGATATCTATTCATTAAATAGGCTATAACCTATAAAAATCAATAATATAAAAAGGGATAAAATTCTCTTACCATTGATGCTAAATTTAGTATTTTTTTTCTAGCAAGTACTATAGTATGGATCCCATCTACTGTAAGTAGTTGAAAATGGGGACAACGTTTAAGATGATGTTGCTCTTTCGTATTTCATTTTTTGACACAAAAGCATAGATATGTATAATCTAAATAGTATACCTGTGTATTGCCACCACTAACATATAATACAGTTGGATTATCTGCTCCAGTTACTAAACGACCCATTTCGATATCTGAGAGTTATATTGTTAAAGACAAATACTCCATGTAGTAACAGAAGAGTAAATCTTATCGTTACACTCTGTCACCATGATCATTCTCAAGGATAAGTATAAATTGCACTAAAATTGAGCATGAGTTTGTAAAATTTTCGAATGGAGATAGATACGTGCTATGCAATGATTAACAGCTACTATTGGCTTGTTCCATAGCTGCGCAACCGTTCTTGCAACAATAGCTACAGCAACCAAAGGAGCACCCATGCCAGGCCCTAGAAAAGTATCATTTCATTAGCAACAAAGATAGAGTAAATAATATTATAAAGTTGCTGTCATTGTTGTAATTCTGTCTTCTGTATATAAGACTATAATTGCAGTACCTTTTGTATAACAGACGCAGTCAATTTCATCTGGCGTAACATCAGCGTTGTCTAGTGCTCTATTTGAATAGGCAACGATAGTTTTTATTTACCAATTGGATAAGCAAAATTGTTAAAAAATTCTAGTTTGATTATTACAATTTCTTATCTAACATATATGTTTGGCAATTTTCTATGATAAAGTTAGTATTAATACAGGATATTTTTAAAGCAATCCAAATTAGTATGCCATTACTTTCGTAAGACGCTCAGTATATGATCCCTATGATGCTTAGCAGTATCCCTCGGTTGAAATCCTAAGTGACAGGATGATATAGAAATATTAATAAAAATAAATTACATACTGTAAACAAGTATCTCTATTTGTTGTATAGTACGTACTATAAGTATACGTAGGTCATACATACACGTAATTAGTAAACGCTGAAATCTTGATCACTAATTACTTAATACGATAAGATCGTCAACTAAACCTTCTGAAAGTATCACTCTCATACTACGTCAAGATTGAATAGATGGTGGACATCATGGTGTGGAAATTTTTCTATAGCAATTAAAGACTGATCTCTTGCAAGATGTAGCTCGAATACAATCATTCATTTGATCGATTAATAAGACATACGTTAGCATGCATATTACAGTTATTGCTGTTAAAGTCTATAAGGTAGCTGTGAGACATACGTAAGCATGCATATTACGGTTATCGATTAATAAGACATACGTAAGCATGCATATTACAGTTATTGCTGTTAAACTCTATTTGCTAACTGTGTTAACTCACTCCCAATATGTAGTCAAAGAGTAGTCATCTATTAAATCGATATGTAAAATCTGAGCGTAAAAACAGTAATCTCCATTAATTATTAATTAATTCTATCCATTGGTAAGGTGTAAACATGTACGAGTACTTTATAGTAGGTATCAGAACTGTGTAATCGGACCCAAGCTCACAACTGCTTAATTTTGCAATCATTTGTAGAGGTCTGGAAGGTAGTGTATTGCAAAATTAATTGCTTCTATTGTACAGTAAATAGCGTTTTTGATAGTAAAGTTAACGCCTTTCAATATCGAGTAGAGTAGAAAAGTAATCATCCATTTTGATCAAGCTCACCACTGCTTAATTTTGCGAACCATTTGCAGAGGTTTGGTTGTTAATGTATTGCAAAACTATTTGCTTCTACTGTACAGTAAATAACGTTTTTGATAACAAAATTAACGCCTTTCAATATCGAATAGAGTAGAAAAGTAGTCATCCATTTTGATCCATTACTAATTGTACTGCATCTATTTGTTACACAACGATCTGACATTTCTATTAGTAAGACATGATATCAGCATCTACTCATTGCACATTAGGCGCCACCTGCTGCAAGGTTACTAGCAAGACCTACCTTGACCTGGTGGTGTTATATAAGTATGGCGAACATTGGATAATACTTTCCCATCTCGGATTATGCCAATACCTAATTTATTAGCACTGCCTTCAAAGCCAATAGCAGTAACCATTGCTAGTGATCTCGATTGATTTATTCTTGTTCGCTATAGATGATTGGATTTCTTGCTCAGCTTCGATGAGCGATTTGCATCTATGCAGAAAGAAAATAGAGTATGATTACTCGAATGGCCAGCCTTGTCTCTCTTCTTGCAGTGTATACCTTATACGCTGATGGACTATTTCCAACACTTATCTTGAATATGACTTCGATCCAGCGATACTATAGCGTGTAGTAAACATGGCATTTGTACCATAGTAAATGGTGTTAATAGACTGAAATAGTCCTACAGCCTATCGTCACTACTATGCGAAAATCACTCGTTTCGCATACTATCGTCATAGAGCATCGTGGACACCACCCTCGTTTATTAGACATAGACTGACTTCATTAGCATCTCCAGGTGGATTCCATTTTACTACTTTAGTATCGCGGACGGGGACATTCAATATGAGGTTGGACGGTTCCTATGGTTGCAAACGCCAGCTTTGGCTAGACTATCGTTATGGCGCTTTGCTATCATAAAATCGACCAGCAGAATGTCCACTTCATCCTGCACCGAAGACATTAGACGATAGCATAGCTAATTTGTTTATTTAATCCACTTCATCATCTCCCATCTCCCATATTAATTAATAATTAATCAAGTCAAGAAGGAAGAGCTTGCACAATCCAGTCAAGAAAGAAGGGCTGCACAATCCAATCAAGAAGGAAGAGCTTGCATAATCAAGTCAAGAAGGAACAGCTTGAATAATCAACTCAAGAAGGAAGAGCTTGCACAATTAACTCAAGAAGGAACAGCTTGCATAATCCAATCAAGAAGGAAGAGCTTGCATAATCAAGTCAAGAAGGAACAGCTTGCATAATCAACTCAAGAAGGAACAGCTTGCACAATTAACTCAAGAAGGAACAGCTTGCATAATCAACTCAAGAAGGAAAAGCTTGCATAATCAAGTCAAGAAGGAAAGGCTTGTACAGTCAAGTCAAGAAGGAAAAGCTTGCACAGTCAAGTCAAGAAGGAAAAGCTTGCACAATCAACTCAAGAAGCAAGAGCTTGCACAATCAACTCAAGAAGGAAGAGCTTGCACAATCAACTCAAGAAGGAAGAGCTTGCACAATCAACTCAAGAAGGAAGGAAGAGCTTGCACTATCAACTCAAGAAGGAAAAGCTTGCATAATCAAGAAGGAAGAGCTGGGATGCTTCTCGTTCAAGGCTAAACTTGATCTCTTTACTGCTTCTATCGTTCTCCTTATTTCATACACTTTGGATGCTACCTACCTCATCCTGCACCGAAGGTATCAGACGATAGAATAGCTAATTTATTTATTTATTCCACTTCATCATCTTCCTTAATCAAGTCAAGAAGGAAGAGCTTGAGTGCTTCTCACACGTTGGATGCTACCTCATCCTGCACCGAAGGTGTCAGAGAATAGAATAACTAATTTATTTATTTTTTCCACTTCATCATCTGCCTTAATCAAGTCAAGAAGGAAGACCTTGGACGCTTCTTCTTGAAGGCTGAATTTTGTCTGTTTACTGCTTCTACTGTCTTCCTTATTTCACACACATAAAGTCAAGAAGGAAGAGCTTGGGCGCTTCTTGTTCAAGCCTAAACACCTTGGTCTCTTTACTGCTTCTATCATTATTGCACATATTGGATGCTACTATTGGAAACACTTTGATGACTCGATGGTAATAGTGTTAGCTAAACAAGGCTGATATCGTGGAACCTAATTCATTGCTTCAAGCTTGCATTCAACATCATGGCCGTTCTTTCATTCAATGTTCGCACTATCTACAGTAGTATACCACAAGCTATCGGTGCTATCACCTTGTTTATTTGTATAGCTTTAGCCGAAAGTTTAATTGCTTCACTAAAAGCTGAAACCAAGAAATATCGAGCATTTCGAGCTCAATTTTTAATGATCGTTCAAGTTTTACTCTTGATTGCAATACGGTTTATATGGGTACGAGTCAATGTTAATAAATGGTCAGGTCAATTTTGTAAATATTATTTACCTACGATTTTACGCTATCTATTAATCCTTTATTTCAGCCTTGTACAAGTAGCCTTTATTATTGGTACATGGCTAATGACAAATGATAAGAATTACTATAATCGTTCAATGTGTTTCATCATTTCACTTTGTTTGGGCTCGTTTTTTTGCCTACTATGTCTTGTTATTTTTATCGATCTCATCAATTATTTCAATCTTTGGCATCATTCACAAGAATTACGATTATCCAATAATTCCAAATGGCGAGTATTAACTACAATTACGGTCTTTCTTTGTATCACTTGCGTTATCGTTTTTACTCTCTCGCGATCGCCTTATATCCAAACAGTAAATGTATCATTACGTCGTTTTCGCCGTGGTCAGCAAGGTATGGTTATCGCTCATCTCTGTAATATCCACCTCGGCCCCAACATTGATCAATCCTACTTACAAAGTATCGTTGAAACCACCAATTCTGTTCATCCAGATTTCATTTTCTTAAATGGTGAACTCTTCAATCATGATGTTAATCAATTGATTCCATTGTTGCAACCTTTAAAACATTTACGAGCTCGACAGGGGATTTACTATTCGACAGGTAATGTGTGGCAATATAATGCAGCACAACCATAGATTATATTTAGCTTAGATCCTTACTAGAATTTACGGTCTCTGCATTAACAGTGTACGGTTAGTACAATAATGAATCTGTGTAAGAATTACGAGACCTTAACTATATCAATATCTATAGTTACATTGTACGCGTATAAATAAACAATGACGATTGTCTAATATTTCATATTTCATTAGGTCTACAAAAAAGTAAATCTTCCGATGTAGATAGCTGGATTAACGCGCTTAAATCTATTGGTATTACTACTTTGAATAATCAACGAATACAGATTAAGTATCATGCCAACAAACTAAATCAATTTTATCTAGCTGGCCTGGATTTACCTGAGAAATTCTATACCAAGTAAGGATTTAACCAGAGATAGCCTAGTAAGACTCGTTGAATACTTGTAAGATCTAGCTAAAACTGTTATACTGTCATAATTGCATCTTTCCCTCACTGTGCTAATAAACCGACTATAATTGTTGGTAGTACAGTGGTAGTACATGGTAATGCTCTAATAGATACAGTACATATGAATTATTTGGTGTATTTCATTATTTCTTAAAATTGGCTCATTTTATACAACCACTACGTTAGGAATAGAGATCAAAAACAAGAGTTACATCGGGTCTTAGCTGGTCGAAATACAAGTTGGCCGTTAATTTTATTAGCTCATCAACAGAAAATTTCCAGTCTTGTTATGAAATACGAGCAAAACATCGACTTATTATTAACAGCCAACAAATCTCCACAATCACTCTCCTTTTTTCATATGGGCATGTATTTATACAATCCTTCTTTTGCTAAAGCTTATCATCATGATAGCCCCGTGTGTATTTACGTAAACGATGGATTTAAGTACAAAGGCATACAAACAACTGTGCTTTCTGATAATTCTATCACTGTTATTAACTTACTGCCGAGGACAATAATTCCATAGAAATGTTGTAAGTAAGATATCTATGCCTAATTTTCTTAAAATTTTCTCGAGTACAATTCAATGCAACCGTAGAGTTAACACTACGAGTCTACTCTAGAAAATCCCGCTAACTACACGCGTACGAGTGCTTCTTATTATAATAGGAATACTGTAAGCTACTGGATAAATCCACATTTTATTCAAAAAACCAACTAATATAAATCCGTGTAAAACGTCTTAGATAGTGACTATTAGTAAATATTTACATAAATTAGATAGTGATAACTATCTCACGGTCATTACTGTAAGCAAAAGCTACACAGTAACAATAATATACTATAAATGAATCTATATTAATAATAAGAATGTAAGTATCCCCAGTAGACAAATATAATTAAATTATCGCATCAATTGTCAGCAGCTGTTAAACCGTAAGTTTACAGTATTGTTAAATGTTCACAAGTTGATTTTAATATTATTTTCCAGAAGTCACTTACAAAGTTAGTGATAAACAGTACTATTTAAGAGTAACAAGTTTGTAGCATTAAATGTTTTGTCAACTACATATATTATTGTATAATTACATTAACTTATTTTCCTTTATGGCAACTCTTCAATAGAAAACATGTTACATAAAGCAATATTGATTGATATCAGCATTATTTATGTGGAACCAACTTTTACTACTAAGAATATTTCATCTTCTAACTACAATGTCGTATCACCTATGCAATTACATTGATTTATTTTCTTTAGAGGAAATTCTTGATAGTACAATTTTTTTGAATATCCCATTGACTGTCTTTACAATACATAAATGACTAATTTCGTATATACTATCGTTTAAATTATTAAGCGATATAAAAACAACATGTTACGAATTTAATCTTATGTTGTATTAGTAAATAACCAATCTCAGTGGCAGACTGACAATTTTCTGTACTATCAATAAAAAGAATTGAACATATTACCATCTCCCGAAATACTGTCAATAATGCCGTACTCAATTATGATTTCACGTTTCAATTAAATGTTAAATCTTAATAAGAGAAACACTCCCACTTAATTTATTAGGATCTAATGATCAGGGACATCGTCATACGTAGCATAAACTGGCCTCGACACTAGATTAGATGACATTTTTATGAAGCATAACAACTAAATGCTGGGTAATCGTTGGCCCTATCTTAATTTATAACGTATCACTTATGTGCGTGAATTTCCAATAAATAAGCACCTTTTGTAAGGTGCTATACAATTTATCTTTAGACACATTTCATTAATTTACTTTGACGTGATGTTCCGCGGACGGACCAAGAAAATATTCTTTTCTTTATTAGTCCGTTTTAGTTAATTCTCACATAAACAATTATCCCAATTTTAAACGCTTTTTAAAAAATAATATTTACAGTAATTTCTACAACAATAAGAACTATTTAGAAGACTGTACAGATTTTTTAAGGTGATTATTATACAAATAAATAGAACTGTAATTCTATTAATTATATATTGTTTAGCAACTAACTCAACTCAAGTACAATCATCATTTCCGTCTACGTATATTGGATTTGGAAAATATAACTTCAACGAATTGCATGGTACACGTAAAGTAGCATCCATTCGAATTTTTTACACATATAATATACAGTAATTTTCGTTACAAAACTCTTTGGCCCTTTCAGCTCCCCATCCTTTAATCCATCTGTCATGCAGTTCCTGCTTATCCCTAGTATTAATTCGATTAAAACTTAAGCGAAGATCCTTTGTAACACATTCCGGATATTTAATGTCATGTCTTCGTAAACAAGGCATCAATAACAGATCCAAAATGTCACTGCGCATCGGCGATGTAACACCACAAGCTGAGAGATCCAGCAATTCTAATTGCTTCTGTTCTGCACATAATGACTTTACCATTGCATCTAATCCATCAATGGTAATTCCAGAGTTTCCTTGGAGTATTAATTGATTTATTCCTGCTGAAGGTATGTACCTATGTACGATTACGCCATTAGAAAAGTTACATTGATAAAATATTGCATCATTTTAAAAAATCGTCGTACGGCTTTACCTTGCTAAGCTATACATAAACGGGTCAGAGATATTGCAACAACCAAGATTAATCGCCTTTAAACGGTACACTGCAGCGGCCAGATCGTCCATAACATCGAGATATGCGTAGTTACCAGCCAATTCCAAAGTTGTCAATGCACATTCACTCTGCAATATGATAATTTTTGGAAATCGTCAACCATTCAAAATCAAAATAACATGCTATAGCAAAAACTAAAAATGGTGGTACCTTAAGCAAATAATCTTTTAGCGACGTCATAACTCCGCCATCGCGAAGTTCCACGTCAATAGAATTAAGACCTAACCAAACCAGAGAAGTGCACGGAAGGCAATCTAAAAGGTGCTGCATTCCAACTGATCCAAGATGATTACCAGAAAGTGACAAGCTTTGCAATCCATTGGCATCTACATATGAAAATTACAAAATCTACCAATATCACAATCTCAATATTGAACTAATTTACGCTAAAGCTTAATAAAAACTCACGTTTCAGACCATGTTTAAGCCCTTCGCGGTGGTTCATGACAGCTGGGGTGAGCAAACAAGATTCTATATAAAGTTTAACCATTCTCTTGCAGTTATTAAGCAAGCTTGCTAATGCGGTAGAACTGCCATCTCCCAAAGGATTAAAGCTCAAGTTTAATTCTTGCAACTTTCCTAAAGAGGTCTGATAAAAATTATGAAGTTTATATGAGAAAATAACCTATAAAGCTAACGAAATGGTACTCATAACTTACATTGTATGTATCTGTTGTAGTGCCAGAAAATGCATAGTCGACGAAGTAATTTAATCCATCATCAGTAATACCGTTACTTGCTAAATCAACCGTTACCAAGTTGTGAGCAGTCTTAAAAATAGGTGCAAGGAGCTTAAATCCCTTATCACCAATGCAATTACCGGATAATACTAGTGTTGTTATTAGCGTAAAGCCTTGCAATGATTGAGATATCGGCAACAAATCATTATCATTTAATAACGTATTCTTCAAGTCAAGGCTTTGGGATCGCATCTCTGTATCTAGTGCCATTATCACTTGAGAATGTGGCTCTAGGAGACAATAAATCAATTGTATAATTATCAACTTTAAAGGTTTTAAAGCGTATATTAAATAAAATAGCACTTGTCAAGGTCAATGTTTCAGAACACAGGGTTCATGACTACGGGTACTAAATATTAATTTTAATACATTTATTAAACATTGTAAATTAATACCTATATCTAAATTTTGACAGCACGATACGTAACGATCCTTAAGAGGAGGTAAATCCCAAGATTCAACATTAGCTATCGTTTCTTCGTTATTCGATAAAACATCGAATAAACAATCTTCCGCTGAAAGTAAAGCTCCTTGCTTATTACTAAGGATCATAACTAAGGGTCTCATTCCAGTACAATTAAAGTAACGGTTTGAAGTTTGCTCCAAAAGCCAAGACACAGTCCTTCTATCATTTTCTGTACCACAAGGAATTAAAAATGTTTTATCTTGAATTTTAACTCTGATGCGCATGACCGACGTTCCTGTATTAAGAGTAGCAGGAGGTTTTTCAAAATTGTCGATGAAAGCTCTACCATCATCTTCATCGTTATCTGCACTGGAATCTTGAAAATTTGTTGAAAATTGATCAGCCATCGTATATTGAGTGGCATTATAATTAGTAGTCCTCCCACTCTTCCTTTTAGTTCCGCCTTCCCGACTACCTTTTCTTTCTGCAATATTTAATAATTCATAGTTAATAAATAGGTAGAGCACTCATACCAAGAACAAATCCTGGTTCATTAAAGAATACACGATATAAAAAATCTAGTATTGGTATATACACCTTTTCTAGAGTCACCTATTACTGTTGACTGGGTCTTCTTTTTCCGCTTAGTTGTAGTTTCCTTAATATCATCGATAAGCCAGTCCACATGATAGTCTATTTCGGAAATTAAAGCCGTCGAACGTTTGATTCCATTTAATTGTCTCTCCCCTTCTGTTTCAAGTTGCATGTAATTGTCATTAACAGATTCATCTGATGAATACATTTGTTTTCTACTATCTACATGGCTTGATTTTGAAAATTTGCGTCTATGATCATCTTCGCTATCGGTATCATAATTCTGGCAATTCAGCCGATTTCTCCCGATATTACTAAAAATATTACCAGATAATCGTGATTTTCCTTTTGTGCGCTTTGGCGCCACCAACGCTGAAGATACATCATTGTCGTCGGTATCCGAACTTGTGACTCTTACTCCATTACGGTCGTTTGTATTTCCGCTTTTTTCTGAATCTACTGTGCTGTTCAGTGACAGGCCTGTAGCATTTCTTACTAATGCAATCATTTCTTTGATTACGTCATCGTCTGTATTTCCTTCACTACCATCATGGTCACTTTGTGATTCTAACTCGCTTTGCAATCGTTTAAGCAAGAGACGACCCTAAAAACGGGTAATGATAATATAATTGGTGATTAAAAAAGTACTATACTGCAACAATCTGATATTAGCCATAACAGAATATACCATTTGTTAACTGAAATAGTGCGTTTCTGAGATGACAATAGCAGAAAAGAGAAAAAATACCTTATCGGCTGATAAAGATAGGGAAGCGCCTTTTTCTAGTAACATTTTTACTGTATCTAAGTGATAATTCTGTATTGCATCGAGTAGTGGTGTTACCATACCCCACTGTGAATCAATCACGGAACTGTTTACGTCTGCACCGTGATTTACCAAATATTCAGCGATGTCTGTAGGAAGATTCGTACACTATTACATATGAGTGCATGACGTCGAATTTCATATCTTAAAATCGAAAATTTCACCTTTATATCCAAAGTTACAAGCTTCATGAAGTGGAGTCCATCCACAATTATCTCGAGCATTTATCTTTGCACCCTAAGCAACATTCATGATAAATGAGATCATAAGTGTCATAAATACTGTCAAGATATGTTCATGTGCACTACTGTACCTGCTCTACCAAGGCTTTAATAACTTTTAGATCGCCCTTAATTGCAGCGATATGCAAGGGTGTTTCACCTTTATCGTTTACTTTTTCTTTGTAACGCTGTTTCAATGAATAATTAAAAATATTAATTTTAAGTGACTCTTAATTAAGTTTCGACAAAGATGAAAGTATGAGCTTACCTTTAGTCTTCGCCGCTTTCGCGTAGTTGTCGAATCAGGTAGAAGCTTATCGTACTCTTCTAAACAATCAGAGATCTCTACATAGATATTAAACAAATATTATAAATAATTTTTAAAATCGGAAAAAATTTGACGGCAAAGATATTTAAATTAGCCTACCACTATCACTGATACTATCATCGCTGTCTATTAATACGGGATCATCAGTAATATCGTCATCATCCAAGTCAGAGCTATCACTTTCTATGTCATATTCTTTCTTAATTCGGTTTATTTCCTCAAACGATCTTTCTTGTAAATCAATTCTTGAGAACTTCTTTTGGAAGTCAGCTAAAGCTTTGAGAACTTTAATCTTTCGAGCAATAAAATTAACAAAAATGCATATAATTAATGAATAATGCACGACGTCCCTTAATAATTATCATATTATTACTTACAATTAATGGCGGGTTGTTACTAGCTTTAGCAAGCCGTAAGGCATTTTCATAACATTCATTAATTTTTTGAAAATCGTGAGAACTATCTTCGAGTAACTGTGCTATGTTAAGCCAGGTTTTGCATTCCTATAGTATAATATTTTCTTAGTTTTAAAATGACACTACACCATATTATGGAGCATTGATGTTGATAAATAATTATAATTATAATCGGCGTCAGGAATAGTTACTGTCCATAATTTTACAAAGATGATTGTACCTCTTGTGGTTTTCGACAACCTATTTTTAATTCACGCTCGTAAAATTCGATAGCATCTTTATATTGCTTGGCATCGGCATATGATAAAGCAAGTGATACGTATATATCAGCCAAAGATTCCCCTTCTATGCTGAGTGAAAGAGCAATGTCTAACTGCAAACAAACGAGACAATAATGATGTGAGAAATAAAGTATTTGCTTATTTGTAAGGTCAAGCAGCATCACATTGATTCACTAGGCATCATTTGCTAATATTTTGTATCACGCCAACAACCTTACTTGCTGCTTATAATAATAAATTGCTTTTTCCATGACTTCAATTTTAGAATAGAAATCTCCTAGATTCTCCATCAGCTTCAGTTGTCCATTTTGATCTAGTGATTCAAGGTCAGCCAGTTTTCGCTGTAATTCTAAGCCTTTAGTTGCTAAGATAATGATAAAAAACGGCTATAATTATTTCTCGCTATTAATTAAAGGACAAGATATGATATATTACAAGTTTATAAAATTTTTACCTAATTTGAAATTTGCTCTAAGGCTAGTTTTAGTATCCTCAGTACTTTCATAACGAAGTTTGTACGCCTTTTTAAATACACGCTTAGCCTCCTTAAAATTGCTTAATTTTATATTAACCTAGCCGTGAAGTAAACAATTGTATTAGGAAGCTATTTTAAAATGTAAGTTGACAGATTGGTAATTATCTTTGTACATAAGCACAAGATACCTGGCCTAAATTCTCTAGAATATCACTCTCAACGACGCTATTATCTTTAACTTGATCAGAAGCAACAGCCAAAGAAAACATTTCCTTGGCATTCGAATAATCATCAGATTTCATATAGATACCGCCAAGCGTATAAAGAGCACGATATTCAGTATCTTTTAGTTTAAAATCTCTAAAGAAATAAATTGTATCAATTCATTTAAAAAGGCGTACAGGTGACGACATTGATAATGTAAGTAACCTAACATATGTGTCTATTTGAAGATTATAAACAGACCAAGGTACTGTGCATACCTGGCAATTGTTAAAGATTTGTGAGTATACTTTGACGCTTTGCTTAATTCTTGCTTAATTTCGAATATTAATCCCAAATTTAAATATAATCTAGCTCTCATCTGTTGCAATTCGTGTTCGACAACACAATCACCTAACAAATCGCATACACTTAGGCTGTCTATATAAGCTTGGTGAGCCATTGACAGGCTTTCTGTTTGTTTTGGGGGATCATCTGCATAATGCTCGGCTTCTAAGAAGTGAGTTCTTCCAAGTGTTGCTAGTGCTCGTTGTTCTTCTACCGGGCTAAAGGGATACCAGTAGTAAAACATTATGCACATTGTACTATTGATCACTTGATGTTTTTTATCGTCTTACAATAGCTGTATTAACTTATAACCACTTAATAGTATACATGCCTTGCAACTTCTCTAGCGATTTTAAGATGCTCTTTGACATGATCTAAAGCTTGATCGAACTGTCGTAATTCACATAAATTTTCGCCGATTTTTCTATTTGCAATGGCCACACCAAGTCTATCATTTAGGGCCTCACATAATATCAGCTCTTCACGATGAATTTTTACAGCTTTGCGGTATTCCCCTGTAGTGGATAGATTTTAAGTACGTAGGTACGACACCAGTTAATATAGAAATTCAATTTTTTTGGCGACATCTACAAAGAATTTTGTGTATAACGCTTTATCACATGTTCTCAAATTGCAACGGTTATTGTTCGGAATAGTGCAACAGGTGAAATTCTAGAAAACTTTTTTGAACTCATGTTGTTGTACAGGTGGTATATAGTGATCTTATATCAGATTAACTAGTGTTCCTAGTTATCCGTAATGATTATCAGCTTGTAGCTAATTTTTTAGGCTATAGTGACTGGAATAACATAGCAATATATTATACAGCAAGATATTGTCTTATAAGTATTACGAATTGCTTTAAGTCTGAATAAGGAATAGCTCATGTCTACATCTCGCGGTTAACATGACATTGCAGTAGTTAATCAACTTTTGACGTAAGCTCGACGTTCTACCATTTATTTTACTTTCAGTATTGTAGACCGATATGGATTGAAAAAAGTTCAGCATGATGCTACTTCATTATTACACTTTACCAATTCAAAAGAAATAGCATAGCCAAGATTGAGGGTATCATAAGAATTAGTTCAAATTACAAAAACTTGCCAAGGCTAGCATTAAATTAGATATAAATATTAACTATAATTATTATCGATAGCGTAGGCTTATCTATCGTTTATCATCTTACCATTTCTGAAATATAGTTCACCAAGTGCATTGCATATCTCAGCTTCTTGATTTAAATCTTTATTTAATTCTTGGATCTTTGCAAGGCGACTTTCTAAATCTATTTCAACATATTTAAACAGAAAACTTAAGCTAGTATAAAATCGATAAGGTAAAGAGAGCCTCAAATGTATTTTTTATCGTTTGCGCTATTATGTTCAAAGTAAGGCATATCACACTCTGAAGTTACGCCTAGTCGTTTAATTCCATCATTACATTTCATTCCATGTTACTGTATTGACGAGATCCAGCAAAAGGTGTTATAAAATTGACAGAGACATACTATACTTTAGATTCAACGTGTCAATCATCATTACATTCACATATTCGTGAAATAAGCGTTTACATCGACTACATTCCATACTAGTATGTATTTACTAGCTGTACATGTATACCACTACACCGTGACTACAGAACCCTCGGTTAATTTTCATCATGGCTATGGTCCTTTGGAAACAAACTCCCTTTTTCAATGCCAATATCCGATAGGATTGTAATAGTCATTATACTGTAGGACAAATGAATCAATATGTATTTCAACAGAAATAGCGCTAACTATGAGTATACCATCACAGTTAATTTCACCCAATCTTCTCAGTAAAATTGACTGATTTTTAAATTGGATGCAATCTTCTCAGCAACCCCAAGTTTGCTACACGTTGGCATCAGGATTCAGGAATGGTTGGAGATACAGTACACTGAGGACGATCCATTGCAGACAGGTAAGAATGGATTTCTCGATCCATTTGATTAACTCTAGCATTACACTTTAAAGAAGGCCTGACACCTTTTCTTATAGGAGGGGAGTTTTACCACTATTACTAATACCTTAGCGCTAGAATGTTTGCCTAGCACCATTGCCAATATTCATTGGCTTCTATTTCAGCTCTTGAATATCCTATCGATTGCAACATGGACAGTACAGTACAACAGCACGATAGTAAGGATGTTTACGCGTCCAAAGTTTCAACGTTGACGAGTGTTTCATTCCATGTTTCAATAGGATATGCAGCACAATCTTTCAAAAATTTATAGTGATCATGATAGGTGTATCATAACTCAATTTTAGGAATAACTTACGTTTAATTTCTTTTTGCAGTCCCATGATCCTTATAACATGGTGTTGTCTCTATACAGTCTATCAGCCACAGCGTCATGACACGTCTAACAAGCAGTTTATTCCATTGACTCGAGCAATAGCGTCCCTGTCAGTCAAGATTTGTCTCGATTTTTCTTGTTGACTACGATAGGATAACGGTGTTTTAAAAGCTGGACTCAGTTCTACTTCACTATATCTAAAAAGAATCCAATAAAATGGAATAAATGTGCAATTCTCGGCTTGAGTTTTCACTGAATCTCGAGTAGAGAAGGCCTTGAAGAGCAAGCATAAACTCGTTCTCGCTGTTGAACAAGAAAGTGGTGCAGTCTGATTGCTCTTATATATTTAAGTACTATGATAGAGACTTGATTGCGTAGTACTATTGAAGCATAAATTCTCTGTGAAATCAATGAGTTCATACTGTACACTCAGTGTTTTCACTGTCACCTTTGAAATATGGCGGGAATGGTACGGCACGGTGCGGTTCGGTACGGTCTAGTACGATACGATACGGTACAGTACGGTACAGTACAGTACAATGCCGTACCGTGCTGTCAGGTGTAAATGTCATGTCTGACTCACAAGGATTGTGTCGACAAGTTGAGGATGAAGGAAGGAGCTTTGTCGACAGGTTGATTACTGATGGTTACCCCGGCAGTCAGCGGCACAGAAAAGACAGTAATCCTCCTTAATTGTAATAAGGATAAGACTTGTATATGGATAGTTATTAACTTATTAAGCTATAGCTCTTAGTAAGGCATTAGATGTAGTCGTCTCTGATTGGCTATCATTTTCAGTACAAGATAAGATAGTTACAGTCTTACAGATACTTACAGTACTATACTGTACTGTACAGTACAGTACGGTACTGTTACACCAGGGACTTGCGAGACATGCGATATACTGTAGATACTGTACTGTACGTTCGTGAATTTCCGCCGAAGAATTCTTGTTTCTTGAATAAATTTTATACCAATCGATAGAGAAAGTCTTCATTTACAAGATTACGTTGTTTAAATTTACATACGACGTCTAATTTCTTGGTAATTATTAGTTAGAGTGCGCTAATTGCTACAGTACCAAGAAAAAGTCAGAGTTTGCTACTGCACTGTACTGTACACTGTACAGTACTGTACAGTGTACAGTACAGTATGTGTTACTGTAGACTACAGTACTGTACTATACACTGTACACTGTACAGTACATTACTGTCATGGCGATCTGAGCTCAAAACGATACCACCAAAGTTAACGCCATTTGACGATCGATGGAGACCAAGGATATAGAAAAAACACTAGATACACCAATCTATAATTTCTCAGCTGTTATTGGTGATACGACTGTGTATTATCATGTCATGAAGATGGATCAGAGTCTATTCTTTTGGATAGGTACTTCTCTTACAATGGATGATATGGCTGTTGCCATAGGAAATCGAGATAGCAATGTAAGGTTTCTATCTCACTTTTGTCATGAAATCATTCTACAATAATTATAAATTGAACGACCGACCAATCTGAGAGCTGACGCCAAAACGGTATATACTGTACCTTACTGAGAGAAGTTCTATCGTGATAGCTTACATTAAATAAAATATGCAATGATTCATCAATAACTGCAAGGGTTACTTTTCTCCAGTCGTCCTCAATGTACTAGGAGAAACAACTGCATAAAATTGTCAAGGCCAGCGAACTGTAATGAGATTCCTATGACTGTGTAGCAAGAAATAGAGACTAAATGCACAGAGTCTCTAGTAATGAAGCAAAACGACATAGAGAAGCTCACCATTTCTATCGATCTTTTTGTAACGTTTGATCTTTGAAAATTTGTAAATTGTTTTCCTCATTAAAATACGTGCTGCATAGTCATTGAACCCTGAAACCATGATCCGTTATTCTACGAATTTGACATGTACTCGCATATACTGTAAAATTGTAATTAGCTGATAACTGCAATAGGTCACATGCGATACATAATAGGGTGTACGGTGGCTTCGACCAGATTTGCATCGATGATTACGTTAGCTTACCCATTACATAGACGATGATTTTACAATGAATGCAATCAATTCTACATCAAGCAAAGGTATAAAATGTAGAACTTATTAATTGCAGCCAGTATAACTTATGATTTATCCCTTTATTCGATTACTTGTCATCCAGTAATGTGAACACGAATAGTACAATATTTTTATCCACTTTCTATTCTTAAATTTTCAGTAATAAGCCTAATAAACTAAGTCACAGTTTTGATTCATACAAATCGCTAACCCTTTGTTGTTGCATTTTATAGGATGGACCTCCTGTTGCATGTAAAATTATAGGTGACATGACTGATATGACCCAAACAAATCTGGCACTAAAACTCTGTAAGTTTTGCTTCTAAAGCTCTCTCTTTTCATAACAACGATACAAATATAGCTAAATATAGTGCATTTCTATTTTGAATTTGTACCGTATACATCATAGTCTTGCTATATATATATAGTCTGATCTGTTTGTGTTTGCTCACCCCAAGTTTAAACTTATAATTTGTATATTATGATGTCAATTACTTACTATGCTATGTATTACTATTGATGTCTTAATATGTAATTGCATGTGAACGATAATGCCCCTCGTTCCGCTTAATTAAGTAATGCAATATTATAAACTTCTTAAAACTGCCTTGATACGATTATAATTATTTACTCAACGAGCAAGCCTATCGAATCACTCATTGTAATATACAGTATACTCAATGAATGTATCTCATCATTAGGCCACATATATTTTCTAGCACTACTGAAAGACTTCTACTCGATGTATGCGTAGTATATTCTTTATCATGTCAAACATTTAAAGTACTTCGCGGTGATAGCATATGGCATCATTAGTACTCTTAACCGAGTTATCTGTAAAACAAATATAGGTAAACGGACCGGAAAGCAAAGCTTTGTTAGCTACAACGTTCCAGAGGAAGTCATGCCAGACCTCGTTCAGAAACGATTAATTGAGGAGATGGTCGATCATCCAGAAAAATTTTAGCTCGATTTACTGATTTACCGTTAAATACAAAATGTCCCAACATATGTACATACTGGTATATGCTCTGAATAATGCGTAATTAGAGCAGACTATTATAGCTATAAGGTAGCTAAAAACAACTTAAAGGTATGATTTGTCTTAGTATAACCGACGGTCATTAACGAATAAAGCATTACCGATGATTTACCAAGATTGTAAGCGTTGGAAATGAGTCTACATACAATATAAAGTTGTTGTGGTATCTTTGCTATAATACAGTATCCTAGAAACGTTTTTGTAAATCATTTATTATTCTGATGCCCTATACATGCCGAATTCCTTTTATTGTAAAAAACTTATATATTCGTATATCATTTTGCAAGATATTTGATGCAATAAGACTGATGTACAGTAGGTAACCATGCTACATGACATGCATATTGCGATATCGGAAGTATTCATCAATGTTAATAAATCTTACTTTTGACCGAAGCTGTGCATACAATATTGGACGGTCTAAGCTACCATCTTCTCAACTACATCCTTAGTGAGATGTTGATGATAATAAACGATGCAAGTGATGTACTATAGGATTGTTAGTTAAATTAGTAGTTGCGCTTACTGCTTGTTTAGTCTTCTACGAGTATGTATCTTCTATCATACCTTAATGTAAAGGAATATCTACTTTGCTTGTACAATATTTATTACTTGGCCAAATTGAAGATAAAAATTTCAATTCCATCAAGTCAATAGTAAATTAAGTAAAATCCTTTTGAGACTACAGTAAAAGCACATGGAAACTGCATGTTCTGTCGTATTGAAATGACTACTTACTACGATCACTTATAATGATGATTACTTTATGTATACTTTACATACCAAAATCGATTTTATTATGCTATTAGCTACCAGGACAAATCAGTAACTTATGCAATGTGCTGTTAGCTACAACCAAGCAAAAATTTTAAAAGACGGGATTTTTTTGCAAGACAGCATCTACCCTAACGTATCATAACGCGTAGTAGACTTTTATAACCAAGCTAGATTGTACTTGACAGAGAGTAAGGCGTATCAAGTACTGTATAGCAATGAAATACTCTTTCGCAGCTTTATTGCTAATATTTTCAGTTTGCCAGCTTTCAATTGCCGTTAGAAAAGGGTACAAGATGCAGATAGAGCTATGAATTTAGTAGTAGCATAAACACATCAATTATTACCCTACCATCATGGTTATTAAGATTGTTGATATCCGGCATCAGAATCAACAAAAATTCTCCTACAGTAATAAAAGATGATACTAGACAGAAACCTCATCAAAAACTGATGATCGGAAGATTGACATGAATAGAAATATCTTTTAAGATTGAATAGTTTAATAGGCAATAATAAATGCTCATTAAAGGGAATTTTCTATGACCGATCCTGTAAATGAATAATAAAATAAATGATTATTGTACTAACAGATAGGTTAATAATTGAGCAAAGACGCGACGTGCAAGCGTATGCTAGTGGGAAAATGGCAACGACTGGGTACAGTATCATACGAGTACACTTGAAAAGCATTCATTCTATTGAAGCAAATATACACTATTTCAACGTACGTTTGCCTAAAGATTGTCCCTCTCTCCATGCAGCTACTTTTAATGTTGTCTCTTCTGTTTTGAGAGCTTGTTGGCGAAATTCCTTCTTCAATGAACGTCGCAAAGCTTGTGCACAAGCATTGGAATATCTAATATAACTAACGATCAAAAAAAAGGGGAGAAAAAGAGATCATGAGAAATCTGCCAGTGGGCTAGTAGAAAGGCGTTCGCTGAACAAAAATAAGAGAATCAATATGTAGTTCAAACTATATTGAGGATGAATATGTGAGATGGAATTGATCCGAATAGTTGTCATGTTATGATGTTATGCAGGGTAAGTTATTGAAATCACTGTACAATCATGGATGGCGTACTTTAATCCGGCTGCTCTCCACGATGACACCATCTTGCATTCGAGTCGACGCGAAAAGTCTTGTGGGACGGCACGCCGCAGGAAAATGATTTAATATTGCAGAGTTCGAGTACAGTACAGTACAGTACGTCAGTACTACAGTACAGTACAGTACAGCAGTACTGTAATATTACAGAATCAGAGTACTGAACACTGTGCTGTACTGTACACTGTACACTGTACAGTACTACAGTACAGCAACAATATTGCAGAGTCAGAGTACTGTACTGTAATGAACACTGTGCTGTACAGTACAGTACAGTACAGTACTACAGCAGTAATATTGAAGAGTCAGAGTACTGAACACTATGCTGTACTGTACAGTACTGTACTGTACAGTACTGTACTGTACTGCATAATATTGTAGAGTCAGAGTAGTGAATCGTGAACACTGTGCTGTACTGTACAATTTTTTTTACTATCTATTGACATTCAGTAGTACGTTCATGTTATCATGATAATCTATCTTCGGAGATAGCCTTCTATGGGTATATATAAATACTATGCAGGAATTTCAACGGAATACAACTTTGATTTTTTAACGAAGAGGAGACATCGAAAATAATCAGATTGTACTGTACAAGTGTACATTACAGTACTGTACAGTACGGTACAGTATTGCAGAGTCAGAGTACAGTACTGTACTGTACTGTACTGCACACTTGACCTTTCAGATTTTGAAGTTGAATACTGTACTGTACAGCTTCAAATGAGTCCATGACTTTATGTATCATATCTAAAGGTATAGAACTTATTACAGATTCAATGCTATTTCGTAAGTCAACTAAAGTAACTCTATCGTTACTTTTATAAACACGGTCCTTGACATAACCCCATAAGAAAAAATACGGGATTAAGTCAGGGGATCGTGCTGGCCAGATCGATTGATGTATTATTTGTTCACTTTCCGAAATTTATTTGTTTTTGGATGTTAAAATTTATCGGCTGAAATATCTTAGACATACTGTACAGTACAGTACAGTGTACTGTACAGTGTACAGTAGTAGCAATTAATTAGAATACAGTACTGTACACTGCATCATTAGAATTCTCAACTGGTTAATAATAGGAGAGAGGGGAAGTAGAGTGTAATTATGCCATATTTACTTATTTGCGTAGAGTACAGTGTACTGTACTCTATATTAAGTTAATCTAGCTGCAAATCTTCTTTTTAAGGTACAGTACAGTTGTACAGTACTGCAGATTGTTTGGCCGTTCATTCAGGGGGATTTCCCAGTTTATTGAAAGTTATACTGTACTGTACCCCTAGTTCTTTAGGGGATAACTTTAAATAAACTAGCATCCGCTAATTTTGGTAACCGCACATTTGGCAGTGACAAGTTGCTATTTCACATCCCTATAGTAAAGTACATACAGTACAGTTAATTACACATGACTTTATTGATCAACCTGAAAGAAACTAAAAGTAGCTGACGTCATCGTGAAGTATTGTGCCTAGTATCGCCTTTCATTTTAAAATCCTATTGTTTCCAAGTATTTTGAACATTTCCGGTAAGTAGAATTAATTTTTGTTATCATTATCATTTCATATCTGGGTAGGGGTAAACCAATCCGAATTTCGTATTACCGGTACTACTCATTCATTCTTTTTATGAAGTAGGAAATCATTGCTGAAGGCCATTCCATGCTTGTCTACAAGCTATTTTTAGTAAGGTAAATAAACATGATTTAAACGTTATTTCTATAAATTATGAATTACGGCATACAATATTATACAATATCGCTGGCAACACTTTGCAATATTGTACATTTCTTCTCGTACAGTACTTGTCCACTACAGGACAAACATGGACAACAACGGAATGCATAGTAATCATTTTTAACCAATCGACCAACTTCAATTCTAAATGATATACACCTCTGCGACTACAATAACTACTGTATGTTTTTGAACATTAGAGCATAAATGTTCACACCGTAATCGAAAGGAATATTAATTAATGTACACGATTAAATTAAATTACTATGCAATCTTTATTTTTAAAATTCTGGTAAAAATTACGTCATGCATGGTCTTTCAGCTAGCTCTGCCAACGTTACGTTTGATGCAAGCTCATAAAAAGACGTTCCTAAAGATTATCTGATCCAAAGAACAGCATCGCTCTATTACAGTAGATCAATTTTAAACTTATTATTTCCTGCTTCCTTTTTATTTACCACTATCAGGATGCACATCTATTCCATTTTGGTCTTTATCGCGCTTTTATCGTCAAATTCGGCTGAGGCAAGGCCATCGAAAAGGAACGTATTTGATGCTTTTGCTGATAATCATCCAGGATCAGACAATAAACTATTCAACAATTTGAAATATTTGGCAAATAATAGCCATCGTTTACAAGAAAAGTTGAGCAGGAATCAAGATAACCTAAAGTTGAAGTTGTGTTCCACAATTACCAATTCCATAGATTGCATGGTACCTGCTAATTTTTCATTGACTAGTCTATCACGAAATAAAACTTTATTGGCCCAATTCTCCAATGATAACTGCTCAAAAAATGTTGCCGATTCTGGATTAAGTACGTATTATCGATACTTCAGTTTTGCCAAAATTCTTCTCTTAAATGTGCAACAAAATCTAGGTAATACTATTATTGATTCAGAATTAAATGCTACTCTTGAATCATTATTCCAAATCTCTAAGCTATTAAGTTGTAATCTTAATCAGTTTATGATGAGTAATATACCAGTTTGTTTAATACCAATAGATGTAAGATACAAATGTAATATAAGTTTAACGTTATTAAGTAAAGTATTGCAATTACTAAAAATCGATTTACAATCAAGTAAGTAAGAGTTTATGCTGGTTAATTTACCTTTACTAATTATTGTAGTATATAATTAATGACCATTGTGTTATTCTTTATCTATATCTTGCATATTTTATCATTCGACTAGAGTACTTGTTTCGATCCTATAACACATAAATGAAATCAGTAAATATTTTATCGCCTACAATAAAATCGATATAGCTGTTTTTGTACATGCATTGTAATATCACGAAAATATCTGTTAATCTTCGTTTAATGTTAACTAAGCTATGTTATCGATAAGATTTTTAAAAATGAATATTAGCAACACAATTGAATTAATAGAGTGTACACGAATATTTTTCAACCTCTATTTTAATATATATGTTATATCTTAATAATTTTGATAAAGGCACTAATATATAACTAAACAATAATACTAAAAATTGACTATGACCGTCATCGATTAAAATAATAAAGTTAAACTAATTCATAATTAAAAAAATGACCGTACTCTTATTGCAGTCTACTACGTTATAAGAAAATTAGATACCATGTTTAATAGTATTGAATAATAATTCTTTTTTATGGTATAATGTACTGTAGAAGCCTATGCTAATACAAATTCGGTTACTATTACATCAGAAGATAAATTAGCAGCCAATTACTGTTAGAATTCTAATCCGTATATGATGCAACTAATACTACGTGTATATTTCATGCAATTGCTAATCTCTGCCTTAAATGAGTAACCTCGATAAAAGGAGGATTGGTTTGATAAATCACAAATGAATGCAAGTGAAAGCTCTTTGCATTATAATTTAAGGCTATGGACTATACATACATAATAATATATGCATATTTTGATTACATCACTCCAAAATAGGAATACTTGTCGAAATTTTCGCTTTAAACAGCTTCAACGAAAACATATCGCTGTAAATATACCACAATAATATACTCGCATACACGTACGACTTCGCGATCTTGTGACCGTTATTATAAGATTATTATTGAAAATCGATAACTGGATAACACAATACCGTACTAATCCAATCTGACGACGATTCAAATTTACACTCTTCAATTTTATTACCTAATTTTGTCCACAAAATATCAGTTTATTTTATGCATAATGATAGCATGAATAATTAGTACAGATTCGTCAAATCAATGCATAAAAATTTTTATTATGTACCGTATACTACTGACAGTGAATAAATTATGATTGATAATATCTTATAAGTTTTTTTCATCAAACAAATTTTAACTTGCATATGGGATTTTTAGAATATCTTCAGGCTAAATTCTATTATATTATATTATTCTCCATTTTTATTAATTATGAATAAATTACTGGGGATATCGTATCTGTCAGATATTTTATAGATATCTTCATTAAAAATATATATTAATCTTCTGTATGATTATACAGCAAGCGAGTATGTTCGTACATATTCATTGAAATAGTTAGCGCAATGTGCTCGATATGTCTATAAACATATGTAATAAATGTATACATTTTGATATGTAATAATTTAGAATAAAAATCAATTTTGCATGATGTGATCGTTTATAGTTATAACTGTAAATTGTTAGCTTTAAATGCGTATCCAATAAATAACCCTTTCTTACGTAGCAATTCTGGTACTGTTAATGTTATTAAGTGCGGATACCGATAATTTGATCAACTATACTTGTGACTATACTCGTACAACAGATACTAAATAATAGCTTTTGAGTAATGAGCAAGTAGACATATTCCTCATCATCTGGTCATGTAAAAAAATTGTATCACACTTCCGAAACATGTAACAATATCCATTAAGTTTGAACAGTATATATTAATACTTAATCATTTATATAGGGAGATTTTGTAAAATCGAATAAGCAAATATAACCACAATTCTAATAATACCTATTGTGTATTCATCTATACAATACAACGTAAAAATTAACGTTTGAGAATCCTATTCAATTCGGCTTTGCAATTTCTTCAATAATTCGTCAATATAATCCTGTACGTAATAAATTTTCACATTTATTATATCAGAATCAGAAAGGATAACGACGTGAAAGTAGGTAGTGAGGACTAAAGCTAAACTTACTAATTTCATGTAGCATATAATTCTTAACTTATTGCGTTTTATATTTTCTTGCTCAAGCACTTTCAACGCATCATTGAGGCATATATTTTCGTCCATTCCTATCACCTAAAAGTTGTTTCATTCAAAGACGTACATAGTTATAATATACATCAGCCATTTTTATGCGAAAGCTGTATATTTTGTTATATCGTACTTTCGTCAATACTTATAAAAATGCATTACTATACCATAGATAAGCATATAATCTTTTCGCATCTTCCACACTTTTGATCATTTGGTAAAAGGCTTAAAGGATCAACCTTGTGTTTAGTTTTAGATTCTAAATAAAAATGAGCGCATTTCTTAACACTGAATAAGTAAGTATGCTGTAGGGAGTGATAAAAAGTTAGCCATATTATTTTTCATACTCTTATCTTCATCTTGAATTACAGTCATCTTCAAACCAAACTTTAAGAGGGAATCAATAGCTTCACTTTCAGATTTTCTATTATTACAAAATAATCGTATTGATACACGTAAGTAAATAATAAAATGTGAAAAGCTTAATATAAATAAAAAATAGCGTTTAAATACAACATTTACTTAATAGCCGAAAGTTCATGGATAAGTTGGCGACAAATTGATTGACCATACGATTCCTAACAAAGCGCATTTATGTATATTTCAACGTTTCAATTAGAGAACATGGTGATTTTTCAAAATTATAATTATCTAGCATGTTATTTAAGAATTACAACTTAAAAGTACTTATCAAAAATATGTAACAAGTTACTTACGGATGCGGCTGACATACAAATAATTGCTCTCTCAATTGAAAAATGTAGTTTTTTATACGTCATTAACTCCTGCATGATGATTATTATTCAATAGAAGAGAAAATCGAAATTAATATTGATATGCCAATTCCTAGAGCAGACATTTGCACTACTCACCTTACATATCTTTACTCCGTCAGTAAGCCAATTTGTAGTTGCAAATTGTACTTCTTCAGAACAGTTGTAACCACAATTCGTGAATGTGTAATAGACCTAGTTAAATTGTTCAAATATATTTATACCCTTTGAAAGATACGCACATAACTTTAAAATTGCACTCACTGAAGGCAGAATAACAATAAATTCTTTCGGCTCTTGGACAATTCGATAAACTGGAACGCCCATTTTCGCTAAAATACTTGGTGGTATCTAAACATTGTGTTGTATAGTATACAATATTAAAATTTGCAGACAATAAAGTTTAAGAATTATTACCCTATAATCAGGCTATACAGCTAGAATTGTAGTGACTTAAAGCCGTAATCATACGACTCTTGTTGTTAATAGGGAAATTACTACTATAGTAGACGAAATAAATATTATAATGTAAAATTCTTACAAGGACTGACGGATGATATTCTTTATTGCAAGACTTCAATGTATAAAATTTTATTGCCTTTTCGAGCCTTTTCGCATATCTTGAACTAACGCAATACCTAATTCAATGTCAAGGAAAATATCGTTTTAATTGTATTGATATGCAAACAAATCTAACTTTTTGATAATTTTTTACATAATAGATAAATTTTTGTTTTATTACCAGATTCTCGGAGAGCCTGTATGGCAATAGTTCATTATGGAAAATCCATACTCAGAAAAACTCCAGGGCGTAGAAGAGTACAACATGCCAATATTTAGTCGCGGTGTAGTTAGATCTAATGTTAGAATAGAACAGAAATCTCAAATTAACGAACCATAAGTTAATAAGATTACAGAAATGCGGATGGTAATGGTTTAGTGTACGTACTCTTATTATCATACTTAAACATAAAATTTGCTACCTGATACTGGCCCAAAATGATGAGAAATAAAATTTTTATTTTTATTAAGTAAACATAAATTCCAAGAATGCCTAAAATTAAAAATATAAGATATAGAAGAGATCTTTATAGGGTCTACTGTTTACGCAAAACATAAGAATTTAATTTATTTATAACTTCTAATAGCTACGACATAATTGGAGTAAGAAAAGTATAATTTTTGATATTATATTAGTTTAACCTCGAGTATGGGCTTGATTTTTGCGTAGGAAATCCACTTCTCGAAAGAAAATATTTAAAAAATGTGATATTATTTCGCTTAAGTAAAAATATTTAGGTGTGCTACCTAATTTCAATTCATACCTGCCATGCGCTTTGGTATCTAATGTAACTGAGTGAACACTAACGTGGAATTCACGATTCTCGACTAATTTCCAAAATTCGTTCTGAAAAATTAAATGTAATTAAATGTAACGTTCATTAAGGCGTAAATCTTATCATGGTCTAATAAGTATAAGAAACTGTGCAATTAAGTTCTGTTTTCCATTAATGATGTGAATATATCCATGAATACAGTACTACCTCTAGTTGCTTCGGTAAATGTTTAGTTTTTGACACTGTTTCAGAGAAATTATAAGCCATGCGCCGAAATGACGACAGTGCAAAGCTACGACCCTAGTAGTTCAGATATCGGTTAAGTAATTCTATAGGCATACTATAAGTAATATCTGCGATACAGATAGCATTCATACCTGTACGTCACATAAATCTATTTCCAATGGATCTAAAATAAAAGTTTTAATGCAGATGAAAAAATTTTTTATATAATTACTAGAAATATTTTTAAACAGTGCAACGACGCATACAAACCATGTCATCCTTATGATAACTTATACAAGTATTTACCGTTGTCTTTCGTTTTCTCTTCCTCTTTTCGACAAAATTCTAAAATATTAGTTTTTTCATCCTGATTATTGGCGTGAGTATGAAATTATATAACAAGTTAGTTGTGATGGGTACGAAATACCATTACGTTCATTGAAAAATTAAATACTAACGTCTTCTAACATATCATAGGATAGCAAATATTTGTAGTAATCATCTTGTATTTTGGTTACACGATGAGGTACCTTTAAATATATTAAAAGTTAGAAGTATTATAATCTTGATTTCGTATAATGTATGCAAAAACAAGATCATTGTTCACTATGATATGAAATTCGACGTACTGTTTTCGGTATGTATAAAGCTTCACATACTTTATTCCATTTATTTTTATTAATAACCTGAAATTAGGATAAAACCAAGACCATTATGAGCCTAGTAAACTATCAATCAATACAGTTACTTCATAAATGGAACAAAAGAGACCATAACCTTCTAGTAAAATGCCTAACTAAGTTAGAGAAATTAGAATTGCATACTACCTGCTGTAATCCACCAAGTTCTTTGATTACTTTCGAAAGCCTCGGTAAATCGATATCGATTCCACCAAGCTAAAGAATAAAAACATACTAATCTTTAATTTTTATCAATCACCAATATATTTATGTGTTAAAGTTAGTTCTTTATACTAGAAAACTGTTGCTCTGTTATATGGTAATTTTACAAGAGAGACATATTGTGCAATGACTTGGATTTAACACTAACTGATGGAATCTGCTTTAATTCTATGCCTTCTTTCATTAAATGCTTCCTTATGCAATCTAGCTGTTCCGAATTAGGACCAAATCTTTCAGCAATTTAATTAAAAGATGTAAAAATTAATAAGTAGTAGTTTACGCGGATAAATTTAGAAAACTGCCAATAATTCTAGATAAAGCTAAAAATACCTTTGAAATAATTGTTCAACGTATTGCACATTACTTGTAAAGTGGATATTATCATTGACTTTACATTCAGGCTATGTTTGTAAATTTGGAATCGTAGTTAATCTGTAGTGAGTTACATCGATGATTTAACATTTCAAAAAGACTAATGAAAATATTAGATATTTAACCTCCCAATCATTTGGTGGAGTAATTTTACAAATCCCATATTCCTTAACTCGCGAACATATCGAATCTAAAAAATTGGCAGGATCGGAAAATTCTTCCTTACTAGGCTTGAATGTCGGTGCTTCCACTGTTGTTTTCGTTACAGTCAATTCGGTCGATCTGCGTTGTTTGGTCTTATGCATCTTATTATCGTAAACTTTCGAGTGTGAAGGAGTTTCCATTCCAATTTCTATACTGCCTTCCTTATCATATTTTTCTTCTACCACAATTATCAAATATTGTATTATTCAAATAACGTAATTGTAACGTACAAATTAAGGCGACGTTTATAGAAAATCTAGCTAATATCATTATACGTTAGTACTATACATTTACTGGTTTGGTCTAAGAAGGATTTTCCAAGTTTTTCTTGATCATTAAAGCTACCCTGGTTGGTAACCTTAGCTACACGACCTACGTAAAGATAAATAAAGTCAACCATCAGAATCCTGCGTACGATTAGTTGATGTATTCTCACTAGTATACTGTATAATTGCAGATTACGAAAACTGAAGTATCCAACATGGATACAGCATATTAAGAAAATAAGAAAGGCTTTAGTATCAAGCTGAGCAGACAAACAATATTTGCAGCGTTACGGCAGTTCCTACATACTAAATTTGAGTTGGCATACATTAAATAGAAAAACAAATCGATTCGTCCACACTATACACATCAATGAAATTATACCTTTATTATTTTTTACTAATTTTGCAGATTCTGAATTATCATATTCCATACTTTTTCTTTTTTTAGGAACTTGAATATACTCATTGCTTTTCATTGGCATTGAATGCACCATGGGTTTGGCATTATCCGGGCACGAATTTAATTGCATGTACGAATAAGGTTGAGGCACAGAAGGATAATTGTACAAAGGATAGTTTGAAAATGTCGGTGAATTAGAAGGATGTACAACTGGAGGTGGAAATGGATACAATGGCGTTGGTTTCAATAACAGAGCCGGATTGATACTAGCTAAAGAGGTGGCAGGATATATTTCAGACATTAACGTTGAAGTTGTCGAGGTGTATTCCGACGATGAACATGCCTCCAATCTATTTACAATTTCTCGATGCCTTTGTTTACTTTCTTTACGCTTTCTAGATGAAGATTCATATGATACCTCCTATCAGGTAAAAAAATAGAAACTTACATTAAACAGAAAGTTTTTAGTAATATCAAGAGTGAATTGTTATCGATATAACCTCGATATTATTTGCAACTGAAGGTAAGCAGGTAGATGATGGACTAGTTTCCGTTTTTGAAGAACTTTTATCATCTATTCTAAGGTCATGTTGGGAATTGCAAACAACAGATGTCGTATCAGGTTTTACTATTTTAGTCCTCTTTTCGTTAATATGACCTTGCATATTTGTTTCGGTAGAACTCTTCAATTTTAATAATGAAGATGGTAATTTAGGATATTCTATAATGAGAAAATGTGAGGTGTGAATTATAACGGACATAAAATGATTACAAATGTAATTTTGATAGTATTATGCCAATATTACCTTTGTAACAAAGAAAGTTCACTAGATCTTCGGTGTATACTTTGCTTCCATTTTGGTTTGTTTCCTTGTTGTACTTTAATGATAAACTTTACAAAAGTATGATATGCCATTAAACGATATGCTATGCTACTGTATCAATAAAATGTTTGAAATTATAAATTAAATATTACATGGTTGTATCTACAAGCAAATATATTATGGTAATGTAACAAGCGTATGTGTGCGATACTTGATGAGATTAGAGCGTGAAAATTAATTTCTGCAATTACTTATAAAGCAGTGATTAACTGTCATGGTTCTCATTCATAATTGGATTTTGTAATATTATATGTCTCCAGAAGTATTAAAATAGTACTAACAAGCTTTAAGGAAATTATAGAAATCAACTCTTTACAGTCTTTCTATGTATGTCTGGTAACACCTAGTAAGTAATCTAAGCATATCATTCTATCTACTTCACAATATTCATGAATGCTGATATGAAATATACTTAAAGGAATAAAGTTTTAGTTCTGAAAGTAGTGATTCTTACCATGTCTTTGCTTGAGAGCATGTTCTATTCGACGGATATTTACGTTGAGCTCTTGGACTACTATTAAAATATAAATGTAAATTAGTTATATTGATTAAATATTAATAAGGAATTTTACAATAATACTCAAAGTTTCCTCAATATTGAATGCTACACAGGACCATAATAGATATTGTGAGTGTACTTTAAGTAATTAACTAAAATACAATTATACTAAGGTAATAATAAATGAAAATATACTAATATAAATGTCAAATGTCAACTACTGTGTTAAGTATGAGATAGAACTAGTAAGTTGAGATGCTCTTATATGCAAGTACCTATACCAATTAAAATAATGAATACTATAAATTACGCGTCTATTCTCTGCTTGTATTGCTTTGTTTACTATTGCAATCTCATTATTATTACAACTGTATTAAAATCGAGAAATATTCTAGATTTATGTGTATGCTATAGTATAATGGCCCATCTTTCTAGAATAATTTAGCGTACTCCAATAAATTCATTCTATTCACGATTTATTTATTAAATCCTTTCGGAAACGAAATCGATGCAACAACTTTAGAGTCGATGACTTTGATTCTACACTCATATTACGGTTTTTAAAATTAAGTGATTAATTCTTACTTTGTTATTTTTTCAAACGGTGATTTTCGATTTATTTTACCACTAGGAGAAGTATCGTATTCTTTATCTTTATCAGAATAGTCATCTTCACTATTATTAGGAGTAACACTTGATCTGTCTTGTCCATCTTCCGATATGATATCAATTATGTCATCGGTATGACTCTGAGGTTGCTCTTTACTTTCTTCATTACCATTCTGATCTTGCTGTTCTCTTAATGAGGCATATAAGGCTCGTTTCAAAGCAATTTCTTCTGCTCTAATTAAGCCATAATCGTCGTTCTATTATGTTAACAAAAAAATATTTTAGAAGGATCATTTATTGCTACTTCAATCCGCATTTTATTAGATCAAACAGTGCTATTGACATTAGTGCATCAAATTAGAAAAATTTAGGACAAATGTCTACAATAAAAAATTCAATTAAAATCAACTGTTGCATTAGAAATAAATTACATATAATTAAGTTTATATAAAGAAATAGGCAAGATTGGAGTCAACTGAAATATAATCAAGAGTAGAACTGTATGATAATGAACTATTGACGAATGGCCAATTGATCATGCTAAACAATTACTACTGTACTATTCCCTATACCTGCTCTACTAGGCTATGGAATACAGTCAGCAAACAGCCAATTTGTACAGAATTGGCATTTACAGTTTTCTCTTCTCAATATATTAGCTCAAGGAATAAAGACACTTTATTAAAGTTATCTAGTATTTCAGAAATAAATCAGCTCTAATCGAGTTTACGTGAATCTTTAAGAGTGCAATACTTGAAGTATGCGAAGCGATGTGGTCGAGAGTAGCAATTACATTTTCATTTTATTCAATTTACCGTGAACTTTAGAAGTACATCGAATTTAATGGAGTTTGTAGTTAAATAAATATGCAAGAATGCAAGCAGTTAACGCAAAGTCACCAAGAATAGAAGTTGTGTTTCAAACTTGACGCAATCTACGTAATACTTGAGAAGTGAAACAGATTTTCATCCAGTTCGTTTAAGTAAATATACAAGATTGCAAACAGCTAATGCTGTGCAGTCAAGAATAGAAACCATGCACTGTGTTAATTTTACTCAATTTATCCTGCGATTTAGAAGGTAAGCGACTTTAATCGAGTTTATGTAAATAAATACGCAAAGTTTGAAGTATTTAATGCAATGTAATCAAGAGTAGAACCGTATTTTAACCTTACTAAATCTGCCTTGAACTTTAAAGGTAAAATCAACTTTAATCGAGTTCGTATGCAAATAAGCACCGCAGGATTACATGCAGCTAATGCAATATGGTTAAGACTGGAAACAGGTTTTTTATAAAAGCTATACCCAATCTATTAATGCAATATAATCTTGAATAGAAATAATAATTTAAACTTTATCTGCTCTGCCCTTTAGAAGTAAAACCGATTTTCACCTTGTTCGCTTAAATAAATATGCAAGACCTTAAGTATCCAATGTAATATAATCTAGAATAGAAATAGTATTTGAAACCCAATTTGCCCTGCACTTTTAGGAGTAAGACCAACTTTGATTTTGTTGACTTAAATAAACATGCAAGATTGGATTAATGCGATGCAGTTAATCTAAAATAGAAATAGTATTTTAAACTCAGTTTACTCTATAGTTTAGAAGTAAAAGCAACTTTCATCTTGTTCGCTTTAATAAATTTACAAGATCTGAAGTATTCAGAGTAATATAATCTAGAATAGAAAAAATATTTTTAAACTCAATCTATTCTGATTTTAGGAGTAAAAGCGATTTTCATCTTGTTCGCATGAATAAATATGTAATATCTGAAGTATTCAACGCAATGTAATCTAAAATAGAAATAGTATTTTAAATTTAATCTGCCCTACACTTTTAAGAGTAAAGCTGACTGTCATCTTATTCGCTTAAATAAATATGCAAGATCGGACGGATTCAATGTTATGTAATCCAGAATAGGAATAGTATTTTGAACTCAATCTACTCAACACCTTTTAGGAGTAAAACCGACTTTCATCTTGTTCGCTTAAATAAATAGGCAAGATCTGAAGTGTTCAATGCGATGTCATCTAGATTAGAAATAGCATTTTAAACTAAGTGTCTACCTTGTGTTTTAGTAAACTTTTGGTTAATTTATTGATAATAAGATACAATTGCTATCGTACCACTCCTAAAAGTTTCTACAAGACTATAAACCGTAAATTGTCTATGGTACAAAAGAGCATGAAATAGCCATTTTCTCTATCACTGTAATATGCAGATTAAAAGGTCAATGCCTGTCAACAGAGTAAAATAGCCTTGGGAAGAATACTCTTTTCTATCTTGAGAGAGGAAATAAGACTAGAATGAATTACGAGTGTCAATTTTGACTATTTTCTGCTTATTATAGCTTAATTTAAAGGCTTGGATATCAATACTGTCTTGGTATTTCCATTCAATTGAGCGTCGATAATAGAGTTCTATCACAGGTATTGTAGTCATGGCTGAGTTTAGAAAATAACAGTGGACGAAACACTATATAGAAACTATATTACAGGCACCTAATACAAACAGTAAACTAGACTCAGTATGCAAAAACGTTAAATCTTCAATCCTTTTTTATAATTTGTTAAGAAAGAAAGAAAGAAAATGCAAAAGATGACAATGAAGAAAGGGAAAAATGCCTAAGATCAAGCTATTAATTTATGCTGCTGCCTTATTCTAGAGATATTTCTACTATAGTCTATAGTTTCAATATTAAATTTCATACTATAAGATTCGAACAATTTCAATCGGAATATTGATTAATATCGTACTTCAAATCTCACAACTTTTTACAGCGTCGTTGATTAGCATCATTAGGATATTTAATTGTTAATGTACGAGTATATAGAATTCCATATATACAGTATTTGCTCTCTCTATAGTACGGCAAAAGAGTCCAATTCTAAATCATTCTGTAGTCTCGGAAATCTTACTTCGAAATTGCTACTTGTCATCGAATCATACATAAGATGATAGAAAGGTTTATCGCTAATAAAAATATGTTGCAATTATCATTCCTGTTTGTACTCGTATGATACCTGTGCTAGAGCATGGGGTACTTGAAGAAGACCTTCTAGGATTCTTCTAGTAGCCCATGGTTAGAGGCATACCTATATCAGGGACTATTTTCTATAGATTATTATTTTATCGCACGCTTCAAGATGTAGATAAATTAAAAGTAACCTCATTTGTTAGCCATATCCATGCTGTATAAATCATCAATCCATCAACTAGCTTTCATCATGAATAGGACAGAATAGTTAATGAACTTACTAGTCTATATTACTCAAATCGACATGGAGAAGACTAATTCTAAGCTAGAATAATAATAATATTAACAGTAATAATACAGTATTGCTGATATCACTAAAATTAAATAAAAACAAGCAACCAACCAATGACATAATGTCTGTTATGATCTACTTCCACTCTTGAGACTTGGCTAAAATCTATAGTAAGATGTGTTGTAAATAGTTATGCATCGCTTCCTTTCTCTCTCTATGCTCATTAGTCAACCGATTCTTCCGTTATTACGACGGTTTGTGTATTGGACTGCAGTAATAACAATTGGTTACAGATAGAGCGTTTTTGCTTATTCTTAAGTAAATCATCATAATCGTTATTTATCTCATTCCTGATAAAAGAGTCGGGCATTGATGGGGGCAAAAAGTCATCAATCCATCAATGCCAAATGACTGACTGATTCACGTATACTTCCAATATAACATTTGTATAGTATATTTATTGTATTAACCATTAGAAAATAATAAAAATAAATTTGTTGTAGACGATCAAATAAGAATTTTGTCATGACAAGGATAATGGCACTAACAACAAAAAGAGGAGAATTGATTACTCTTACACTTTCGAAACAGCAATCAAGGCATCGATAAGAGTGATACTGGTGATATGAGCTTATATAATTCAAGCTAATCTACCTATCGTTGTGAGCGATGATAACAAGCAGCCTTTACATGGATAGATTGGCAGAGACAACAAAAATTTGTAGGATCTAAACAAGGCCATCATTGAAGTCATGGCTTGTAAATTTGCTGAAAGTTCCGTGATAAATCTATCTCCAGTCTAGAGTAATTCTACAGTATATGATACTGTCTGGCAAATGAGATGTTCAATATACTAGAATCCTACAGATGTTTAACATTGCCATGGATAGAACACTAACTAACATTTCAACTGTGAATGATGTATCCTACATTTCCTCTACTAATTAAAATAACTCATTATTAACATTGACTCCCTGTCGATTAGGTAAAAAGGACTTTTTCCCCTTCTATATGATACGACAATATAGTAGTGGCATACCTTTCATTATTTCGATATCAATAGTCTTTTCGTCGTAACTATTGCACAATAATAAATCATGCTACAATCAATTACATTACTATCCTCATGATTCCTATAACATGGATAGCCTACATCGCAGCCAAACTATCAAGTCAATATCTTCTTCTTGTCGATTAAGTAAATGCTTCTTTCTCTTCCGCATCATTCAAGAATGCACGACTACTGGCACTTTATATCCACATCCTTGATCCTTTCATCACCCACATGGCACAACAATAAATCATGCTATGCATTAGGTATGCAGTATGAATTATTTTCCTACCCTATAATTTCCACAACAGGAGCAATTTCCATCCCAGTAAAACTACAGTGCTGTACACAGTCAATATCAGCTCGTTGTCCATTCGATCGATGCTTCTTTTCTCAATAATAATTCGATAATTCTCGACGACTATTTAAAATAATTTCTACGCCTCTATTCCTTTCATTACAACTATTGGCACAAGCATAAATGATGCTATCAGTTGCATTACTACCCTTATAACGCTCATCATATGGGCAACTTATATCCCAGTAGTACCATCAAATAAAAACGACGATAGTAGTTACAAAAATGATTGATGGAATACAAATAAAAACATGCTCCAACGCGTAGACCAAATTAGGATATTGCCATTCATTTATTCCCTCAACTTTACTCCTTATTTAGCTATATTTTTTTTCCATCTACAACAACTAAGTAATAACATCACTCTACTTACCGCCCGTCTAGGTGCAATTTGTCTTGAAGAGCGACGTTTCATCTCGTTCAAACGATGAGCTAAATCCAACCAATAAATAAAATAAAAATTGTCTCGATTGGAAATTTAAAACTTGGCTTAAACAAGAGGTAAACACTAGGGCCTGGCGATTCGACAGATTCCTAGTAAAACTATGATAAAAATACGATCAAATTACGCTTGCGCAGTGTGAACTATATCGGAAAGCAGGTGTGAACTTGCTATTGTTTGGAAAACGTTATCTAGATTATCTAGATCGCTTACTGTAACAAGTCATGCTACTGTAAACAGAGTGATTATAATAGGTGTACAATATAGATGGTTGGAATACTGAGTTGTTCTCATACTACGGGTAGTCGCTATTGGTATTGTTTGTGCATTTCTGTTAGTAGAGTATTGAAGAATAAAAGGAAGACACAATAGAATCTACAGTACTGTACTGTACAGTAGAGTGATAAGTACGGTGAATAGACACGTAGAAGTACTGTATCGGACAAGCGGACAGACGCAACAGTCCCTGGCAATTTGGAGCTCATTCACAGCTGAGGTCCTTCCAAGGCAGCAGTGGATGCCATGCAGGAGACATTATTTTAAATTGGTAATGCCAATTGAATCGTAGCTATACTACTACAAATGAGATAATAATTTAATAGCAATTAGTAACACCTGCAGGGCAACTGAAAGACAGTCATGTCGTTATATCGTGTTCATAAGCTGGCATTCCTGCAGCAAATCCAAAATCCATGGTACGGAATTATTTCAACCCGCGTTCATGACATCAGAACGAAGCGTATCTTGGCTACCAAGGCAAATAAACAAAATAGAAACTACAAAAATGCAAAGGTTTGAATCATATTCGCTTACTATATCATTTTAATCTAATTTAATGCAAATCTGTTCCTATATGGTATGGTAATCGACTCTCGCTAAAGCTGTAATAGGCAATACGAGTAGGCTTGTAAAATAGGCTACATCTTTGTCTACAATACCGTGCTGCATAGATTGCAGATTGTGCTAGCACGTAATCTTTTATAAACAACCATAGCGATTGCCAGACGTTACTAATATAACCTAAAGATCCCCTGTTAAGTACAATTATCTTAAAAGTGCTAATCAACATCACTCGTAGAATCAATATTGTGCTCGTATTATATTTTGCAGGATCGACGTTTTATCGATTGGCGTAGGATTAGAATTATGGGAGGATCAGGCGGTGCAGGATGTGTTAGTTTCTTTCGTGCGGCTAACCTACCCAAAGGTGGTCCTGATGGTGGTGATGGCGGTGATGGAGGAGATGTAATTTTCCAAGCCGATCACGGTGTTAGAACTTTAGAGCCTATTGGCAATTTATACAAAGGTAAGAATGGTGGTCGTGGCACTAGCCGATATCGGAGAGGCCATCGAGGAGAAAATTTAATTGTAAAAGGTATGAATGGATGGGCGCTGACTTTAATCTTAATATGCCACTGTCTTGCTGTAAATCATTTACGCGTACATTATTACGCTACACCTTCATTGGTTTTAAGCAATCCATCTAATTAATTATTATTACGCACATATCGCTATTTTCTGCAGTATGCTACAAGTAGCTTAGCAAGTGTCTAAGCGCTCTTACAATATTTCAGATGCTACTGCTATGGTATCAAATTAAGAGAGTTTAGCTAACTTTTTGATTATACGCGCTTATTATCTTCTTAGTACCTCTGGGCACAGTCTTTAAAGAAGATAGCGAAATTATAGCTGACCTATGCAAGCAAGATGAACTGTTTGTTGCCTGTAAGGGTGGATCTGGTGGTAATGGTAATGTTTCTTTCGTCACACCCACTAATCGATTGCCGAGAGAGGCCACAGAGGGCACACCGGGAGAAGAAAGACTGTTAGAAGCGGAAATGCAGACTATTGCTGATGTTGGCTTAGTAAGTCTTTCCATAGCGATTCTCGAAAATAATTACCATCAATGAAATACAAATTATATTTTTTTGCCTTGCTAGAATGCACTATAAAGTATATGTCATACGTATAAATATGCTGTATAAGAAATAATTTCTCGTTTTCTGTCGCTACTAATATCCAGGTGGGATTCCCTAACGCTGGTAAATCAACCTTATTGCGAGCTTTATCGCGTGCTAAGCCTGCTGTGGCAGCCTATCCTTTCACAACTCGAAACCCACACGTAGGAGTTATAGAATACGAAGATTATATGCAAATTGCAGGTGAATTAAACTACGAATATTCTACCACCTGGATATGATTATTATTTTACCATATGAGTAAGCTATCATCAATAATCAATTCGTGTTGCATTATAGTTGCTGATATCCCCGGCTTAGTTGTCGGTGCTCATAAAAATGTAGGCCTTGGACATTCATTCTTGAGACATATCGAGAGGTGTCGCGGTTTACTATACGTTATTGATGCTGCCGATGACGAATTATGCAATCAACTGGAGGCACTTCACTTTGAATTAGAACAATACCAAGAAGGTTTATCAGCTAGATCACCCGCCGTTGTTGCAAATAAAATTGATTTACCTCAAGCTCATGAAAATATTCATCGTCTAAAACAAATAACTCAATTACAAGTGATACCAGTATCTGCCGAATGTAAAGAAAATATTCCAACTTTGAAGGAATTGATACGAAAGTTACTAAACCGATAAAGAACTAATTGCAGCAGTTGTCAAATTTATATGATGTATCTTTAATTCCTTTATTAACATAAAGAGTGCTTGAAAGCGTTGCAACTATTAATGATTTTCTTAGATCTCTGATGATCAACAGCCTTTATTATTCTGTCTTTAATGCCAAATACAGATATGTGTATACAGAGATCTAAATATCGGGCAACCTTATAAAATAGATCGATTGTAAACTACGTCTAAAAACTTGATACCAATATCTCTTATATTGTAAGGTTTAAGCAATTTCGTTATCATAATCCTATAATCAGGCAAATCCTGTATCTTTTAAGCTACAGATCATAAGCAAAACGTACTGCATTGCTTTCTAACTATAGCAGTCGAACAAATTACAAATTCTGTGGAACTACAAAGTTCACGTATTCATTTATTTAAAATTAAATTTTATCTTGACCAAGTATTTCATCTTGACCTACGGAATACGTATCAGTGCATTAGTAACATGAAACACAATGCATTTATTTCATCTACTAACATGATAGTAATATCTATTTGAGCCCCCATTTTTCATATGACAATAATTAATACGTTATAAACTAAATAAGTGCAAAGATTCTACTGCATTAATACCAACCTGATTTGTGTTGTAGACAACGTATTCTAAAATAAGAAAAGTATGGTCATTACAATCCAAAATAAAGACATAAAGAGTAAGCAAATGTATCAGAAAATACGTATTTATCTTACCATTATAGTTGAGTGTGTAACCGCCAGGATTGTTAACACCAGTATTCATAACTTTACCAAGAGGAACAACTACTCCATTAGACCTTTATTAACCAAGCAATCAGAATTAAGTTTATGCAACATAAATGCGACTGACGAAGTACGGTATTGAATATACGACTACGAGTAATAATTATCGAATTATGCTTCAGCCCGTTTTACAAGCCACAAAAACAAATCTATTCTTGACATACAGTGTTGTATTAGAAGTGGTATTAGGAGCGCTTCGTCCTAGTCCTTTTGTACTATGATAGCCTACGGGTAATTGATCAGCATCATAGTCTGCCGCTAGTAGTTCCCTAGATTTACCCAGTGAAACCTACCGTTACAATTAGTAGTTAGTATTAAGGACAGCCGATTGAAATAACGCTAATTAAAACAACAAAAATGATCGCTAACACAGTAGATAACTTACGTCACATAGCAAAACTAAGCCAACATCATTACTTCTTGTTGCGAAACAGTAATTTGCACTTTTTGAAGAAATATCGGCAAAGTATATACCCTTCCCGAACTAACATTGTAGATATCGTAGAAACAGATCACACAATTTAATACTATTATCAAGATAATAAGGACATCTATTTTACTAAATTACGAATTATACCATATAACCAGTGCTAGGAGCATCAGGTGGTGCAATTCGGAGGCCTTTAGTAAGAATACCTATCCAGTTCGCTAGCCGAGATCCATGCCAAAGAAGCATCCTATCACGTATCAATAAGAAATAACATATACAGGCTTATCAAAGCTGCCTTACAATGATATATCTCAGTCAATAAATGTCGAGTAGAAATATTGGATAATACCTATTATCTGAATCTTTAAAGTTTTCTTCTTCCTTATCTTTATCGAGTTCGTAGATATCCAAGATACTCATAGTATATCCATTGTGCGTTTTTGCATGAGTTATTTGCAAATATTTATCAATTATCTACATTCGTTAAAAAATTATCGTAGGTATTGGCTCAAATTAAAGAGGTAAAAGTACCTTCATTGATCATAGACCAAAAACGCAATAGGCGACAACTTAAAAATGACAAACCTTATAGGTATCATTATTCTTATCCATGCTCTTAATTTCGCATTTCAAAGATTTATATAACTTATACATAGGGTCCTCATCCTGGCTTTTATCATTTATAGTCTTTAGAGCAACTTCTATATCTGCTAAAGTCTGCATAAAAGTGAATCAGATAGCACAAATTTAAAGTAATATCGCGCAGATATTCGATAATAAAAATAAGTATTAGGCGAAAATTCTACTTATGGAAGAGTTAGAATAGTTAGAATTGATTTAAAATTAGCTATCGCGCGAACGTAAGGACAAAATTTTTTACTTATATGACAAGTTACATTAAGAAGGTCCAGTTTCATCTTGGCTTCAGCTTTGGTTCTAATGACAGGTGGTGTTCGCATTCTAAAGAATAATGCAGGAAATACGTAATAAAAATACCAATTACATGAATGTTTAGTATTTAATGTCAATAAAAAAGACAGAGCATCAGATGTGGACTCAAAAAGGGCCTATCGTACCCAAAGTTATGAGGTATTCTGGTATAAAAACGATTACAGGCTTGCACTAGATTTTTTCCAGTATCATTGTTATTGATACAATCTAATATATCTCGAACAGCTTGATATCCCGCCTGAATTTGTTCCTTGCTTAATTTGCCTTTAGTGCAATGTCATTGGAAATCAGGCAAAATTGATATTACCAAAATTAATACAATAAAATCTCATTGCTTACCAAGAGGGGACTTTTTAATATCGTATTTCATTTCCATGACAACCTCTTCCATTTTCTGGACATTACCAATCAGCTCCAATAGTGACTAATAAAGACAAGCACTATTGCTTTATCAGTCATTTGAAATAAAACAAAAAACTTTCTTACCTGAATTGATTTCTCTAATTTTGACTGTTGTTGAGAACTTGCAGCACTAGAAGAAGTCTGAGATGGACTCTCTTCTACATTTTCTGCATCCTATTACGAAAGGAAGATGTTAATAGTTTGAATAAGATAACTATTAAAATTTGGAATTTCGATCAACTCCTATACAAAAGGAAAAACTACATTGAAAAAAGGTACGTACATTTCCTGAGTAATCAATTGCTACAAGGTCATACTTTCCACGAACTTTCTCGAAGTTTTCTCTATCGCTCCAGTTATTCCTTGTCTTATCCGAAAACCTGAATATTATCACAGTTGTATTAATTCTAACAACAGGAGTAGGTGTGCGTGTATTACAATTAACTACTTACTTTTGCTCAAAAATCGACTTAGCTTTATCCAAATCACTACCGCACGCAAAAGTCGAGCTATGTCCTTTCTTTCCAACTATACACAAATATATTTGTTGATAAGATTTTAGAAAAATTTACTTAATTTCTTAACAAATATTTTAACCATAACAGTTTTCTGTATTTAAATCTGAGCATGATTCGTAAATAGTTACCTCTACCCCATCTTGTCCAAACATGAAAATGCTTTGCATTATCATCTTCCAGCAATTGTATAGCGTAATATTTATTATTATTAAATTCGATATTGGTTTGATTCAGCATAACATTATATATATCATCATCTTCTACATAAACATGACATGACGATTTAAGGCTACATTCAGGATCAACGGGTGCTTTTCCTTTCTTTATAATAGTTTGCACAGAGCTAATATTATCTACAAAGTTAAAACCAGTATATTTTATTAAAACAGGTAAAATTTTTGTAGAATCATTCTAAAGGTAAAGTAATCTAAACTGTACATAGAAGGAATTGACTTTGCAGAATCGACAATTCACTATATACTACGTATTAGATCAGTTGATGAAATATCACTCGACACCCGAAATCTGTCATAATATATCAGCTACTTGATAAATTCTTTGCAAGTATTTGATAACTAATACATAATTCAATTTACATCGTTAGTAATAGAAAAGTAGCTCTTTTCCTATATAAAAACATTTTATAAGTCTACACTTACTTCACGGTATTTGTATTACCTGTAGCGTCAGTTTTCACATTATTGGTAGAACTCTTGGCTTTTACTTTTGTTACATTCTCATTATTGGAAGATTCTGAAGAACTTGCAGTCTCATCTCCTTCCTGTATGTTATCAGATACTGAATCTGTTGTTGCAGCTGTATTCGATGCAGCAGCGTTATTGCTACTACTAGCACCTAAATAAACCGTAAGAATGCAATATTTTTATTTTCTAACTAGGGTAAACACTATGAGAAGTCGAAATTACGATGACCATCTGCGCTATACTTGATGTGATTATAGGTATGGCAATTGCTGTAACACTTTGATTGCGTAAAATTTGGACGAGAAGTACAGTGTATTACGATCCCTTTCATTCAAGGACTCAAGCAATAACCATCTAACTCGCTGTACAGTATCTCTAAAAATATGCTACTTTGAATTAAACTGTATTCTTTGAGCGCGTAGGTACATTTCGTTGACGTACGAATCTATTCCTACTACTAATAGCATCGATACGTTCAATATATACTACATATCCATAAAATACCTACCAGAGTTTGATTGATATTCAGTTCTCTTTATTTTACGAGAGTGACCACTACGCACATTGACTTGCTTTAGGCGTTTAAAGTGGATCGTATAGTTAGTACCGTTGATATTTAATTCAGTCATGCTTTCATTGTAAATGTGACAGGCTTCTAAATAGCGACTGCATTCACTGTCATATTCAACGGTTGTACCATCATCTCCAATCCATTCCCATTTATATGCTAATATGGGAAAAATAAGCAGTAATTTAAAATTGTTACAAATCCTAAATACCGCATAATACTTTGCATACTAATTGATGCGCGATCGACAAGTTGCTATCCCAGATGACAAAAATAAGATCAGGTGGAGTTACAGTGCTACAGCATCTATACGCTTGTACCAGTAAGTTGATTTAAAGTATATAACATTAATCATAATTATTGCATAAATATTATGCCGTATTGTATTTGATAAGAGCAGACGGTACCGTATCAAAATCTATTTAAGCAAAAATATCTTTGGCGATAAGGAGTATAAAACTTATTCATTTAAACTGACTATCGTACACGCTATAAGATAATCTGATTAAAGATAACTAACTGTAATCAGAGCCAAACTTTTGACATCTCACGGAACGTTCTCTTCCTGTTGTCTTATTTCTTTGAACCATTCTGGAAAAGATTATAACAGGTTTGGCAACAGGACTTATGTTAAGCTGTACTTCCGATTTAGATTTGCTAAATGCATTGTCGATCTCCACACAACAATCATCGGAAAAATTTTGCCATTTGCCTCCATCATCTTCCCATTGCCATATTACTTCTCCAGCAGAAATTTTAGGACGTTTTGATGCTGAATTACTTCTTGTAACTAAATTTGCATGAAAAAATATCAATATATGTATTAGAACTGAGTAGTAAAATAATAATCCAATTCTATTATGTACATTATAATACATACGTATATACTATACCCAATTGATGCCTTTTCGTGTGTTTAAGTAGCATACAAAAAGCATATATCTACTATGATACACAGGTAATTATAGGATATATTTTTGTACGTTCTTCATAAGGTATTACTTGTAATATGATTTGCTATAGCCAATTCAACCCTCCCTTTATAGTATAAATCTACGGATTGATGATTAAGCCTAGAGAGTTAACTTGCTACACGTGAAAATTGCAAAATCATAGTATACGAGTAGATATAATTGGTGACGAATCATATCGAAATTCAGAAATCTATTAGTACAATAAAAATATTTCTATTCTTTCTTTTGGTAATACTTTGTTGTGTTAACCAATGTAAAGGATAATCGTCAAATAACAAGCATGATAAATATAATTTTGAGTATCAAAATGGCACCCGCTAATTGTTTCTTATTACAATATACTGTAATCTATATAATTATTACTATACTTATGAATTCATGAGTATACTGTAGTACCAGCACAATTCAAAAGCATCTTTTATTGTTAATCAATGAGATAACTTTACGATAGCTATATCAGCAGTGTTATGTTTGCTAGTAATAAGTAGAATAATCATAAATTGATTTAAAAGAAACTAACTATACTATACTGTAGGATCCGGTAAAATTTGCGCAGGAATTAAAAGTTAAACATTTAACCGGTCATTTCCATGCAGAGAACAGCAATACTGAATTAACTTCATATTTGCAATTGCATTTATCTTTCTATTTATAATGATTATGATTTAATATCTTTCAAATTTTACAATCTATGCCGATGAAAGCTATATCATTCGAATTACCATCGACCAAGAGCATCCGATACAAAAGTAGCTTAATTCAGTTTGTGACTGTCTTGAACACGATTTAACGCCTTGGCAATGGTATTGCCGTTGTTGCCATGAAGCACCAATATAGCATACGATATGGTACCAATTTATAATACATTCGCTTACGATGATGTTAATTATACTAATTATCTATCACAATTTATAAATTTTTTTTCGCCATTTTTCTTGTAGTAGATTTGCACCATTTTAATTCCTTCAACCATTTTATAATTATAATATTAACAGACTTGTGCTAGTAAACAATGATGTTGTGAATGGTAGGCGAAATAGTTAGGCTTCAATAAACGACCGAAATACATTGTTCTCATTAGTTTATCTTACCCTACTGACTGACATTACTGCAGGTTTATATAGCATTTGCGTAATGATGGCACTTATGTTTTATTTCCATCTAAGTATATTGCGAGTATTTGCAACATTATGATTTATTGTCAATTGAGTGGTGATGGCTAGCGTCGTATTATTATTGGGTTTTCATCTGAACTACATTCCACGTCTGCAATACTGCAATTTTATTAGTAATTGAGAAGGATAGTTAACGGTTAGTTTGTAAGTTGATGGTTAAAAAAGATTACAGTCAGTGAAAATGATGAGAATGTCAGTTTAGTTTCATCTTCTTGTTATAAAGTTATCTTTATTATCATATAGTACACTAGATTACATCGCAACGTAGTACCAAGTGATGCCTTGCGCTATAATACGTATACAGTAGTCGAAGGAGATGATTTGCCAGATGGAAGATGTTTTGATTAGCACTAATCTATAACTTGATATTATATATTTAATGCTTAGACACACACGCAGGTGATTGATTAGAATAGTGATGAATACTACATAAAGTGCCTGTAGAAATTTCATGTTGTACAATTTCGTATATTACCATATCTCAACATAAAGTGCCTGTAGAAATTTCATGTTGTACCATTTCGTATATTACCATATCTCAAATCCAGTGTACTATATAGTAGGACAGAAAGATGTTCTATATCATTTAGGATACACTTTAAGACAAGACACTATCAAGGTTGGAGGTTTTTGTTGATGAAATCCCACTTATGATAGGATAAAGAAGTTGCAATCAGTTAGAGCTGTACTGTAGTAGAGCATCGATCAAAGGTTGGCTACTGCTGTACTGTACAGAATATAAGAATGATGCATGTGTACTCTAGTCAAAATAGTCAGTATTCAATCTCATAAGCAAAAGTAGATCCGTATTTTTAACTACATTACCTATCTTTCTTCTACTCTGCATGATGTTGTACCAAGTTGCACCTACAGGTGAGATAGCATGTTATCAACTTGTTCTCGCAAACTATCCTTCAACCTGTACGAACTAGTTTGATATCCATTAAATGAAATTCTTGAAAATAAACCTTACCAATTAGAATGAGTCCCTAACGAAATTGTTGATGGATAGAGCCAAAGATGAAATTGAAAAGCTAATTTCTCCGCTTATTCCTATTAATTTGAGCTCATTGAGAGGACAGCAAGCTCAGTATATCCTCGTGCAGCTGCTCAGGTACCCGTAGTCGAGCAGATAGTAAATATAAATACTGTATATAGCTTACTATATACAACGGAGGGAGTGTCATCCCTGACGTACGTCACCCTATCTATAATAAGATAGCCAAGACCAAGGTGACGTACATGCGTGGAATGCCATTGAAGCCAGAGGACAAGTTGGTACACGCCAGTGAGCATGCGTACAGTACAGTACAGAATTAAAAAGACCAAGGTGGTGTACAGTACAGTACAGTACTGTACTGTACTGTAGTCACCACAAACACACTGTACTGTACAGTACAATGTACTGTACACCACAGTAGTAAAGGCCTTCATGGTACTGTATGTTCCGGCATGGACCAGGGTCTCCTGTTAACAACGGGCTGTAAGACGATATGGCGGATATGCAAGTAGTACACATGACGTCATAGACTACGACAGACGGAACGAGACGTAGGACAAAACCGCGTAACTTTGCTAAGGTGTACAATTGGCTCCTTAGCAACAACACTGCTGTGTCACGTTAGCAACGGTATCATGTTTGTCGTCGGGGTAAGACCCCAAGTGCTGTTATGGCCATCACTAATCCAGTCTATTCACACATTACTCTTTCATGATTGAGTAGCTTAACGTACATCGCAGACAAACCTGAGTTTATTGCTACGATTGACGTCGTTAAAAATATAATAATAATAATTAGCAATTATAATGTTCAAAATCAAGGTACAAATCCTAATAACAACTGTCTTTGCTTTATCATGAGCATCCTAAAGAACTTACAATGATATAGTTAGTGGTTAGCCTTATCATGAAATAATTATCATTGATCGAATTTCCATATCGCTGAATATTGTGGTTCAAGTTGAGCACAAACTGTCTGCATCGTGAGACAATCATTTCATCAATAATTAATCTATAGGTAAGAATGATGAAACAGCACTATCACTCTTCGTTTTTCAAGTTTTCATCAGTAAACGTCATTTCTTTTTTAAATAGAAGTATTAGTATATCCTCTTTCTAGATATTATTCTTGACAGCAGCATCTTTGCTGTATTTCTAACTATTTCAGAATAATTTATTCACTAGCGAGTATATAGTCATACACTGATTTTAAAAATCAAATATAGTAAATCTCAATGCATGATACTAGAGTAAAAAAAAATAAGAAAAATGATATCATTTTTCTAGCTCAGTAGAAATGATAATACATCAAATACGTAATAAAACCTATTTAGCTGCAATACTTAAAGAGTTAGTATTTTAATAAATAAAACTTCTACAGCAGATAGTAGAAATATAAGTTATGACGATCATCCTGGAAATTAAATGTATATTGCGTTATTTCATCGTCGATACAACAATATCATAACATCTAGAAATTGATAATAGTTAAATTAAATGAAAAGATTAAGTAACACAGCAACAGAATGACTTCTGTCTTTAAAAATTGACAAGGAACGATACTAAATACAAAAACTTCATGTACGAAAGTTAACAGGTTAAAATATTATCATGTATATTTTATAGAGGATAACAGAATAGTTTATTTCAATAGAACCAATCGCATCAATTAAAACATTTTCTACGATACTCTTTCTTTATCCAGTACCACCAATTATAACATTACGTTTAACATAGAAGAGCCACATTAGTGGCTGGTAAATTAATGCATATTCGAATTCGAATAAAAAAACTGAAATAATTCTACAGTGATTAACTAAATTGTTGATTGCCTATTGCTGGCATTGTTTCCATATTTTAGCAGTAATATAGAATAACTATATTATAACTCATAATACAGTATACCATAATTAAATTAGCAATGTATATAATAACGGTATTATAAAATCACTAAATAGATACAATATTCTCATGCTTTTCGATTTTACTGCAATCAAGAAATGTTTTTCATCTTATTTACTTTAATTAATAGATAGACAACAAGACAAACAAGTCCACGACGACCTTGATTTATCTTTCAATTATGACCAAGCAATTTTAACTTTGCTTTATTTTTATCGACGATTATTGTCTGACTTCCGATACCCGTCATCAAAAATTTTTTATAAATTTTATAAAGTACTTTACTAATTACCGTAAAGTAATCGCAGTGAATTTATACAGCATCACCAATTACTAAAAGCGGCGTACAATTGGTATTTTTTGTACGATTGATACTTATAAATTACTTTCAACGATGACAGTTTCATCGTTGCTGGCACGGTTACTTTATTAATTATATTTCATTAATGACTAATGAAAAGCATTAATTAGAAAAACAACTAACGTATAGACAGTAAATTAGTAGAGACTACATTCATCATGGAAGAATTAAATGATGCTGGCTTGGATCATATCCATCAAGCTACTATATTAAATGATCAAGCGAGTATAATGAGCTTGGTTCAAAGTAATCATCGATTACTTGAACTGAGAACGAACGATTCCAAATGGGTAACGCCATTATTGTTAGCATGCGAAAAAGGTGTTGTACCAACAATAAGAACATTAGTTGAACTTGATGCTCAAGTCGATGTCTTAAATGGTAATAATCAAAATATTATTCAAGTCGCAACCCTTCATAATCGTATTTCTGCATTGGAATATTTTGTTCGATTACAACGTAAAGATATACCTGTATTTAAAGTACTCATTTTTATGATCAATATGGATTCATCGCCTGATACAGAAAAGGCTGCTGAGGCATTAACAGCATTAATTAAAATGGGCAATATTGACAAAAATCAGTTTTATTCTCATCCTAATAGCATATCAGCTCTAGTAAAAATGTTGAAAAATTCGTATATTGACGACGCTAGGGTTCATATATTAGATTTAGTGAATTTAATTATATCTGAAGAAAGTGTCCATAAAGCTTTTGTTGATGAAGACGGTATTACTATCATTATCAAGTTGTTGAACTCAAGCAGAGAAGATGAAATCATACATGCTTTATGCATATTAAAGGAAATTGGATTACATGATGATTACAAAGCTATATTGTCGTCCTCTGGTGGTATAACTCAAATTATCAAATTGATTGGTAACACCAAAAATGAAGTTATACAAAGCGAAGGTACTAAAGCGTTAGCTAACTTTTCTCGTTGTAGCCCATTTATCCAATCCACTATTGGTACCAATGGTGGTATCACTGTTGTAGTTCATTTATTAAGAAACTCATCGTCAACAGTTGTCTTATTGCCAGCCACACTAGCGCTTGCTAATTTTGTGAAATTACATCAAGAGAATCAAATGACTGCTTTAAAATTAAACGCAGTTACACCATTAATGAAATTGATGAGACATAAAATACGCGATATTCAAATAAATGCTGTTCGCGCAATTCATGCTATTGCTGAACGTAATCCCAGTGCTCAGCAAGATATTTGGCAAAGATCAGGTTTAGTACCGTTGATTAACACCTTAAAAAGGACCCGACAACAAGAATTTCAAGAAGCGACAGCAGAAGCGTTGTGGGCTTTAGCTGGAACGGAAGATGATGGCCAACGTAACATGGCTAAACTTGTTGGAATTAACGTCTTAGTTAGTTTACTCGGAACTTTATCCGATAAATTGCACTTTATCAGTTCTGAAGCATTACGTGTTTTAGGTGATGGATCTGATACTAAAAAAGATGCAATTGCATCCGAGGGGGGTATATCACAATTAGTTAGAATATTAAATTCAGCGCGTCAACAAGTTCATTTAAGTGCAATCCGCACACTGCGTATATTAGTCATGCATATTGGTTATAAGCCACATGTAAATAATCAACGGTTAGTCGCTCAAGCTGGTGGAATCCGATTATTAGTGAAATTTTTAACGCAAAATCGTCCAGAGTTAATCCAGGTTGAAGCAGCATTAACATTATCATATACTGCTTTAAATAATAAGGACGTCATCCAGTTAATTTATAAGGAAGATTTTAATTATATCCTTATCCTAAGGCTTATGTACTCCAAAGATGATCTAGTACGACTATTAGCTGGTTCAGCATTAGCAACATTTGCCTTCAATAACAATGTGCAACAAAAACAGATTGCGTTAGCTGGTGGCGTTCGCTATCATTCGCTTTTACCTTTCCTACAAAGTCAAGATGAATTTTATTGTGCTAATGCTGCATTTCAAGTTGCTGTCCTTTCGCGAATAATACCTGATGAGGAACCAGCAACTTCGTCAGCAATTGGCATTAAAGTTTTAGTCGATTTATTAGACTCTAAGAATCAAAAATCTCAAGCACTAGCAGCAAATTGCATCGCTCGCTTAGGTCATACACGTGCTGGAATTCCGTCTGCTATAGTTTCTATAGGGGCTGTACCGCGATTAGCTAAGCTGCTAACATCATCGTCAGAGTTATGTCGTGAAGCCGCAGCAAAAGCTTTAGGATATCTAACTGCTAATCCTATGGGTGAAAGACAACTATTAAGTATTTGTCGCCGTGATCAGTATTTGGTAAAAATATTATTGCATCATACCGGCAAAGGTGGCGTCTCAAAAGCCTTTCTACATGGCTGGAAGCATTCAAAAAGGGTTGGATTGCCACCAATCAAGTGAGTACTGTACTATAGCCTACAGTAATAAGTTTTCAATTATTTATTAATTATCATCTATTTTATCATTCTGAACGTACGGTAGTACTAGCAGTGTAAAATGTAAGAAATTTTACCGTGATTATGTACTTTAAACATTTGTAGCGGGATTTGATAAAAGATCGTTTTTAATTTACTGCCTCTAGAGAGAGCAGCAATACAGCTTCAAGAATTTTTCATACTGAATACGAAAATAGAAAAACTAGAGGTAATTTATCACAACAGAAAACAAACAATAACTACTATTTCTGTAATGCATTCATAACGTACATAATAGTAAACTAGGTTGCTATGATCACAAGACTTAAAAACAGTCTAATCGGTGAAAATTAAAAAAGATTTAGTATAACGTTTGCTTATATTCATTTGTAAAATTAGAGCGCGGAGATACATTCCTTGTCACTTTTGGTCAATATGAACCTGAACAACTGGAAATTAACGATCCCGTGCAAAGTAACAGTAGACCTCCTTCACCAATAGGACATGATGACGGAGTTGAAACTCAATCTAATGTATCGGAAGCTATTGCTTACTGAATTTAATATTGCTGATAAAATCAATTTAAATCGTTTATTTGTATTTAATGTAATATACTATTAGTAATGATTGAAAAATAAATTTCGTTATTGATACAGTTAACTCAAATTTAATTTCACATTTTGACTAGTTGAATTATTAAGGAATTGTAGAGGGTAGAGCCTAATACAATACCTAAATAGCAAGATAATTCTATATACGAGAATTACAATTCTGTATAGAGGTAAGAAATTTCTTACCTCTATGATACTCTAGTATTGTATATTAATACCAACTTACAGATTCCAGCTAAACCTAACCACTGTATATTCCCATGTATAAATAACAGCAACTACATTAGTAGACGTACATGGGTATAAATCAGCATTCTATGCAGGGAATACATCAATTTGTAAATATCGTTAAAAATCATTGCCAATAAAATTAAAAATGATTTCTTCAAAGAATGGATTGTTATACAACACCTTAGTAACAATCAAAATACAAAATACTGCCTAAAATAAGTTATTGTTAATAGTCAACAATAAAGCTTTATCACTAAACCAGACAGGAATATTATTTTATTTTTGTCAGCAATTAAAGATGATAAACACACAATCTTGATGTTTCTAGAACCAGTAAAATTAAGTTTTCTATGTAATTAAAAAATTCTTCAATTATAATGAATACTTTAGTTTCATAGTTTACAAGAAGCTAATTCATAATGGATTAGGGGATAAATTACTTCTTCTCACTTGCTACGTATAACTTTATTCAAATAGACATTGTATAGTTTCTATTAATATTGAATAAAGAAACGGAACAAGCATTGGGTAATAATTCAGATCTGAATACACAGTGTATGCATACATATGTATAAAACACTTAATCATGTGATATGATCCGCTAAATTACGGGTTTTGATTACTTATACAATAATCAGAAAAGTGCAGGTTCGTTGCATTATAGCAGACATTTTTGGAGTGAATTTCGCCGCTGTAGAAAATTAGAAGTTTATATACATTTCTTAAAATCGTAAATTACGTCAATTCAATCCATAGCTAAACATTGATTGACTACTTTTAATAAGTTACTGTTTTCCATAGCTGCAGCAACGCGTTCTTTATCGGCTAGTTGTTTATTCACTATAAAACAGTGACAGGTAGCGATATTAGAAACAGATTGACAGTACGCTTGTTGTCAAATGTGATTTTACATCTGTAAGATTAGTTATTTGTGATTATGAGTTTCAGGTAGAGTTGAACTTGTAAGTTTAAATTTACTTACAACACCAACATTATTTAATTAAAATTCTGCCATGGCCACCAACTGTGATAATAATGTAGTAATTAAGTATAATCCTCACCTGCGATTTCAGAAGAATGAGACCCTGGCGTGACCGTGATATCAACCTGTAAAATAAATGAATATAGTTTAAAGTATTCGCGCACAGATCTGCGCAAAATTTATTGCTCTTTTAGTAGCAAAGTGAATATATGCCGAGTTGGATAGTATAATGCACAGGAACAATAAACTATACGAGTACTGTACAATCTATTTGGTTTGCAGTTGTGTATTTAGTAATATAGTTGACCGGTACCCTGCGATCATACTCATCGTCCAAACGAAGATTTGCCACCTAAAAGTATTTACATGCTATAGTACTGCAGGAACTACTAAAAAGGAAAGAAAGAGGGATGTTAAACGGCAAAAACAAAGTGGAGCTCTATCCTTTTTAGTAGTCCTTGTATAAAATATCATTTTAAGATCAATTTGCGCACGCGTATTAGATCTCGTAGAGAATAAAAAATTCTGGAGGTAACGGGGTTCGAACCCGTGGCCTCTCGCATGCAAAGCGAGCGCTCTACCGCTGAGCTATACCCCCCAGTTCCTGGCGGTATAGCTCTTATAGATTATAAAAGTCGAACGGCGATGACCGCCACCATTCTACATACTGTAGAGTTGTAGTTATAGTTACATGCTGCTAGCTTTTGGAAAGGACATTGATGGACCTGCATGTAACTCTTTAGGGTCCATGATCATCCACTTTCTAAGCTTTAAATTACAGCAGTTATCACAAAACAAGTTAAACTGCTGTACTATACATTAGGCTTATTGTTCACGTACTGTACTCAATTAGTTGATTAATTTAGAACCAAACAAGAATGTTATGTAATGTGCAGTATTTACATCCTAGATGTTACTAAGGAATTAATAATTAGTTTACAAAATGTATCGAATAGGATTTTATTTTTAGTTAAAAATCATTGCCACATTGCGGGTAGCGGATACCTTGTATGTCATAAATACATTAATATACTGGAATGATATCTAGTAGTTCGTAAAATGGCAGTAACATGCCAGCACCTACCTTAAATCTTTCAGGTAACGATCTAATGAGACGCACACGTATGCACAAACCAATCAATGTAGCCATACTACAATGTGGAATAGTCGGTGTAAAGTGAACTTTAACAAAGTTGTTATCATCGTCCACGTCAATTTTGCATTCCTCTACAACATTTAGCTCTTCTAGTGTTAGTGGATGTTCAGGATCGTTGATTGATCGAATAATATGTATCAAAGAGTTAAGGTAATAGATAAATAGCATGAGATTGAATAGAATGTCAGATATTCTCAAGAACATTGCATTCTTAGAGTTAATATAATCATAAAGTAGCTTAGAAAAATAATAAAGATATCAATGATACTAAAAGTCACGGTTATTTACAGCATATTATAGACCGTACTATTCGTACATAATAAAATTCAGCAGACAGTAAGTAGAATTACATGATAAATTAAAGAAAAATAATTCGCGTTAATATAATAATTATTATACGCTCAAATACATGCAGAAATCTTCAACTTAACGAAATAAGAAGGTACCGTTCGACCTGCAACGAGAAGCTCTTCAAGAAGGTCAACACTATACACGTAGTGTATAATATATACACTTCGACTACAAGTTCTCATCATTGTATTATCTATTATGTTATAAGCTATGATTTCGTTGCTGCATTCGCTTTTTTATTACACCTTAATGAGAATAGACCTAGCGTGATGACTACATCGACGAATTCGAAGATTTGATCACGAGCCTAATAGAAGTAACATTACTATCATTTGCACACTATTTTACTACCAGTAGACAAATACACAATAACAAATAATTCAAGTTTGTAGGATATCAAATATCTCTCGTTCGTCAATTTTATCCACGATATTATCATCTAATTCTTCGGGAAGTATTTCTCTTTCTTTCGATTTCGAAAACACCGTGGGATTGATATTTTCCAATCCGATGGCACTAGAAAATTTCGACATGTCGCTTGCAGTTATAATAAGTTGGCGCTACTGGCTACTGCTACTGTACTGGATGGGGTTCTACGTATGTAGTAGTTTCGTGAATGAGTTCCTTACTTTATATACTGCTGTAAACCGTACCGTGCTGAGTGATTTTATTGGATCATAAGGAATAATCGTTCGCATTAATAATGTCATCTATAGCGACAACTTTTTACTTCAAATAGTAGGAAAATATGGTCCTTAGACATGACATCATTTTTGATTGGCGTTTTACACACTTAGACTGGCAAATAAAATTCCTATAGGTGACATCCTTTTTGTACACTTTGGGGTATTTTTTTTTAGTTATCTTCGATAGAGTATTAAGTTCTTACTCGTTGCTCTATTATTGACTGGGTAGTATAAGAATAGTTGTGCAAAAAAGTTGTCACCCTTTGGTTCTATCCAATTTGCCAATGAAGCAAGTACCGCATCATATTGTGTTTTCTGCTAATTAATAAGTCGCTACAAAACACTCCTGACTATGGCTATTTTATCGATACTGTACCTAAATAAGCAATGATTTGCATAGAAATCTTATACCTCCATTAGTAAAGTTGCCTCTAGAGCATCGTCTTGTTCAGCCTACCTTTACTATTAGCACTACTGCACTCAGTACCGTATGGTACAGCTTACAGTAGGGATCATCACGCACATGACACGATCAGTGTGCATGTGCAAACGCGGCTGCAGCTCCTCTCCTTTCTCGTTAAGACTCCGAGCCGCCTTCGTCTGAAGGAGAATATGCCAAGTTGCCATCTAAGCCTATCTTCCATGTAGAAGTGAAACAATTGCAATATAATTCCATCCTAATTTGTGGTAGATAGTAAATCCTTATGCAAGATGACAACGATTGCACTCGTTAATCTTAAAATGAAAGCATGCAATTTATCGGGTCGTGGTGGATCGTCCATGGCACGTCTGTTGCAGGTAGCAGTGCATGATTTAATAGAAGACATACTGTTTACAGTAGAAGTATAGAGAAGATAGAAATTGATTAAGGATATTACATATCGTAGAATCAACGACAACCAATTTTAATTTGTTGATAGATGTATAGTATGCTAATAAATGATGGAATGATAATAGAGGGATGTAGTTGGTTCTATGATATCGTACTAAGGCGTTACAAATTTCATTCTTAACCAGGGAAGACGAACATTGACCAGCCTTGTTGCACGTTCACATCTTCGTAGTTGCTCTAGAGCTCCACTGTCTTGCAATCAATCTCATCACAATAATTTACCTCATCATCATAATATTAGTAATAACTTCATCAATCAATCATTGCCCATGACTGGTCTCAGTTTTTGTAGATATCAATCTAATATTCCCAATAACGATGAATTTATTCAAGATCAAGCTGCTACAGCCAATAGTGTGGAGTCGTCGATGAGTACGCCAATATCGACATCCGATCTATTATCGGATGCTGCCTTCCATGTAAATGATACTCATGTTGGTCAAACGTTAGCGGATTTAGGTTTAGGTGGCTATACACCTATTGGGTTATTGCAACATGCCATCGATAGCTTGCACTCTTATGTTGGATTACCGTGGTGGGGATCAATTATGGTGGCTACAGCTATTTTACGTGCTTTAACACTACCTCTAGTAGTACGATCCTATCGTAACTCGGCTAGAATGAATAATATCTCACCTACTGTTAGCAGATTGATGAATAAGATGAGGGCAGCTCCGACTCAGCAAGAAGCTGCTTTGTATTCGCAAGAACTTAGGCTACTATTCCAAAAACATAATTGCAATCCTTTCAAAAGTCTTATTTCTCCTTTATTGCAAGTCCCTGTATTCATCTCCTTCTTTTTAGGCTTACGTCGAATGTGCACAGCACCGCTGGAAAGTATGAAAGATGGCGGAATGTATTGGTTTACTGATTTAACTGCTGCTGATCCATATTATGTCCTACCTGTATTATCGTGTGTGACGATGCTTCTGACCTTAGAGGTATAACTTGAACATATCTCACAGCATACAACATCAAATCATTTCTACACTGCACTCGTTTAACTTTGTAAGAGAATAATGGCCAATCTTTATTTACTCTATACCCTACAGTTAGGTACCGAAGTCGGAGCCCGTAATTCTGGAATGCAACAACAAGCAACAATGAAAGTTATGAAGATAGTCTTTCGATTCCTAGCTATTGGAATGTTGCCCGTTACAGCTCAATTTCCTACCGTAATTAATTAATACTTACTGGTATATTTAATTATGGTTCACTACTACCACGTTATTAACCATTTTTAAATCCCTACGCTGTTGCCTAGGCTATATTCTGTTACTGGTTGACATCAAATAGCTGTTCAATGTTACAAATGGTAATCTTAAATACTCCAAGAATTCGTAAATCCTTTGGTATACCAGAACTAATAAAAGTTGAACCTCCTCCGGAAGAAAGTAAGGATAAAGGCATTGCCAGCAATTTTAAAACCGGTAAGCTAGCCGTGCTATATCATATGCTTATGTCTAGTTTTAACGACAAACTATAGTACATCAAGACTACGCAATTAATATTTTAATATATATGGTATAGCTTATAATGCTGCAAAACAGAGAACGGTTGTAGAGCAACAGCGAAAATCACGAGAAAAAGCGTATAAGCAAGCACTAAATGTATCAGCGCAAGACCTCGTTAAGCAAAATCCTAGACATAAGAAAAAAAAGAATAAACGCTAGGCGTGAGGAAACTTGCCTATAATGCCTCTACAATATTAATACTTTCTTCGTCAGGTTCACTCTGTAATATTGCTATCAAAGCAGATATATGCTATTATTCTTTCTGTAATTTTGGATTAATAAGTTTATGATAAACCTTTACCTGACTATCCGATGTAATGAATGCAAGATAATAACTTAATGTTCATAATAATAAAAGTCATACGCTATAGGGTTAAGTTCTTTCTTTAACTTTATGACTTTTTAATATAAACAAAATTTTGAAAGTCTTTGCTATTGTCATGGCGTACTGTGTAGTCCAATTATGTCAACGCTTGCATGACAAGCTTAGCAATTATTTAGAAATCAGTATCTCTATGTTGTTTCATCCATGAGTTGCATATCAATGGAAAGTATTTATTGCATCTGAATTTTATCTCGAAATTGATTTATACCGTGCTTTAGCACCAATAGATCTATGGATTTGGATTAGCCCTTTTTATTTTAGACTTTTATCGAAACTAAACTTCAGAAATGATATCCAACTATTCATTCAGGGAAATTAACAAATTTTCGTTCTGATTATCTACAGACATAAATGGAACTATAGCAAGTCACGTAGACTAAGAATATCAAATAGTATATGTTCATCAAAAAATTATTATCGTGAGAATACTTCAAGAAGATAAACCTTCAATGGAACTAACATGATGTCTTCTGTAAAGATTACATGAGTCGATGCGATACATTTTGAAATATTAAAATGGGAAATTGCGGTTAACAATATCGCAGTCCTGCTTAAACTTGTATGTAACAAGTTCATAACAGAACATTTGCTCTATACACAACATTAATAGCAAATTTATTAAATAGAATCACTCGCTTTTGGAAGTAATTGATAAAAACATTGGAGAGAGGCTGTTTCTATGCAGTTTTTTACCATTCACTACCATGACAACTGGATTTTCTACACGAACCCCTACAAATTTAAAATGCTAATAACAAAAAATAAATATTTTAAATCGATGAAATTGTGTAGAAAATAAAAAGGAATAACGTTACAAATCCTGCATACCTGCTCGCGAAAACTAAAATCATTAGTCTGGACGTATGGTTCCGGTATAGCAACTGCATCCCCAATGTTGAATGATGCATTTGATGCCAGATTATATACAGACACGGCCACGATATCGCACTCAGAATCAGCCATAATAAATACACTATCAAAACAGTTATAGTAAATTTACTTAACTAAAAATGGTAACGTTAGACATTATATAAATATCGTGAATAGAAATTTTACTTGTAAACTTACTAAGGAACCGGTTCAATATACGATATTATCCCTAATATTTTACCAGAAATTACTGTTTCGTTGTTAATACCGGGACGTATACCAGATATGGGAATATGATTTAACTTAATTGTTTTTCCAGATGGACTACTATAATTGCCACCTGCGAAAGGACCGAGGCTTTTCTCGGTCAAAGACTGGAGCATCGCGGTTAACCTTTTTTGCTTAATTTTACCCTACCAATTTAAGTATCGATATCGTTAATAATACGAGTACGATTTTGTAATATTGCGAATAAATTGAAAAACAAAACAATCAGGTCAATGAATTAGCACTATATTATAAATACCTTGGTCTCAATAAATTCCATAATTTTCTTAAGATAAGATGTTATGTCTTCCAAACGCTCTTTACATTGAGTCCACGTTGGTTCTAATTGTAAAGCGCGATCGTATCCTTCCATGGCTTTTTGATACTCCTCTTGATATTTATATACCTATAGGTAAGCCAATGTTAATTGCTATTTGTATCAATTAAGATTAATGAAGGTTTAGACATAGCTTACAAAGCATAAATCAAGCTTACAGTTGCTCTATTAAAATGTAAATCCGAGCAGAGGGCCGTTGATGAATCTTTATCCTTAAAATGGTGAAATGATTGCATACGAAAAGTAAGAAAAGATATATTTCTAATTAAAGGAATGGATAGTCCGATATTTTCATATTTCATGTTTTATTGAGTACGGTAATTTTTAGCAACATCGCATGCTTAGCATTTAATTATGTATGCTACATACAGCTTGAGAATATGAGCTTAATGACTGCTGCAGTATTTTCGGTGATTGGCCACCAGCAAAAAAGCGAGCAAGATAGGCGTTACCAAGTACGACTAGAGCGGTAGTAAATTACGATTCGATTTAAATTTTTTCAGAAGAGTCAAACATACGCGTATATATTTATGCTATAACGTACGCCATGAGTTGCCATCGGAGACATCAAGAGAAACTGCCTCTTTTGCAATATCGACAGATTCGCAAATATTTTTAAATTTTTCCGAGGTATCTATAAGGACAAAATTTATCCATTGTTATCGTATTAACAGGGTTGTAATTTCGTTCTAAAATACTGAAATCGTAGTTCGATAATACTACATTGTTTCCTTTAGATACTTAGCTACTTACCACTGCCCAGCTGCCTCAGTACCATTGAGTATCTTCGTAGAGAATCTTTGTTTCTAGACTACATGCGCATTTATAGAGGTGACATAAAGTATACACAAATTGATGTAAGTCAAAAAGTTTTTAAATTGTAAGCAACACCTGCGAGTGAATATCGTAGAATCTGTGCACAATATGTTTATAGATAATAACACAATGTTTGTTCTTAATTAAGATACTATAAATTAGATATGATTACTCACTCTCGTTATCGCATCATTAAAACAATTTTTAGCAGCCTCCATATTTTTTTTCTTCCAATAACATTCTCCTAAATTATTCCAAGCATCGATACTGGTGGGATCTAATTTAACAGCTAAAGATGAAGCTTTTTCAGCTTCGTCACTATAATCGGGCAACACATTGAGAGCTTTGCCTTTAATGTAACTACATTTAAATTTATATTCTTTCGATTGCAGTCTAAAGTCGGTTTGCTCTAATTGATTGAATTTATAAAGAAAGAAATATAACGTTACCTCATTAGTTTAATTAAACGTTGCAAAAAAGTTTGTTACAGTTTAGAATATACAAATTATAGCATCAATGACGACTTTACCAAGTTATTCGACAGTTACCTTGAATCTGATCGATAATTGCTATAAGAGCAGACATCTTTTCTCGGAGCATAGAATACTTTTTATCCGAGAGCTTAACGGGATATAGCTCAAAGAAGTGGTCTCTCATATGATATAATTCCTGCAAAGATTTCTAAAAGTTCCAGGTAAAGCATTAGCTGGACATTTAGATTTAACATTGAGAGTAAAATTAAATTTTTATCAACATTTTTTGATTTATATTTTAATAAAATTGGATTTCAATAATTCGTAAAGAGTACTTCTAAATCTAGCTATACACAGTAAACTATTGCCTATAGCCTTATTGATCGTTGTTGATAAATTCAATAACAAAATGCTATAAAGAATTCTTGACATTATTTGTAATCATAATGCCGTATCAGTATGTAGAAGAAAACGTAACAGTATTCCTTAATCTGGAACACTAATATAATATGATAAACAAACCATCGTTGATAGTGGGTAAGGATGCGAAAGGATATGCTGATTAACAGTCTATGGTCCATAGCGAATAGCTTGAAGTTTTTACGAGTAAAATACTAATTACAAATACTACCGGTGTAACAGTTATTTTTAATAAGTTCAGTTTTAATATTAATTACGTATGTATTTCATCATTAAACTGTTCAGTACCAATGTGATTTGAATTTGACACTAATCATACTGCACAAAAAATACCATTAATTTAACATTACTCACAATTTACAAAAGCCTACAAGCTATCGTAGGCTTATAAAATCATTCTTAAGCGTATTGATATATTATGCGATGATACGTTACTTTGGCGACTACTCGCCCATAAGCAATTGCCCGGTTAACTTGTAAATTTGACGTCTTACACAACGTTATTATTTTTCTCCTCAATCCTATTCGCTACTTCAATATCTACTAAGGCAGTCATGACTGGTATCAACGTGTGTTGTTAATTCACTTAGGAAAACTTAACAAGACTGATAGTGGGCATTAGAGTAAGACGACGACATTGAATTGATACAATTTAAATTTAGCCATCATCTATACCTCAGCAGTTTCTAATTTCTGGCTAAATTGTTTTTCATCAAATTCAGCCATGGTTGAAATCGATTCAATCCTATCAAAATGAAAGGCAAATCATCAGGTAACATGGATAATCCATATTACGTATTAGATCATGACTCTATCGCTCGATGTATCTATACTACCTCCAAATATTGCCGCAGCAATCGCGATCGCAGAATTCTTCTTCAGGTAGTGCCGATGCTTTTCAATTCGTGATGGCTTGCAATGCTCTGTTTACCTAAATATGTCCCAAATTCGTCCTAATTTTTGTTGACTGCATACTATTGCCACAATGGCATGTAAGGGTACCAAGATAGACTTTATTATGGCGTAGATACTGAGTCCAAGTCAGTCTATACTGAACGCTGCACTGTTCAGCGTCCACGGTTGTAGGCAGTCGATGGTCTACGAGGTACGGTTGAGTAAACTGTACCAAAGTAGAGAACATAATATAGACTACAGTATAGAAAGAGGAAAGAATAGATGACACTGTATGAACAACTTCTCTGGTACTGTATCGAACAGTACAGTACATTAGTATGACTTCAGCTTGAGGCGTATTTTAATATGGCAGTTATGCAGGGACTACTCGAAAGAAGAGAAAGTAGTTCTTTCGAGTAGTCCCTGCAGTATACTACACTATACCATGCTGCTCATCGTAGCAATACTGTAGAGCCTTGTCGCATTCATGTATAGATTACATTTGAATCCATATTCCGTGTTGGAATCTCCCTTGCAATCAAGGATGTCGATACAGTTTGCAGAGCCAGAGCATCGCCTAGCTATAGGACTGTTCAAAGGGGTTGAAAGCTTTCATGGCATTTATTAACTTACGATCATCACTGCACTACTTTATGGCAATGCTAGCCCATGTGAGCATGTTTGAGACACATATTCCAAGTAAATAATGCAATTATGGATAGCACTGCACCCCATGTACCGAATATTAACTCATATAGGGCAGTATTTCATATCTCCCTTACCTTAATGTTGTAACTCAATACAGTATAGGAAAAAATATCATCTCTCCAAATGAATAAAGAGAATAGTCATGGCTAGCAATTATCAATAAAGCTACTGTTCATTGCCACAGTAGGCTATTCATGAATGCATATCAACGAATCAATAAATAGACTATACATTAATATGTTGACATATTATTACTATTCTCTATTCGAACAATTTTACTGTTTTCCATCAGTAGCACCATTACCGATGTTGCTATATCAAAGCTTATCCTAGACCTGCAGGGTGTTGCCATAGCAACGACGAGATACGCATATCGTCGCCAATCGTATATTACATTATTGTATCATCTACATTGGATCAGTTATGAACATGTCATAGAAATATAGAATACATACTGTGTTATTCTATTCCATTTATACAGGAATAAATCCATTTTTAGCTCATCTACATTTTACTTTAATCAGTAAAGCGTTTAAGCGATTAAACTAGCTATATTTAAGACGTACAATACTGTAGATATTATTAAGATAACATTAGCATACTCGTCCATTTGGAGAGAGATAGTTTTGTGTTATGCATAGTTAGTCAATCAAAAATGGCTCTAGTTAAAGTTTCTAAGAAAGAAACCGCTTGGGCTGGTAGGCGAGCAAAAACGACTCATTTTAAAGGTAAGCCAAGAATAAACTTATCTCATTAAGCAAAAGTATTTTTTAAATACCAGTCGATAATATTAATATACGTACATGAATTTGCAGAATAATAGTAAGAATTACTAGTAGTTGAAAAATTACTGCATTACTCTTGTCGTCTTGTAATGCGTGAACAAACTACTGTCTAGTAATTAGTGATCTCATTAAATGTATATTAAATTAAAAAATGCATTCATTTATTACGTTTGCTTCTATCAATGCGACATCAACTTCATAATCTAAAAACTGATAGTAAATATTTTATTAGTACATTAGAATAGCAACAGGTTGTAAATTTCACGCTTTAAAATAAATATAAGAACGAGTATGATAGGCGTAAAGACTTGCATAATTACTAGCAATCATGTCAAATCCGATATTATGCAATAATAACACGAACATAAAATCAAGAATGGATTTTTTTTACTGTAATAAAGTAGCAATAAGTTGTGCTTTCAATCATTCAGTAAATTAAAATAAATAAATGATAATAAATTTATGATCTAAGAGTTATCATAGCGTAAATCCGATGATGCGCAAGATAACAGACATTTAAAATTAAAAGTTCTTCTAAGTCGGAGTAGCACCAGGTTGCATATTCAACTCTCGAAAATGTTAAAGTAGAGAAAGTATCATTTAAAACTACGGTATATGAATCGTCATGGACTGTACTAAAGATATGTTGTCAGAATGTGTAGTAGAATCAATGTACGCGTAGGTTAAGAAGCAGCAATTATGACAACCTTAACTAATGCATTTTAATATTAATTAACCACGTTATTTTTTTCTAATTTACAAAGACCAATTTTTATACAACGCATCATTTTACAATACCTCATTATCAATTATATTTTTATTACCGGCATATATAAAACTTTATGTATTAGTCCGTGAACGATCAAATTATGAAATCAATTATGCCAATTTGGTCGAATTACTTAATCTAGAGGGATTAAAATCAAGGTAAGTTTAGGCCAGTAGGCATTGCTATTCTTAATTAAATTAATACTGTTTAACATTTCATAATAGCATTAAACATTTTGATTCTTATCGTAAAGAGATCGAGAGACAACCCCAGAAGCTCATCAGGAGTTTATGAAACGCTACCGTACCATCTTTCAAAAACCAGTGCTAGCAGATGAAATCTTAAAAAATGATAAAAAGTATAAATTTCACTTCATTTTTTATTGTCTAAATTTAATGAAGCATTGACATTCTTACACAATTTTAATTATAGTGACGATCAAGCTTCCACAAAGGCCGATTCAGTGCAATCGACAGGTAAAAAACCTTATATGTTATATCGTCAGAAATGATCGATTAGAGTTAATCAGTCGGACATACTGTCAATACTTATTGCCTAAAATTAGTAATCATATTGCTGAACTACATTTTGTAACGCATAGGGATTCCAAGTGCACTACCCCCAATACGAAGAACTATGACTGCTCCACAGCCCATGGACCATAACATTTCACATTTCACTAAAAATTTACATCGTCAACGATTAATGATAAATCCTGAAGCGCTATTTTTGGAAAGAATTAAAAATCTAAAGAAATTAGTGAAAATTACGTAAGTTACCGTGTAATTGACGTTTTTATTCTTCGATTCATTCTGATTACATAATTTTGTTAACACGTAATCATCATTTCAATTAAACGTGCAGTTAGCATAGCATACTAACCTTATTCCTAAAATATAATGATTTTATGAATAAGAAATTATTGCATAACAGCATTATTTGCAATTCTACTTATGGACTGGTATTGAAAATGTTTCTGCTATACTAATTTCTACATAATCTTAATTTTAAAATAGACCTTATGAAAGAACTAGAGAACAACGAATAATAATATATCAACATCTAAGGCACATGTCATCACTAAAATCGCAAATTCCATTGAATATTTTAAAAGAATTAGCAGCTACAATTCAATACGAAAAATGGCCTGATGTTGGCTACACAGGTAAAGAAGTGAATGATATCTTTACTACAGCTATAATTTCTGAATCAAAACAGCTAACGATATCAATATTGCTGAAATTATTTATTTTCAACTCAAAACTTAAAATCTGCTTTGTTTTGCACTTCAAGCATTTGCCAATAATTGCCTTTACTTCATCCTTCGTGGGAAAGTTGTACCAAATCTTGAAGCACAAGAATCTTACTTTAATTTATCATCAAGCAATTTCTCGCATCGATCATCAAATACACCAACACTATTTCAGTTAAAGCGATCAGCAACATCTGGCGACTTTAGTATAATATCTGATACATCTGATGATGACGGTATTCATGGCGATCGCAATTCCGAAGTCGTATCTGCTGCTTCAACAGATCGCTACAGCCAAGCTAGAAGCCGAGCATCATTAACCTTTACATTCGGTCAAGATTATAATCAAGATGAATCAGAAAATACATTTGAAGAAGTAAATAATCAGCAGGTAAGTGATAAATGGGAATAAAATTGTACTAAAATTCGTAATATAATATGAAGCAAAATTAGATTTATAATTTTCGTTCTTGAATATTATCATTCAGGAATTGACTGCTGGCGATACGTTTGGTACAGTGGAAATAGAAGATAAACCAAACTATACAAAGTAAATTGTACTTTGAAATTATGTATCAGATATTGAATCAAATTTTAATTAGTGAATATGCGTTTTGGATCTTATAGAATACTGGCGGTCACTATACAAGAGCCGAGTGAATTTCTTCGAATATCTATCGATGATTATAAGCGAATAAAAGTGGTAAAAATTGTGACAGTCGAATTTACACTTAATAAATTACGTATTTAAATGATTTCCCATTTTAAACCTTCTTGCCCTAGCAATTTGAGGAACAAGATTTCAAAAATAAATTTGAATTGTTGCGTGGATGTCTCCTCTTTTCAAGTTGGCCGAAAAGTACACTATCAAGATTGTCTAAGTTAATCATTTGGAGGACTTTTCCTCCAGGAACAGGTATTACAAACAAATAGTTAATGATCATTAGTAAAGATAAATTACTGGCCTTTGCATAGTCGCTATCTAAAGTGATCACGTAGAAGCTACTTACTGTTCTTGTGTACATAACTCACTGATTTTTTATTACTTTATTTGATCAATCAGTCCTTGTTCGAGAAGGAGAGCAAAACCGCAGTATTATATTTCTCAAGAAAGGGCAATGTCAAGTGTATCGTCAGATTAGGGTTCCCTATATGGCATCCATGACGGAAATGGTAGAGAATGACTCTAATTATATATTTATCAAATCAGTTGTTTACTCTTGCTATATCTGTGTATTTCAAAGATACGATGCTAGCCATATATCGCAAATAATCATATCTATATCGAATTTATGGCGTACTTTAAGCCCTCGTTATAGCAGCCAACATTCTCTGTTTTATCGTTTTTATCACACTAGTAACTCTAAGCCAATAAAAGATGTAATCTTAGTACTGTGTATTTTCCTAAATTAAACTTGCCTCAGGTCGTCTATTTAAGATATCGATTCGTTTTATGAATAGCATATTAGTATCGATTTATGCCATATGATTTAAATTTTTAATCTGTATAATTCAATTATGCTGTTTCATTTTTACTTGCAATGATCCTAATTACAATTAACGTTTTCTGTTATTAAGGCAACACGAAGTAAAAAAGTGCCTATGGGAGTATTGCAGCCCGGAGCTTATTTTGGAAATTTAAGTGTACTGAGTCATAAATCGGAGATTTATACTATTGTTGCCGCGACTGAAATAGAAGCAGGATTATTAACCAAAACTAGAATTAATAGTAAGATTCGCTATGTACTTTCAAACTTTATTACTTATCTATTCTCTTTAGACACGATATCATAATCTAAAGACATTAGTAAACAATGGATATCTATTTTATAAAAAATTCTCATTTAAATTTAAATAGAATTAGATAGTACAACAGCTGCTTTCCTTGAGCAATCAGAAGAATCAACTGGTATAGATCTGACTCAGGTAATACGATAAAATTATCAAAGTAAACTGATCGTTAAAGATAATTGAATTAAATGTGAGACCACTACTTATGACCACTAGGAGCTGAATTAAACGTAATGCTATTCCATAATTTCTATATTCACGTTAATACTAAGCATCTCCTGCCACAATTTCGTATAATCATAATAGGAGGAAATTAATGAGAAGTATGTGAAGCGAGAGCTAGATCGAGAATGGACTCAATATAAGGTAAACATATATATTAAATCTAATAAATTATACATTACAATGCTAAATACAATTAACATCCGTATTAACATTGCTTTTAGTAATTACTATGCTATTATTCTCGTAACCACTTAGGAAGAAATTTTGGGAGAAGTATTACAGGATCATAGTATCCATCCGGGTACGGGAAAATGGAAATTTAAACCAGATGATACAAAACTCAAACATTTATGGAATCACGATTGTGTTACTGATCGATTCATTAAAAATCGCAGTGTCACAAAATAAAAGTGATGCTCGCAGATTAGATTGCAAGTTAGGCTTCTTCCTTTTTCTTCCTATTCCAAGCTATTACTTATATTAGAAAATACTACAAAAAGGGTATATTTTTGCTATTCTATAAAATGAATATTGGAATTTTTGGTAACACTTATTTCAAATATGAAATTGCCATCAGGATTTAATATTTTCGTAAGAAATTATAACCTGCTCATATAAAATGATCAATGTATATAAATTGAAATCTACTGAATCTATTTTTCTTGTTTTATTTATCTTAAATTATGAATTGAATTATATACTCGCATTGTAATCTGCGGTCATGATGGCTGCGACCATTGCCAAAGATTTAAGTTGAGATTGATATTCAGGCTTATTACCAAATATGAACAATTTAATCCTGCCTGTATATAACTAATTAGATAATTAATTTATATGTGCCCTAGAATCAGGTTCTTAGGACATATAACTGGATTCTCTCTTTTATATATACTTTTTAAGATATTCCATTTCCTTATAGGGAAATATTCGATTAGCTCAGTTTAATAAATGATCGGTTGGAATTAAGCTAAGGTATTTATTCTTGAACAATCCTATAAAAAACTGATAGTTCCTAACGTAGTTCAAGAAAATTATAAAGTATTTTGGCCTTTTAATATAAAGTTTCAACGGTAATGAAAGACGAAATTGATCTCAAGTTTACTATTGGTCAATCCTTTTGTTGGAAACGTAAGCGTAATTATTATAAGTGCTGTATCACATCTGATAGACTAGTATACCTATACAGTCTATAAAAGTGCATGAATCTTAGAATACATATCACGCGTAATATGTATAACCAATATGAATGAATGTCATATGCATAAAGTATACGCATATATGTGATTTATCGTTCAAAAAGTGGTAGTTCAAATTCGTTAATATCCCGATAATGTATTTTAGTGATATTTTATCAGCATCATGGTGACAAAAATACCGTTAGTATAGGAATGATAAATTATAAAAGCATTTTTGATGGTATAATTTGTATAAATACGTATAGCAATAGCAATATTTTGCGATAAGCTAGTCTTTCATTGCTTTTAAATCTTAAAACACCATTATAAATTATGATTTGGCAAGAAAGTTACGCAAAATGTGTAGTATCACACATTATGCACATTATTTAAATATTGCACAAATGATGTAATTAATTTTTTAATTAATTAATCTTTTCCAGAAAACAAATTAGTAAACGATTAAGAAAATTATTAAAATTCAGCATCTTTAGCAACTTTCATACTGAATCATTTAAAATTGAACAGTATTGTGCGCAGCAAATATAGCGTAGGGGTTGATTTTAAAAGTTCAAATATTGTATTTAGACATGTGAAGTCTGCAAAAGCTTCGTCATCTTAAAGTTATAATTTACAGGTTGGTAATGTAAAAACTAAAAAAGGACACATTGCTGCTGGGATTTTCAACTTAAATAGAAATTGAGGTGAAATTCAGACGGAATTAGGTAATCTTTTCATAAATTTATAATACTATCGTATGAGACTTTCTTGAATTTCATTGAGATCACTAGGTTGAGAGTATACAATAATCATCCATATAACATAATCGAGCATTTAGTTTTTGAACACGTTTCAGATCAGATTTATCCTAATACAAACTGCTTACTACCGATGCAGGTTTGCAAATCTATTACAAAATATAATTCTAAACATGAACGAAGCATTCGATTCAATTTTAGATATAAAGTCAAGATTTAAATTTATATTATTTTAAAGCAAAGTTAATAGAAAATACTAGCTATACTGTAGACACATAAATGGAACCATGTTTGGTCGAGCCATCGGTTGGGGATACATTTACGTCATCTTGGCTTATTGGTTTATTAGTATCTTCCTCTTGCACCTCTTTTTCCTCTCTACCGTATTTTGACCATTTAGCAACTACGAGCGAATCTGCTAGAATTTGTGTCATATGTGCAATAACCACAGAAACTGTCATTAGACCCTGATTAGCAAGAGTGACGGGTGAATATGATATTAAAACTACTGCGATAGAAAGAGTTTTTTGGCTTGCTAAGATGACCACACTTTTAGTTGCTTTAATATCTAACCGTAGTACGAGCCATGATACTGACCAATTAGTCAATAAAAATATGATATGGATTGCTAGCGACCACAGAATAATCATAATTATATTCTGAGGTTCTATAAAGTTGAATGCCCCAGTTGCTCGAGCATTACTGACCTTCATCCAAGGTATGATGATTAAAGCGAAAGAACTTGTCAATTTTGATAAGTTACTGTATTTTTTAACATATTTCGCGACTACTTTAATATATGATAGAGCCTTTCCAACCTGTGCAAACAGAAATTAACGTTTAATGAGTCATTTTGGCCATACTGATAGTTACCGTGTATAACACAGTACTTTTGTGTGAGTAATATGCAGCTATAACAAGTACGGTACAAAGCATAGCAAATAAATTCAATCTTAAGTTAATAGATGTATACCAAATGCTATCTTTCTTACCAGTAAGGGTAACAAGACAGTTAAGGTTAGATTTCGGATTAAAATTCCGATATCAGCAGGAGTAATTGAAGAGTTGACGATAGTTAGCCAAGCAACAATTAGCGGGCTAAGGAAAGCCCCTAAAACGTTCGATGTTACAGTTAGCATCACTGCCAATGCATAATTTCCACCTGCTTGACCAGCCTGCCAGAATAATTTAAACAAGAGATTGTTGTATGTAAATAGTTTTTATTCGATTATTAATTATTTGAAGTTTATAACGCCTTGAGTTTACTACGGTACATATAGATACAAGTATTTAAATTTTACGAGGAAATGGGCTTTATTCATAGGTAACCTAGCTACCTCTATAAAAATCCAATTAAAGTCTTTGTATGGATTTGAAATAAAGTAAACTATAAAGATTTAGTAAAAAAAATAATAGTACCGTATATATTTCATCTCTAGAAGTGAACAATTTAAGAGCTGTAAAATCTAAAATGGTATGGCTAACGTACATCTTAGCGTAGAATTACTGTAAAATAAAACTATGTAGAATTACTGTAAAATAAAACTATAGTACAGAGTTGAGGTTCAATACTATTAGTGAAACTGGTGTATACGAATATTATACTTTATTTTTACATAAACTCATGATTCAAGAGCTGCTAATAGTGTTTAATGTAGCATGAATAAGATCAGCTTCCTTATAAACAGTAATATGTACTCGTATTTGGGTTCTATATAATAACAGTGATAAAATCAGTATATTATCGTAGTGTAGAACTCACTCCCTACAGCTCTTAAATCATACACGTACGCGTATATTGATTTAAGAGCTGTTACTAAGATTTCAGTCATAATACGATAAATATGGTCGTTTTTCGGAGTAATATTTAGTATAAGCTATCCATACTACTGTGGGTAAATTTAATATAACAACAAGTGGCAAAAATTGGTATTGCCTATTGTAATACACGCTCAACCTTAGCATGGTTCAAGAGCTGCTTAGAGTCGTACGATTTAGCTCATTGTTTTATTATAGAAATGACTATAAATTATGATAACTAGAGGTAACATAATATCAAAGACGAAATTAGTATCGCTAGTGAAACTCTATCTCTGCAAATACTAATAACCCTACGAGTTGTTGCATGGATTTAATTAATTAATTAATTAAAGTAGTATGGACAAAGTCTTTCCGTTACGGAAATTCTGCGTGTCTGCTCGATAATACTTTTGATATGCATGTTCTACCTCAGCATTAATGAATTTAAAAGTTGCTTATACGTATGCTTTAGAGTGACATACACAGGGTCACTATTATGTTGCAAAAGTTTCTATACAACAAACTACTCTATTTTGTTAGGAACTGTAGTGCGTGGAGTGCTGAATTGAGTCAGAGGATTAACTATTCAGTATTACTGTATAGTACATCAATAAATCGCGTAAGAGGACAATTTATAAGGTATTAATATCTACTACTGTATGATTTAAATTAATAAAAAATAAGAATAGCTTGAGCGCATAACAGGATGATATCGTGGTTACCTATTTGCGTTTAGTAAGAATATCGGCGTAAACTAAAGCAACAATCCTGTATTAGCGTATCATTCATTCATTAAATATAATGGATTAATTTTTTAAGTTGTATGACAACAGGCTTGATGAGTTTGATCATTGCCGCTTGCTTATCCATGTGTAGACTGATTAATTCCCATGACTAAATTAATTTTAAACGATCGTATTTGTTGTTACCGATCAGGGTTTAATAAGAATGTTGGCGTAGAATAAAGCTACTATCTGACGTTAACTCATTATCCATTTATTCATTGAATGTCATGGATTAATATTTTAAATTGATTGACAAGAGCGTTGATAAGTTTACGACATTTGAGATCACTTTCATTTCACGGACCAGGACTATAGGACTGGTCTGTGAAATGAAATGGATCTGATAGTTGATCATTATCTTATGTCTATGCATTTCTAGACTAGTCAATTTACGTCATTTATAAGTCCTAGTTTTAGTCAATGGATTAGATTGGATGTATATTACTTACCATTAAGACTCCAGAGGAAATGGTGCATGGGCAGCAAAAGAATATCTGCAATCCAATACTGAAATCAGCTGGTCCAAGAATATTACTGCTAGCATTATCGATATTCCTGGACGTATTAGTATAATTAGCGGTAGTCGGTGGCAAATAAGGTAATAGTGATGTTAACTTAGTTCCAATAACTGATGTTACTAAGAAAATACTTAATAATCCCCATAACGATGCTCGAAATGATTTGAGTGCTTTCAATAAGTCATCCGTTTTTAATTTCAGGCCACTATTGAGAAAGATGTAAACGATGCAAATATACTGTAAAGGCGTTTGCGATAAGTAAGCTCCAGGTTGTGGCACTAATATACCAAAGATCAAGAGTACTATCAAGCCAATCGGTAAATGATATGCAAATAAGATAGAAGAGATACGTTGTCGCCGTGTCAATGGCTGATTTTGTTCAGGTTTTTTTTCATCATCATGATTGATCTCATTTGCTGATTTCCTATCGCCATCCACATGATTATGATCGATCGCTGCGCTATCATGGCGATTATCATCGTCGACTGCCATGGATATCCTCTACCTTACTCTATCCAATTCGTCACCAATTGAAGAGGAAATGATTATCCAATCAATCGATTACAAGCTTCAATTACTATCGGCAAGCAAAATCCAATCGATGATTGCCAAGATTTCCAACTGGATAACGTAATTTGTTGACAGCGAGGGAGGGCCAAAGCTGATGAGAGACTCCTTGCAAGATGGGATTGGATGTTAACGATTTGACTATATGACCTCGTCCATTCTAAGCCTGGTATTGGTACTGTAGCAGGATGATGAAAGACTGTAGATGCTGGTGTAATGCTTGATGGGATTTACAATACAATGCACTGTACACTCTAGTGTACAGTGCAAACGTCATCGGAAGATCATGGGGTGGGGCCCATTCAAGAAACAATGTTCGCTTGACTTAATCCTAAGTACGCCATCAGTACTTTGTAATCTAGTATAAATGGTATTGTTTCTGGATCGGCATTGGCACTAGTCATCATCGAGTGACCCCCCCGACTAGTGAAGCTGAAGTGATTGCATCACCCAAGCACGGACGTGTTGACGAACGGATATTGAAACAGGTGAGAGGGAGGACGGACTACTTCACTTCTTTTTGGGGGGGGGCATAGTTTTCATACTAAACTAATACAAATTCACGTCGCTTTGCTGACGGTTTACGATAATGTACTTATTTGTTAATAATTAACAGATAGTATTACCATTCGACATTATATATATCCCGGTAATAGCCAGGCACTACTATATTCACAGCTATGCTTCTAGAATACTACTTTTCAATAATGCATTCACAGATGAAATGCTATGACTAACTAGTTTGAAAAAGGGATATACTGTACTAATTTGACTATTTAGTATGGAAAGTATAAAATAAGAAGATGAGTAGTCCCAGTCGATGGCCTATCTGCCTATGTCGGCAGGTTACCTACAAGAATTTCCTATTTTAAATTTGGGACATTCACACAATTACCGAGGAATAGTGTTATAGTATCGAATATTTTTTCCCGCCTCGTACGAGTAAATTACTGTAAACTCCTGCAGGTTGTAGACAAACTCGAACGTTAGGGAATGCCTAAATTTATATTGAATAAATCCTATGGGATGATTACCCTTAGTAATTACTAGCATATATATATATATATATATAATTAATTAATTTAATTTAATGATAACTAGTTGAGCCCGCTCGCTGCAATCATAATTCGACGTCAGGTAGTTAAAATGTTATCTAAAAATGAATAAGCCAACCATTTCTCAAATACTTCAGGAAATACGACGTTTGTTGGTTTGCGGCTCAACGCTATAATTCCAACTGATACATAGACGGAAAATGGACCAAGTTATTTCTATATTAGAAAATGAACTAGTCAATCATTTCTCAAATACTTCAGGAAATACGATGTTTGTTTGCTTACGGCTCAATGCTATAATTCCAACTGATACATAGACGGAAAACGGACCATGTTATTTCTATATTAGAAAATGAACAAGTCAGCCATTTCTCAAATACTTCAGGAAATACGATATCTGTTTACAATACCTGCAACTAAATGCTATAATTCATTTAAATTCACGAAGTTACCAACTGATACACAGACGGACAACGGGCCAAATTACTTTCTATACTAAAAAATGAATAAGTCAACCATTTCTCCAATACTTCAGGAAATACGATTGTTTGCTTACGGCTTAATGTATCTATTACTTTAAATTCACAAATTTGCCAACTGATACATAGACGGAAAACGGACCAAATTATTTTCTGTATTAAAAAATGAATAAGTCAACCATTTCTTACATACTTCAGGAAATATGGTATTTATTTGTTTGCGATTTAACGCAATAATGCCCGTTAATTCGCGAATTTCCTAACTGATACTCAGACAGAAAACGGGTTAAATGATTTTCTATAATATAGATTATTAACATCGAAATATGGACAAACTTGAAATTGGACAGCTATCAAATTAATGCTGAAGCTCTATGAAGTTATTATTTACATCATTATATGCAATGAAAATTGATACTTTCAATGATAAAGAGTGTCATCTTCAAGATCTGCATTACTACTATTAAAATTGTGATTTTTTAGTTAAAAGGAAATGAATGAAATCCATGAATCGTTCCTAAAGTGTAAAAAATTGTTGTGGCTTAAACAACATTTCTTGTCAGTTAAATTATATATTGAGCTATAAATGTGGAATTATACTACACATTATAGCGAATAGCTTTAATAATATTTCCGAGCAGCTACTTTTACCAGTGTAGTTTACTTTCTTTCGCTGCCAAACATAGGAGCTGGTATTCTATTTGTGGTACTGTGATTTAACCTTTTTATTTTATAGATATATAAACAAAAATCAATTTAACATCTCTGAAGGCAAGATCGAGGTAACTTTATCATCGACCTTTAGAATTATAGAAGGCTATCATTTTTATATTATTTCTGATCATGAAATAATTTATTTAATCCGCCATTGTAACTGCATCCATTTGTTGCCGACAATATTATCTACACACATAGTACAAATAATACTCGCATATTAATAGAAGAAAATACTTGAAATATAAACAGAGTTATTGTGTTGCAATTAGTAGCCGATACTGAATTTATCGTACAGATGGACCACAGATAATGGTATAAAACAGTTTAAAAAGACATCTTTAGGCTGTATCAACAAGAATGAATTTCAATATAGATACTTCCATATTGAAAGATATTGTTGCGGCTACAATCTTTTCGTCGTAATATTAAAATTAAAATCGGTGGCATTTATAGCATTATCCAAGGCGGAAGATAGTAAAGTTTGAGTCTCAGCTTCTGTAAGAGAGATTTCGTTACATACTGTTTGACAACCATTATCAACAGTAAATACTGGGTCTTCTTTCGAGTGCTCCAATAACGGGGTAAAATTACTATCAACCTTATATGGCTCTTGATTTGACGCGAGATTCTCTTTAAGCGAATGGTGACAAGAATTAGATAATCCATATTTACCTTTTTCTTTATCACATGCTTCAAGGTCAACGGTATCGATGCTATCTAAAAATTTCTGTAATTCTTCAACGTTGATGGTGCTAAACTGTGTTTGAGTGCCAGAATCAATCATATCAGCATATTCTGATAAAGTCGTTTGAACTTTGACGTCGAAATGGCGAGGTATATCTGAATAATTTAAATTTCTAGTACTTTGTGATGGTTCAGTATATATGCTTTTATCGGTTGCGGTAACGCCATTAAAATCAATATCATCAACAGTCAGATTATTATCACCGCTTAACGTCGAGGAGCAACAGTTGTTAAAGGTTTGTGGCGTTTGCGGTACTAGAAGTAAATTAATACCAAAGGAAAATCAAGATACAAGCTCAAGTGCATCCTGGTAAACGTAAATTTCATTATACTGACTCAATACAGTATACTGTAATAGCTTTTCGTATATATATAAGCGTTCTTCAAGTTTTACAACATCTTTCACTATCTACTGAGATAAACATCAACTATAAAGCAATACATTACTGTATATCATTACCGAAATGAATAGTCTGATCCTCAGTATAGGCGTCACCTCCTAGTAAATTACATTGAACATCTTTGCTAGCTGATTGTCTGTCTTGCGTCTGAGTACAAGTGCTAATAACATCAGCACTCGTAGTCTGGACATAGTCGTCTGAAATCGATAAGTAAGTCATGGAACATTTGTTCACCAATCTTTCAGTAGCTTCATCCCGGTAGGTCTGGATTTGTGTCAGCGATGGTGTTTGTGTTCCATAAGAAACCAGCAGCCTGTTACTGCAATTACTATCGATACCTTCAGTTTGTGTTTCTACGGAAAATAACATCTACAAATGGGATACACAAAAAAATGTTAGTCTAATGCTACTATCCTTACCATTGTAAAAAAAATGATTACCGTTAGCAACTAATGAATAAATACATAGTTTACAAAACTTTTTTTAAAACAAGAAGAAAGTTAGCTACTTTATTTATATTACTTCAGAGGCAGTCAATTCATGATTTCCATTTTTATTGACCTCCTTCAAGACTGGTTGAGGTAGTATAGGGCGATATCGTGCACTTTTCAAATTTCCTGTAGAGGTAAAAAGATTCTTTAGAGGATAGCCCTATCCTTTCATTATCTCGTAATTACAACATCAAGATAGCATAAATAGTGGAGAAGCAGTACTGTGTTTCGTTTTGCCATTTAGATCTTTACAAGTCTATACCTGTACCAGAGTCTTTCTCGATGATATTGTCGTTCCTTAAATTTTCGTGTCTATAGTTGGTTGTAATAGTGAATGATTGCAAGATCATATGTTTATAAGAGTACAAGCATATACCAAGCTTACTTAGCAATTATATACAATAAAGTTGAATTGACCTTAACCATGACTTAAAGCGTGAATACGATAATAATAGAATTGAAATTGGCGAAATGCAAATAGAATGATTCTAAAAATTTCATGATTTGATAACACCTTTGTGATTACTGTATTATTGCACATTTGCAAAATGGATACAGATTTATGCCTGCATTGAAATTGGACTTTAATAGCTATTGACAGTATTGTCGTAAAGATTTAGTTGGCATCACTTACGCTACATAATTCGAGTTGTTGCTTTCTGACATCTGATGAGATGTGCGCTTAAGGTGCATTAAGAGGGCATGTTTATTAAATTGCTTTTTGCAAGTCCCACACTGGAATAGCTTTCCACATAATTGTTGATGACGTTTGCAAACATCGGCCATTCCGAAAGATTTCGTGCAATTGATGCAGTGAAATTTCTTTTCACCATGGATAGATAAGTAATGCTGTAGATATAGAAGATACTGGAAATCAGATAGGTAATCTACCAAGACGTAGGATCAAGCTTGTTGAGCGCGAAATTAAATAAAAGTTACCTGTTTTACTTGTGAAAATCGATTAAAGGGTCTGTTACTATCTTTACTTCTTGAGCATCCTGTTATTGGGCAATAGTAATGACGTTTAGGTGGTCCTTTATGATCATTCTTATGCTGGCGAGTGTTGTGGTGTGGATTGTAAACTTGGTTATGACTCAATCCAGTGGTTATTCGATGGATTTTAGCTAAGTGCATTTTCAAAGCGGAAGGATTGGAGAATAACTTGCCACATTTATCCACAGGACAAAGAACGCGGTTCTGGATGACGTTCAACTCCTCTTCAGTAGGACATATCGTTTCGATTGATTCCATGCTTGAGTCTTTCTAAATTTATAGTTAGCATAATAGATAACCTGTAAATATGACGGATTAATAATACGTGATTTAGTTGACGTAAAGTTAAGTATCTTTGATTTTTATAATTACGGTTAATTAAGATTTCTTTTGAATCCTCTTCTTGTTCTGTGATGCTGTAATATATATGTATATCTAAGAACTAGGTAATGCAATCTTGGATACTCGTAAAAGTAATTCTATGGACGTTCTTTATAATTATTTGCCTGACATTAATACGACAAGTACTATATCTGTAGTCATTCTAGCGGTACACTTACAAGTATAGTATACTCATCATAATCAATTTTGGAAATTGCCATAGTAAATAAACCGCTACCAAGAGATTAGTTTACAGTAATTGCAAACGTATGTATTCAACTCCTGTTAATGAATAGATGTAGCCTATACGAACTGTCAATAATATTATTATCTAAGTTGTTTAAGATGGCTTAAAGTACATCCATTGAATACAAGTAGTGATCGTTAGTTTTTCAATATCGTTATTTAAATTGTTTGTCATCACTATTAAAATGTAACTGGTAAATTACCCATTTTGATGAACGATCATAAAATCTTGAATAAGCTGTCAATGCAATCTACGTAAGTGAAAATATCCTGCCAGTTAGGCTACTATTAGGTCATTGCAGGATTTGATCAACTTGTTTGTTGTTGATTGTAGGTCATGATCGTTGTGATGCAATTATCTCATCACTAGACTGTCCTAATATACGAGTAGATAAATCACTTACGGTGAAATGAAATTTTGTAGCAGTCGTTCGTCTTAGTTGGTGCCATATAGATGTAAACTTGGTTCGATGGCGATTATTTGCATCGTTTAGAGACTTGATAATGATTATAATTTCCAAAAGTAGGTGTAGTAAGGGAAATCACCAATGTTGACAGTACACAGCAAGTACTACCATGCTATCGATGACCTTTCAACGATCTTTCATGTTACACAATTTCCTTCATCGCTTAGAAAGGAAAGAATGAGGATTGTGATGTTATGGCTATAGCTATGAGTGATTAAAATTTCTTCCTCGTAGGAATGAAGATCTTACAAGAATTTGGTGATGGCGACAATTGGTTTCCATAGCAAGCATCTCAATAGATGGCGTAAAGAGATTGTTTAATTACAGGCGTTAGACTGGTCAGAGGCGAGCGTTCTAGCACAGTAGCTCGAGTATAATATGTGTAAAACGATTATCACCCCATAGGTCAATTTTTCTGAGTTCGATAACTTAAATATACACTCTATTATGGTGACAGCTCATTTTACACAATAAGTAGACATCATCGAGTTACGATATAGACATACAGACAGACAGACCACCTCATTCCAAGTCTATCACCTAGAGTGCTCATACATCGCTCAAATAATCATAGAATACATTCTTCAATAAGAAAAAAATCTGTATTCGTATGGCATCAAGACTTGCACGCTTTCACCGCAAGCGTGGAATAGTAGAGAATCTGAGTACAGTATTTACACAGTTGGAGAATTTGAATGGTTTTCTATAAGACTCGTTGCTATGTATTATACAGTATATTCTAGGCTATCGCAGTCCCACCACTTCTTAGAGACGCACCACCACCAGCCTGAACTCATTTTCTACTTCCTTCCATTGCAAAATATTACCTAAAATAATTTGCCAACATTATATCTACCTTCTCCAAGTTGGAAATATCCAAGGTAAATGATGTTGATGTTGAATGATGTATTTACTTGTAGGATATCTAGTGTACGATCTTAATTATCAATCGTCGATTATGGTCGAGGGTAAAATAATCCACACCTTGTGATCAGAATTTGTACAGATGGCCTACGTGGAGACGCGATCAAGGTTGGAGATCGGATTGAATGGATGCAGTTAACTTGCAAGCCATATTTATAGATAGTCCTTGATTGATCCCATGTTTTTTGACTTGAATTTCTTGAGATTAGGCAATATTCTACCTTGTCAACTGTGTGATAGACTAGTTCTGTTATTATTTTAACTGTTGATGATATTGTTGGCTAACGATGGTGAAAACTACTCCAGCTTTTCTAACCCAAATCATCAGCCGATCATTTAAACCATTGTTTAGTGTGATCAAGATCCAACACAATATTCATCATCTGTTCTTTCTCTATCTAGTTATTTTAATCGCCTTGACACTATTCTCTATTCCCAACCTGATATTCAACTAGAGTCATTGGATAGAATAATCTCCTCGCTAACTACGTTACAACCATCTCTTAAATACAATGATCGCGATCATATTTGTAAAGGATAGCTGGCCTTAGACTTGAAAGTTTTTTTGTTTCCATCTTCTTTCCGTAACGGTCATCCACCAACTTGATATCCTAATATTGAAACATAGGATTGAACCGCAATCATTGGCTAAAAAGATCTTTAAATTACTACTTTACAGTTTAGCCCAAAACACCATCATCGTTTAACATACAATCACTTATGTAACGGTAGTTTTCCCTTGGATGTGGAGTTACCTTATTACATAATGGCTGCAACCATTGTTTACAGAGCATATATTCTCTTCATTTTACTCTTCGCTAAATGTAGTTTTTCCATCGTCTTCATACTATTGGATAAATTTTATACTTCTGATTGGCTGCAATTGATTTGTCATCCCTATCGGCAGTATGCAATGCTACAAAGGCTATCCTGATTAATCATCAACAAAAAACTACCATACGTTTACAAAACAATTGTTGTTCCATTCAATCTGACCATTGATTAATATCGACTTTTTTTTTGCAATTTAGGACTATTTCAACCACGAACTAGAAGAGTGAACACCAATTAGTAGCGCTATACAATCACTACCAAGCGCTTTCTTCACTCGGTTACAGGTATAACCCTGACAGATTGGATCCTATAATGACATTCATTTTGATACCAGCATGAAAAAAAAAATAACAACAACAGCAATAAATTTTGAACGGTAATCATCATGATATTCTTTTTTATGTAGGTGTTGCTAAGCCTTACAGTTACTGTAATAGCTAGTAATTACGATAGCATTGATGGACTTTCCGAGTATGCATGGTAAGTAATAAATCATTAAAGTTATTTTATGTAATACATGTACGCGTATAATTGAATGATGAGCAAATTCCCGTTAAAATCTTCATTTTATTCAAGTCACTATGCCGTATAATCGATACAGTAACATAACATGTAATGCAGGCCTTTTAATTGCCTATTTGATTATGTTAAATCATTTTGTCCGATCTTATCAAATCCTTCCTTAAACAATCCCCGAATAATAGCGACTATTGAAGTTCAATGCGATCCAAATTGTAATACATCGATAGTCCGATATTATTGTTCACGGATTAAAAGAAGACTTGCATTCCTAATCGTACAACATTGTCAGTAATAATTAATTATTAGAAAGTAGTTATTAATATAGGCTAGAATTAATGGTAAACTGCGTTACATGGATAGTTGACGTTGTGAACATAGAGAATATCATCATCATCTACGGATTAAAGGAAAAAGAATTTTACATTTCTAGTCATATACTGTAATACTGTACCATTGGGATAACATTAATCGACGGTTTTTGATCGCTAGAACTATTGTACTATGAAATTGTAATACCTATTTCATTAGATCAGTCCTCCTTGTCTTAGCTTCAATGCAGCACAGAGCAACTAATAAAACATTTCAGTCTATAGGTTAATATCTACAATGATTCCTGTACTTCATGCAGTATAACATTAGAAAACATACATTGTACATAAACGAATAGTTTGTTGAATTGCCAACGTCAACATTACAAACTTTCTTCTATAAATTGATCCTTGTTTAATCGTATATTTTTAATACTTATTGTAAAAAGAATTGCCTGCCTAGTTTACAACAACTACTTCCTTTTTTTTATCCGAGAAATGGAAAAAAATTTAAATTTAACTATTGCTTGGATTTTAAAATATCGCAATTCTTTGATACCAACTGTATGATAAAAATATCCACGTCCATCGGCGTTGGCCTATCACTAAATTTGTTGCACGTAGACTACCGTTCGGTAGTTATAAATATTAAAAAGGACTGTATTCTTAAAACTGTGTCTCTAATAGGACGACTTTGATCAGTTCATTAACTTTTGCATATTACATATCTATCCATTAGAACTGCTAAAATTAAAATAGGAAAAGAAATTAACTACGACGAATAGAAGGATGATTCCGATTACTAGCGATAATATCCTCAAATTAATTACTTTTGGTGCTTCTACTGCTATGGTATTTGGTGGTATAGTGCCTTATATACCTCAATATTTAGATATTTTACAAACAAAGAATGCAGATGGCTTCTCAATCCATGTATGTTTGGCATTACTGCTGGCTAATACACTCCGCATATTTTTCTGGTCAGTAGGATAGAATGCATTTAATACCAATTCTGTACGTAAACTGTTACGTTGAATAGCTCGGTTTTTATAAAAACTTAACATAAATACTTTTTCGTACTTACATTAACCGATAAATTGTGCTATGTCTAGCTCACATATATTCCAAAATAGAAAATTATCTATCAATATTCTTAATAAATGGCTATTGCATTGATCCAAAATATTTTTACAATGCATAGCATAGCCCTTAATAATTCAGAAAATACCCAGTTTTAATTTCTTATTTTTCTGCTTTAAGTATACAATGTTTATAGGAAAAAGCCGATCAATCTTACAGTACATTAGTGCTTAAAATTATTCTGTTAATGTCATATTATATATCATATACCTATCGATTGTACTGAAATTGAATCTAGATAAATGTAAGACTAGTATACAGTATCGTACTTTATACGTAAGAATATGAAGCCTGTCTGTTTGCATATTATTACAGAATTATCAAACCATTAACTAAATGCGGCATCTTCAACTGTTTCACGGATTATCTTGTTATACTTATCTTAATCTTGTAGGATTGGCCATCCATTTGAAATGCCTTTATTACTACAAAGTTTTGTCATGAACATTGCCATGCTAGTTATGTTGCAATTATGTGTCAAAACTAGAGCTCTTTCCGAAATTATTATCAAACCCAAAAGTATTTTTGGTACGTATAATGGCCAAACTCCTGAAATATTTGTATTTATTATGTGATATATTTCAATTAAAGTCGTTAAAAAATGAATTAGTGTATAATTTGATAATTTTCTTTTTTACTTTTATATAACAGATTGTTCTATGAAAAATTTCTGGCAATGGACTAACTTTCAAGATTATTTGATATTTTTAGTAGTCTTTTCAACATTTACAGGTGTTATCACATTACTATTGATGCATATTCCTGTATACATGGAAACACTAGGATTTGTTTCAGTTTTTATCGAATCTATGTTAGGCGCACCACAATTCTATAAAAATTATTGCAAAAAAAATACTGCCGGAATGAGGTATGTATGTCTAATCTAGACGGCAGTCCTTTTTATTTATACATGTATATATCAAACTCGATATACAGTTATTTTTTATTTATTTAATTAATGATATTGTACAGTATATTAATAGTACTTCAATGAATTGTGGCCTAGCAGAATTGGATACAGTTACATGTTAAGAATCTCAAAACAATCAATTTTAATCTCTCAATTTTTCTTTTCCAGTGTAAAAATGGTCCTTTGCTGGTTCTCAGGGGATACATTTAAGACTTGTTACTTTCTATTAAGACATGCTCCAGCGCAATTTTGGATTTGTGGCGGTCTACAAGTTTGCATCGACATGTTAATTTTAGGACAAGTATACGTATACTACCCTCGTAAACAACGGAAATAAGGCATTAAAGATATAAATAAAACCCAACACGATAATTAATTAATTTTAATTAATGCTCTGGGACTTATATCACTGTATGATTCAATGTACTTGATGTGTCATGTGTTATTAACGATATTTACCCCGCATTGCATTATCACCTATATGTTATCAGCGTTTATATTATTTGGGTAGTTCTACGTTGATCAAATCTACCTTCGAGTAGAAGATAATTTTCTGCATGGAAAAAAATTATGATCAAAGTTGAAAAAATTTTTGTGTATAAGAATTTTATGAACCAAGAGTATTCTTTACAAGATCGATATTTATATTAATTTGCAAACAGATCATAAAGCATATTTAGAATTAATAGATGTCTACCCTGGCGGTTTGTACCACTGCTAAAATACCAACTGGACCCAACTGTATCTTAGTATTATAGTATATATATACGAGTATAAAGAAAGAATTCTCTTCATAAATTATTAACGTTAAGAAATTTACTGGTTATGTTTTATTAATTGCACATATAAAAATGCGGCACGATTTTTGCAATATATTTTGTATGTACGTACTTGATGATATCGCTTCTTACTATATATCATAGCGACTCGACTTGAGAAATATCTGAAATAAGTACGATACAGCCCAGAATGGTAGTGATGTTAGCAGTATGCGCTTGTGTATTGAACGTAAGATGACCTGATAAGCAAGTAATGACTAGAAAAACAAAAAAATTACGCTGCCGAACTTAAGAGAGACTGTGTAGCTCACTTTATTGAAATTAACTTATACTGATAGTGCTACTTCTGCAAGCAAAATTTAGAAACAGCAAACGACTTTCTAGAGCAAGCTATGATACCCGTATATGTACATAATGATGATAAGATGCAACATCATGTGCTACAGGTACATAGAATTATCAAGACCTAAGGTCGTATGTTTTTAGCTGCATCTCAAACATTTCAATGCATATTCATAAAATAATACAAAATGTATACCTTTATTACTTATCTCTTCATTTTTCTTATAAAGCATTACAATATGCTCATTTAGAGTACGAGTATACATGCTTTAATCTCAAGTGTTTTTGTCATAAATCCGATTTAATGAATAAAAACGTTAAGAAATTATTCTGTAAGTCACCTATTTGTGATATATCCTTCATGAGTAAATTATTCAGAGATACCAATAGTTACAGCCAATTAATATAAATGTAGATAGCCAAAGCCTGTGTTTAAGTTTTAAGTAGTAATATCGATACATTATATATCTACTGTACAATGGGAAATTTAGTACAAGCTATACTGACGGAATGCTGCTAATGTATAAATCTATCGAAACCTGTATTTCATTCACAAACGATTTACCAAAACAGCATTATCAAAGTTGTAATAGCTTATTAACTTAAATTAATGCAGCCAAGAAAAGCTATTCGCCAATATTTACAAAATTATAGTCTTCGCAACAACAACCACAACCTAACGCACAACAATTATTGCTTTCGAACCACTTCTTTAAATGATGATAGTGACCTCCATGATTGCATTTGAAGCAAAAAATGGATATCCCTGCATAAATATCATAGCAGACTAATTAAAAGGGTTTTCAGAATTGTTTAAAATTACGAAAACTATCACATCACGTTCTCTATTGTTACGCACCTTTTACGTGACCATTGCAAACAGAACACCTAAATTGGTGATGCTTACAATCCTTACAAACAGTTTCGTTTGTTCTGTTTACTTCGTGTGGAACTAAGAATTCTGCTTGGATGCAATAAAAAATACGATAATATGAAATATCTTAAGCATGTTTTTATTTGCCATTTTGAATTATTTCGTACCCAAACTGTTGCCACTATCTTTCTTTAAATATTTCATAATTTCAGCTCTAGAAATTAAAAATCCCCAGCTATACAATATGTTAGAGTAGGATTTGATGAAAGAAATGTATTGTTTTCTTCTTGATGGATCTAAAAGGCAACATTGACGCTTAGACTGATCCTAAATTGCAACAGAAATTTCGATATTGTCAATGAACTAATATACTCGTATAATAAGAGCGCTTAGTAAGAACCTTACAACAGTATAATTTAAAGAAGTACGAGTAGCTGGCTAGTCTATCATTACCGATGAAATGTATCCGGTTCCCCCTAGTAAACAAATCATCATTGCTAATGTTTGGACATCCCTTAAATTGATATAGTAATCAATTCTACAAAAATTGATATAAACGAACATTAACGTTACGCATCATGAATTTAAACGACAAATCATTTAAACTACGTCTACTCACAATGACATTACTAGCTTCCTTCCAAATGGATGAACATAGAAAGGAGAAGACCAGGGATCAGATTCATCAAACGACAGATTATTAACGGTAATTTCTGATAAGATCGACCATGTTTGGATCAAATCACTCCTGCCAATCAGCTCAGCCAACTGGATGTTTGCCTTACATGCTTCAGATGTATATTTTTCATTATGGAGTAATCTAAATATATACGGTATAGTTTAAAGCAGACTTAAAAGTGGTTTGCCTATCGAAGAGTAATACTATTTCATTACGATGTTTTCCGTAATAAAATAATAGCAATTACTTAATACAATTGAAGGTTCCTTAAATTGATACACCACCGAGCAATTAAACTAAAGCTACATCCTAAATTCAGTCAGTAGTATGAAACTTACTTGTAATCCTTTCCTAATTGCTTGTTGACAACTTCTAATTTTGTTAAATCACTAATTGCCACCATAAATTTTAAGCGAGATTCATTGGAAACACTTCTCTCTAAAAATTTTGGCTGATACAAAAAACTGTTAGTGTATTTTAAACTTATTGACATCTACTAGCACAACATTATTACCAAACACCTATACTTTTAAAGTCTAGTCTACAATGTTATGGCCTTGTTATATCATTTACGTTTGAAGAAACAGGTTCAATATTTTCTACATGAGATGGATTTTGTCTATTTTCCAAAGTATCACTACTATGGCCTCGCATGATGTGCTTTTGTGATTTTTTAACTGGTACTGATACTTGTCGGGAATAAATAATAGAGTTTCCATGCTTTCGAATTGGTTCAACCCTAATATTAATTTACATAGAATGTATAAATAATGAAGTTATAGCTATAGATTAATTACTAGTGCTAATAATTTCATTATTAAATAACTAAGGTACAATATTTATTAATCATTTACAACGCTAGATAAACGAGATTATTCTATCATGATTACTAACTCTGTATAGCTTTCCTTAGCTCTCTTTTCAGATTCTTCAGAAAAGGGTCGATGAAAGCTAACAAATAGACCTATTAATAAATTTAGTGAAAATGGCTTAGTAAAAGAAATCATCATTGATTTTCGATAAGGTAGCAGTGCTCGCATACAACCTGATGAATTAAATCTACCACCGCTTGTTCTAGCTGGTGGAACACGCGTGGATGGATCAGGTGGCTTACCGGGATCATCACGACCCTAGCATTGTAGTATTATTGAATAATTCCTTCACTAAGTTTTGACTGCCATTAAGAATACATTGGCAATTAACAATTTTTTACATACTATTCACTACCAATAAAACACCTTACCGATAGAAAGGAGTAAATTTGATTAATACATGCTTCAAGGCAGTTTCTACCCATATAATTTGCTGCCTCTTCATTCAGAGACTGTACACGGAGCAAAATGAACAGCATTTAATATACAATTTAAAATGAATGAAAAGACGCTAGTCAATTTGTCGTACCGTTGACAACTGGCCCTGCAAATTATTAGGAAGAGTAGTAGGGTGAACAAATTTTATCCTTGGTGGTGCACTCGGATAGTGTTCCGGAAAATTGATATTAATGCTGACGGTGAATTCAGTGTACTTGCCAGTTACTAAACAGCTACGATTTTTAAAATCCTACGAAATAGGAAGAAAATAACATTGAAATTGAAGTGATCATGTCGCTATAACCTAATTTCGATATGAAAAAATATTTAAGCCTTAAGTTTAATACATACCTGTAGTACTTTTAATGGCTGATAACTAGTGAAGCATATGTTATTGTATTCTTGATCGAATGCTAACTGTCTCTGCTGTGATATCGAGCTTGATTTTCTGATTTTTGAACGGTGATCATTGCTTTTATCAGTTACAGAATTATTTGAATACTGGTATTCCGACGAAGTTTCCTTTTCTGGACCGATAAACTTCTAACAATATAAAACTTATTATACTCATGCCCGAAATAGACTATACCATTGGTAAGGTATTAACTGATTATAATCAATACAATTTAGTAACATTACATTATGTCTAAAATATAAGATACTCACTGCGATCATTTCTTTATCAATTGTCCATAAACGTAAAGCTCTATCGGTAGACCAAGTTACCAATGTGTACTTATCACCTAGAACATAGATATATTAATTAAGATACTAAATACTATAGCAATCTAAGGGAAGCATCATACAATATTGATACCTGAAAAATTGAAAGGATAACGCCATCTGAAGTCAACGATGACACCATCATATCCTTCAAAGGCATAAATAGGCGCGGGTTTCACGTTATTCGAAAAGCTAGACACATTCCACAAAAGTAAATTCTGCTCAGATATGGATGTCGGCATTGATGCGGTTACTAATCCATTTTTGAACGGCTATCATTGAAATTGATAATTGACATTATTATCAGCAAAGAAAATTTCTCTTACAAGTAGTCAATCATACCGTAAAACGAGCTCTCCAGACTGCAGCTGTATGTGATAAATTATGAGTTGTAGTCAAGTCTTTCGAAGTATCCCAAATCTAGTTTATGAATTACATAGACAGGTTCTATTGTCAAGATACATCCAATAAATCGTGAAATTGTATGTGCATCTTTGATGTAAGATCATGTAACCTAAAATAGTTACAAGTTCAAAGTCTAGTTATACAGTACATGTACCAACCTTAACACAGCAATCTTGACCGCATGAAACTAGTACGTTGCCCTGATTATACTTCCAATCTAGGCCGTGAATTTTCAATGAGTGTGCAGTTACGTTTAATAAAGGGCAATTGCCTTTCTAAATAAACAATCGATCAATCAATTTAGAACAACATTTCTCCAGCGTCGATAAATGAATGACTGTAGTACTATTTTGCTTAATAACCCTGTTATCCCATATACGAATTGCTGCATCGTGCGCAGTCGCCATAATATTGGGATTACTTTTATTCCACCGCACTTGAGAAATTCCGGCTGTAGAAGTTCAATTACAAAATTACAAAGAATCAAGGTGAATATTTAAAACAAGTAGTGTTTAAATACTTTTAACTTTAGTATTATAATAAGTCACGAACTTATGATTCGTGAATCTAAAAACAAGCAGCATTGTAACTTCGCATGGACTTACTATGTGTACATAACTTTGATACAATTCGATACTGCCTACAGATATTAACCAAAATAATCACATTAGCACCAACTACAACTATTAATAATTTGTTTAACAGCGATAAAAACTATTATTCGTATTTGTTTAAATTATCTCGATAAAACATATTCATGCCTAGTATCCCAAATATAGACGTAGCCATCCATTGAACTTGTCGCTATAACGGAACTTTCAGCGGGCGACCAATCCATATCACTGATTATAATTGTTGGTATTAAAAATTTGGTGATTGTAGTTCATTAATGCAATCTACTCTGCTATTGTTACGAAAAATAACACTGCAATTAAATAGCAACATCCTTTATTTATTATCGTTAAAGTTATATACCTAATTACACGCGTGTGGCCTCTTAGGATACCAACTTCTTCGAAAGCACCATCAGTAAGTTCGGCAATGACAACCTTTTGATTCAACTAAATTAGGAAAGATATAAATAAAATTAAAAAACTTTTACTTCAACATGTCATGTATCCGATGATGCTAAATCCTTAATTTAGCTGGCTATTTCTATTAATTGTTGAATGAAGGAAAAATTAAATACCAGGAGAGCCATAAAATTACGAGAAGTCACGTGAGGGTTCCATTCCACATTGCTAACATCGAATTTACTAGGTCTTGTCCATGTAGAAACAATTTTGTCTGGTTCATCTAAATCCACCAAGGCTATTAGTCGACGCCTAAATATTAGAACAGAGCTTCAATATGCCGCGTTATACCCAATAAATTCTGATTATAAGGCTTTTTATAGCATTTCACTAATCATTGCCTAAGTCTAATTTATAAGATAAATCTACTGCGTAATTTGGCTGCTGTTGAAATATCGCTATGAGCAAATATTTGTTTTTAATTAAATTGCATAAATTGAAATTGTTAACATGAGTAGTTAGATCCTTTATGAAAATCGTAAAAGGCAGTTCTAAGTCAAAAACTATTTAGACATTGTTGCAGTAGCATGAAAGTACAGTATATTAATTTATCATCACACGGGTAAATTCTCAAGCAAATAGACTTTGCTTTAAAGACATCGAGATTATCTTAGTTAGCCTTACGATGCTAATGCAGCTCGAGCTCCGCTCCCATCAATGGCCATTGCAGTTGCCTGACGATAGTTCAAAAGCAGATGCATTTATGATATAAAATGCCATTAGGTCACATAATTTATTTATCGTCAATAATTTTATTGTCCCTTATTTTACTTATAAAGATAATGTAACGATTAGAAAATTGATTTATTGCTAATGATTAGATTATAATATCGGACTACTACTAAACTAATTTTAAAGATTTTAAAGTAATGATAAATCGTTCATTTTACTTTAATACACAATCATTTAGTGTTTACTCAATTTAGTATATTGTCAAATTGACTAACTATGACATGTACATTTGTAACTATCTACTTAGTAATTAATATTAATTCACACTTGCTGCATGAAATGCAACGGTAGTCGTTAGTACACGTAACACCAAATGCATGTTAATGTACAATTGCACATTTCATTTAATAAATTGTGGTGGCATAGCTCATGATTTGATATTTCAAATGCAATGTTGCAGTTGGATTTTTCTATAGTACAGATCATCATAAGTATTTTGACCACACAAGGCGCATCATAGTGGTAAGAATCATTTCCTCAATGCAATTGGCTATAGCAATATTGTAGTAGTCAGCTTTCCAAAGTAATATACAGTTAATTTATAAATTTTCTATTTGCAATAAGTCTTAAGATAAGAAAATTTCTACTATTGTAGTGTACTGTTTTATATGGAGCTTAATTTGACCATCAAGAATAATACTCAGTAAATTGCGAATAGTAAGCGTTGCTTATCGATGTCCAACCAACTGCTTAACTGATCGAATGATCGACAGATTAATTATTTTGTTTTAATCCTTTAAAACAATGGCAAATCTCTTGGTCCTAGCTCATTCTTGTAAAGTAAATTTGCCAAATTATCATTCCCAATTAATCATTCTACTTACGCGAATATCATGCTTGCAAGTAATAGGCTCCATGGTCGCAACGTATAATCTACAATAGGAGGAATATAATCAATCGCTCAGACGCTTAGTCCCATGTCGTATTCGTTAACGCGAAAAGTAGGTAAAATGTAGAAATTCAAAAAACACATTTGTAGATGCATCTATAAGCCGGGAGTTGTATAATGATTAATCTAGGAAACTAATGCAACGTTTACCTACATTGCTATTCTCTAGCACGAATTAGATCAGATGGTCAAGCAGTGTTGCATGTCTTGCAAAAATACATTACAGTGTACTATATACCTGTATAACCTGTGTGCTTCTCCTACTATGTATTTGCGATGTTGTAAAATAGTGTAACACTTATCTTACTCCATGAAGACAGTACAGTAATAGCTGATCTATTACGATTCCTATCAGCTAAATATTCAAAATCTTACTATTCCATCTATTAATTGTAAGAATATTTTGATGAACTTGTATCTAATTGCATGATGATGTAACCTTCAAGTACTGTCGATGTAAACATTGTGAACATGGTACAAGAAAATGTTCTAGTCCTGTGTATCTCTATTTATCCGTAGTCGAGTTGATACTTACAGTATTTACTTATTTTGCCCAAGACGGTAATAATAACTGCTGTATTGCAATTCCTACAGAGTAATCAGAATTATCGGTATTCCCTTTATTTTAAAATTAGTTTATCCGATTTCTTGAAGAGCTAAACTCCGCATCATCCACGATCAATAACAACATCAACAAAGTTCACAATGGTAGCTTACCTATGTACGAGTAGACTTACCCAATCAATCTTTTGGACTACCGACATGTATACAGTACGGTAACAATTTGATATGACTCAGAGGTAATAATCTGGATGTACTGAGGCCAATAATCTCGTAACTAAAGCTGTCTTGAAAGGCTGACAACGATAAGGTAGAGAAAAAAGTGGGTGATCGATATTCGAAAATTCTTATTCCAGGTTAGCTATGACTATCCAACGCACCACAGAATCATCCACGATCAATAACAACAACAACAAAGTTCACAATGGTAGTTTACCTACTGTACGAGTAGACTTACCTAATCAATCTTTGGACTACCGACTTGTATACGTATGGTAACAATTTGATATGACTCAGAGATAATAATCTGGATGTACTGAGGCCAATAATCTCATAACTGAAGTTGTCTTGAATAGCTGACAACGATAAGGTAGAGAAAAAAGTGGGTAATGGATATTCGAAAATTCTTATTCCAGCTTAGCCATGACTGTCCAACGCAACCTCCAATTAATCAACTTGGCTCCAGCGTCAGCTACAGTATTACGTACAGAACGCACCGTACCATCGATGTACTGTACACTGTAGTCTTATAGTACGCTGTCAAAGTTACAGTATAGGATATCAATTTTGACTTATTGTCTGACGTTAGACTGCCGTATATAGCCTACCGTATGAGATACGATACGCCTGAAGTAGTTTCACTGTTTTCTAGTAAGCTCCAGCTGACGTCATCGTGGAAAATACATCTTGGCCAAAAGACTGGTGTTGACTGTCAATTTTCACATTCAGCGTTACGCTATTTACTATGATTCAAATCGAAATAGATTGACATTCTATCATCTTTGCTCTATCTTCCAGAAGATCGATCAAGACGTCGAGGGCAAAACTATCATTCCATCGGCTTCTATCTGTGGAATTTTCAGCTATTAAGGCAGCTTCTAGCCAAAGATGGTGAGCAATAGGATCATATTGAGTACACTAACAGTGTCATGTTGCGGTGATAGCATTTAATATCAATACTCTATCCCGCAATACATAACATGGTAGTATTATGCCACTGAATGAATGCAATAAACGTAGCGGTCGAACACCACAACAACTTGATTATGTTCTTGCTTAATCACAACTGTCAATTAGAAATGAATGCATAGAGAAGTGATCATCTAGATTAAGTGATTGAACTAAGATTGGAATCTGTAACGGATAAAATGCTTGATCAGAAGTGCCAATTAGAAATGAATGCATAGACAAGTGATCATCTAGATTAAGTGATTGAACTAAGATTGGAAGCTGTAACAGACAAAATGCTTGATCAGAGTGTCAATTAGAAATGAATGCATAGAGAAGTAATCATCTAGATTAAGTGATTGAACTAAGATTGGAAGCTATAACGGATAAAATGCTTGATCAGAATAGAAATGAATGCATAGAGAAGTAATAATCTAGATTAAGCGATTGAACTAAGATTGGAAGCTGTAACAGACAAAATGCTTGATCAGAGTGTCAATTAGAAATGAATGCATAGACAAGTAATCATCTAGATTAAGTGATTGAACTAAGATTGGAAGGTGTAACAGACAAAATGCTTGATCAGAGTGTCAATTAGAAATGAATGCATAGAGAAGTAATTATCTAGATTAAGTGATTGAACTAAGATTGGAAGCTGTAACAGACAAAATGCTTGATCAGAGTGTCAATTAGAAATGAATGCATAGAGAAGTAATCATCTAGATTAAGTGATTGAACTAAGATTGGAAGCTATAACGGATAAAATGCTTGATCAGAATAGAAATGAATGCATAGAGAAGTAATAATCTACATTGAGTGATTGAACTAAGATTGGAAGCTATAACGGATAAAATGCTTGATCAGAAGTGTCAATCAGAAATGAATGCATAGACAAGTGATCATCTAGATTAAGTGATTTAACTAAGATTGGAAGCTGTAACAGACACAATGCTTGATCAGAAGTGTCAATTAGAAATGAATGCATAGAGAAGTAATAATCTACATTGAGTGATTGAACTAAAATTGGAAGCTGTAACGGATAAAATGCTGTCATGAGTGGTAATAAGAAGTATGAACGTATTGCATATTCAATAAAATTGTCTACTGTACCTTTTCTCTCCTAGCATGGTAGAGTCAAAGTTAAGACAACAGCCGAAAAGGAAGCTGAGCGACGTGCTGAGCTGACCAGACGGGCTCATCAATTCGCTCGTGAAACGGATGCTATTTTTACTAAGGTAATTAGTTTACTCTGACATAACTAAACATTATTATTCCTTTTCTAGTTTTACACACACGTGTGTACCAGTATAACAGAGGCCTTTATTAATGAATGAATTAATTTTATATTATTAGCATGCAATAATTATTATCATAATCATTCAGCTTTCATATGGATAGCTTTCCTTCATAACGTACTATGATTACGTTTTTTATCTGTTTTGTAGCGTAAAAATGGGGAATTAGACGAAAAAATGCTACAGGATAGTCAAAATTTATTAATGCAAAACCCAGATTTCTATACAGTATGGAATATTCGCCGGGAAAGTTTCCTATCATTAGCCGAGATCAAGTATCTAACTGAATATCTTAAATTAATTTTAACCTTTGATACTGCAGTAGGAAATCATCTCACTAAAAATATCGTACCATTTTGTTAATAAATGGACGAGATAAATTTTGACCTTGTATTCAATTTTTAAATAAGATCTTCATACGAGTATTCAAATGGATTTTTAAACAGAGATGATGATGAAATGGAAAAATTATACAATAATGAGCTTGCATTGCTTTTGGCATGTTTGAGAATCAATCCAAAGTCATATGGTGTCTGGTGTCATCGAAGGTGGATCATGACACATATGAAATATCCAAACTGGCAACATGAACTAGACTTATGCAATAAATATCTAGAATATGATTCCAGAAATTGTAAGTAACTCTCATAAACTAACTCTTACTATAGATTATGGATTAAATTGTAATTTATTCGTATGTTAATTATTATTCATAAAGACTTTCGTTACTGAGAAAGCTAATGCAAAAATGTTATGCTACAGTTCACTGTTGGGATCACAGACGCTTCGTAGTTGCATATACAGAAGGAGTTACAGACGTAACGGAGTTAGAATATACAATGAAGAAAATTAAGCAAACATTTTCTAATTTTTCTGCTTGGCATTATCGGAGTAAATTACTTCTTAAAGTAAATAATAACCTAGAAATACCTAGGAAAGATTCTATATGGGTGAAAGAAGGTATAATAGCAACTTTGGCATTTACTATCTGTGGTAGATTTTATTACTAACCTTTAATGTACGCAAGTGTAGTAATAGTAAAATCATCTATAATACTGACGTTGATGTATTTATCTTGGAAGAACTCGATTACATTATGAATGCTATTTATACTGATCCTAACGACCAGAGTGCTTGGCTGTACCATAAATGGTTGCTCGGTAGAGGTTAGCATTGATGACACTAACGCAGAATTGAAGTATTGTATCTGACTTTCCTCATTTAATATCTTCATAGAAGAAGTAACTTCCACCATATGCACACTCTATGTTGCAAAGTATGCTGAACATGAAAATTCTCAAATCAGCGTTATGGTAACTTGGTCACTTCCGCTAACTGTGGATGAAGCTAACAAAACAGTTATTACTCTAGATGAAAAGCAATTAGACTGTATCTGGAAAAATAATCACAACAACTCTTATGCCTCTCACATTTGGGTATGAAATATTGCATTACTACATGTGAATTTCATGAATGTTGATCTAGTTGATCAATTGCGTTACAAAATAGCACTTGCTTCTATAACAAACTAATCACTTAGAAATTTACTATGTTGTCCATTCATGTATGCGTTGCATCTAATATTTTTATCTTCTTTTAAGTTCAGTTTACATATACTAACTATGAGTCATGTATGATGATGATTTTAATTACTGATATGTTACTTAAAGTAAAGAATTCTCAGCACACCCAAAGTTAATTAAAATTATCCTAGGATTTGTCAATGAGCCTGAAATACACTGATTGAGTGTACCTCCGTTTTACACCGTGAATTGCGTTCGATAATGTGAATGTATTTAAATTATCAAGGTAACCGAGATACAAGGTATCTCTGGCGAACCTCATGTCATTCATGCTGGATCAAAAGACCACGGATCATTACAAGTAAATTTAGAAAAAGGTAGTATCTTTTAACGTTAGACTTTCACCCCTTTAAACAACCTTTATCTTATTCTCGACTTGTCCGTACATGAGTAAAGCTTTTTCAACATTTGTAGTTTTTGTAGTAAATGAAAAAGTCTTTAGAAGAACGCTGCTTCAACAACCAGCACGTAAAATCCTTAAAATATTTACTAACGTTTTTATTTGGTAGGGTGTAACAAAGCTTGGGTATTATCAAGAGACGAGAATATGATCAAGTGCGTCATTCATATGACGTGCAAATATTTATTGATTATGTCCTATGTTTCATTGATGTAAAATCTTAATATTGACTTTTTTATGGAACTTATACAGAGAGAAAATGGCTGTCGAATTAGAAACACTAAATACTCAGAAACAACTATTAGATGAACTATATGAAATTGAACCGGAAAACAAATGTAATTTATTAAAACAGAATTAGTTATAGTATTAACACTTACTACGGTTCTTTATTAAATTTTATGCTCAAAAACTCCAACCCATCGCAGAATGTGTTTATCGATATTAACAAAAAGTTTCGTTTGATTTTTTACTAGGGTTAACATTATCTCAAATTTACCTCGGTCACGCACTTAATGGCGTCAAACCAGATTATGAATTCTCGGAAGAAGATTTTGATAATCTGATTGAAAAATTACTCACGCTCGATCCGAAAAGGAAAGGCTATTATTGTGACTTAAGTAAGCGATTTACTTTCTTTATTCGCTTCATAAGCCATCCAATTTTTAAAAGATAATCGTCTTTCTTTAATATTACTTCGTAAATATAGGAAGTAAGATCATTCTTGAAAGATATACTTTAAATTTAATACAAGAACCTTCCTATCAGGTACTAAGAACTTTTACTATCGTAACAAGTGTAAATGCTGATTTATTAACTATTTTTAAATGATCAATATCAGCAACTTAGAAAGATTGACTTATCCAAGAAGCAGTTATCATGTTTGCATTTAATGCACCTTTATTCCCATATAACTGAAATTGATCTGTCGAAGAATGAATTAGTGAATCTTGATGACTGTAGCCCACTTTATTGTTTGCGTGTTCTAATTGCAAATGATAACTTGGTTAAAAGTCTGAAAAATATACAATACTTGCCAAACCTACAAGAACTGCTGTTAAAGAATAATGGTATCCTTTGAATTTATATTTATAATTGTACAGCTTACAAAATGCAATTACTACCATACTACTTTTGTCACTAACTATGAATACATATAATTCAGTGAAGTACTTAACAACTTTTCAAAGCCATCACCAACATAGATGACCTGCTGCCTCTGCAAGACAGTGCATCAATTAGGTCTCTTGATTTAAGCAATAACCCTATTTCCCAACGAAGAAGTTACCGTCAAGATGTGAAACAACTGTTGCCTCAACTACAGACATTAGATGGAGAATTAATCTGAGACGGTATAAATAAATATAGACAAAGATATATTAAAGTGCTTTCTTTAGTTGATAGATTTTGCATGAAATTCATTCAACTCCCAGATATGATGTATTCAAAAATAAAAATAATTATAATGTACCATTAATTTCACCTGCTATCTATTCATTGTTAGAGAGTTTAATATTTTTAATATTAATGGCTATATTCTTGAAAGATTTTGAATGCTGACGTTTATGTTTTCACGAAATAGGAATAGGTAAATTGATCACCAGCACTAATGTAACGTACAAATGTATCATTCACGTTGTTAATCACTATTCACTGCTGTATCATATTGTTGACGACTACTATAGAATTGAAAATAAAATTTCAATTTCTTTTAACTGTTTGGTAAATTTTATCCTGTTTAGAGCAATTTATAGCTACTAACGGATACATTAGCCTAATATAAAAAATAAATGTCACCCTTGTGTCCAGATGTCAGTATATCACAGGCAGACAGGCTTGCTACAAATAAATACAATACACTATGTAATCCCTCCATTTGTGTGAGGGCACATGTTTTTAAATTATATGATGTATTAATTGCAGTAATTAATGTAAATACATATCACAGAAATGTAGTTAATCATATACCCGTATAAATATTATCCAATTACGCAATTAGACTTTAGTTATGGATAGTAATCATTCCAATAATATTTTATTTTATTTAATGAGATAATTAATTAATGTGCATACGCTACACTGTGTTGTGTATTTCTATTTGTCCGTGTTACGGAATCAAGGCTACTTCAATAACTTCGTTAGCAAAATGATCTACTTGATTCCAATTACATTAAGTTTTTAAGACTACTCCACAATAAGTTATAAGTAACCTTGGAAAACCAGTTAATATTTCGATCTACAGAGAATACAAAATCGACATCACTTCTATGGCTTCGTTAGGAAAATAATCTACAACTCTATAATTGTGCTTACTACTTTCGGATGCTGTCGAGTAATAGTGTTCCACTGTAGCTCCAACCATAATTACGCCATGATTGCACCGTCTGTACCGTACGTCTGTAACTAGAGCACTATACTACTATATACTGTACAGTACAGGACTGCCGCCACCATACTGTACTTAGTAAAGTAGCTCTGCTATTTTTCAACGTATTGTAGAGTATAAATAACAGTCAGATGTAAACCGTCTATAGATGTACTGTATACTACAACGCGGACAGTAGGTCAATCAAGATATTATTTGTAGTATCTCCGCGTCGTGTTGTTTCAGACATCTCCAATTTCACCATTACAAAATCATAACATTTACCCAATTTAATTTTGGTTGTCTTGTTTACCAATCAATATTCTACTTTTAAAGTTGATTTCATTTTAAGATCCTAAAACGAATCAGTAATTATCCTATTAATAAAAATTACATCATCGAAATTGTGAATTTGATCATTCAGCAAAGGCCTTCACCCTTCCTCAACACAACAACGTCCTGTGGTGATTTACTCTTTTTAGAATCCGGATTTGGATAGAATATCACGGATTTATCTCTACACTCTTTATAACTGCCATGGATGAAGACGATTATGTTACATTATTAATGGCAGACGAGGAATATTGCACTAGCTGCATAAATCGTGTTAAAGGTAAGACCATAGAATGTGAAAATTCTGTTAGAAAGATATTTTAGTACCGTTGATGACTAGTAAAAAAATTATGAATCCAATCAGTTTGATATGATGGCCAATTTGGAGAGACCGTTTTCCACTTTTCAAGGCTAATTCCTTCATGAAAATGAAATTGAATACATTTTTTGACCGATTTTAAAAATTGTCTGCGAAATGGACGTATAAAATACACGTACGCTCACGGTAAAAAAAAAAAAAGCATAGTACAGTACTTTACGTAATCGTTCACGATATGAAACTGACTGCAGTAACCCATATTTAGTGAAATAGTACTATAGAACTTATTTCCTAATAATAAAACAACCTGATCCCTTAATATGCTTGGTGTACGCAGCGATGACATATACATAATAGGAAAGTTAAAACACAAGACTAATTTGAACAAACTTGAATGCAGATGTACCTGTTAAATGTGTCTTTGCCATAGAGATTATGGTCTGTACTGGCTAAGAAACGGACAAGTTTCACAAAGTACAGTACAGTATGGAAAGTTAGCACACCCATTTTACGGTAGTATATTCCTATCGTATATTGGCTTCCTCTTTAATTTAATGAAAAACTAGGTCATTACACAGCAGTTATCTATTTTGTTATACAGTATAATGACATACATTGATTTACGTATTTCTCAACTTGTATCATGAAGTAGGTACAAGTAATGCGATGATATTTATTGATTTATCTGTTGCTTACGTTACTAGAATGTCTGAAAATGATCACAAGAACGATATGCTATTTAGTTTTAATTGCTCTTTACACCGTAGTGCCTGTCTTCTATGCTATGCAAGGTAAGAGAATATATTAAATTGAATTGATTCATGTGGCAATTATCTAATCAGCTTTGACTTCATTTTATCTCATTGATCATAGGTTTTTACTTATTCGCTAACGGTTGCCGCCCTCAATATTTCTATTTTGGCCCCGCAACCACATTATTAATGTCACTATATCTTTTTTCATGCTCAATGATACTGGTGACTTTCTTTGTCCTCTGGAGATTATATCCA